AGTCGAAACAACCCTTAAACTGCCAACAAGTTACTATTACTTCTAAATACTTACTTTCAACTATTTGCATGTAAGCGATATTAATAACTTCACCACTTATTTTAAGTTTCGAAGTATCACTTCTCCAATGCGTAATCACCTGTTTTAGCTTAAGCGTATAGTTCTAAACTTTGACTACTGCATTAGTATGCTTCACTATGCACCATCTTCCTAATATATAGGTACTGATAATAATTACTGCTAACAAATTTATCACGATAACGAGAATGTACTACACATTGACACAAGTATAGCTTACAGGCAAACGTCTCTTCTAAATGCACTACTCAATATAACACATGACCCTTATATCCCAAACTCTGCAGCTCACAACATTCGATAAAGTTAATAATCATTATTAACAAGTCGAATATCCACTTGAGGAACAGGGAATACATTTATAGTGATTTAACAGAGAATACAAGATCAAGTATACTGAAAACCGCTTTCTTCAGCAACAAATCCCACGAGCTCAACGAAATTACCGAGCAGTGAAAATAAAGAAAGCAGCAGGGGTTCACAGGATGGATGCACGAATATCACTGTTAATATTAGAATTAACTAGTTAACTCGGTAAGGATTACACGAAGTTTATATTAGTGCTCGATTACGTCACTCAATATTTTTGACAGAATTGTAAATAGCAACTGTTTCTAAGCCTTACGTCTATATCTTTTGAAAATGATGGATACTGAGTCTACATAAGTCTTCTGGTCGTCGTTGTACAAACGCACATGACATAGATTCATCCAAATAAGCACCCAAACCACGTCATTTGTATTTGTCTAGACAAGACAGCGCCAACTAGCCTCAAAACGTATCAACTAATCAGTACAAGTACCGACAAGGCAAAGCAGGTGGTGTCACTTCAAATGGGGGATACTCCATATAATCGTCCCATCATTACGGACGAAACGCTTCTCTTCCTCGTTTCGGAATCTTTACCTGCAAAAACACTTCTTCTATTTCAGTGATACAACACCAACTCAGAAGCTTAAAAGTATTCCACATTGTAACTGGTGATTCAAAGATGTACCACAATACCTAGCCACACGGTCAAGAACTACTTAAAGCTTCTCAGGCTTTTTCGGATTCATATTCAAATGATGAGGTATATACCACTGTACTATATCCGGATTAGCATGAAATCGGATCACTTACACTACGTATCCTTTCGATAAATGTTTCTCCATGACTTCTTGATATCTACTCACTAGGCTACAGTCATTAAAAACATGTCCCCTGAGACCCTCAAGCATAGGACTAGCCATTCCATAATTGTCCAGATGATTACGACGGCCACACTCCCACGGTAATACTGCCACTTTGTGGCAGTAAACAAGTCGGGAGGAACCAGCGGCTTCCACTAGAGCTCTTTTGTCCTCTTCAGAATGCTCCTCAGTTAGACCGTCCGTTTCTTCAAATTCATGATGATATAACACTCCATGATTGTTTATCATTTCTTGGCTATCTGAGAAGTGCCAACTACCCACGCCGGTTCAGCTGCCATGTAATCCGGTCCAATTTAGTTCTATATGCAAACGGCTTCTTCCTCCCTCCAAATCGTTATTCCATTGCGTCCAAGACATCAGAGCCAACCGGAAGACCAGTGGTGCTATCCTCAATCCTTGGCAGCCTAATGTCTTTCAGATGTTCGAAGGCCCTCAACTATTCCTATGTTGGGTGTTGTGCTACTTCAATACAGTAGTGCCATGAGACTATTCACCACCCCCATATTAAGTCTTGAGCCAATCCCCCAAATGCCCAAAATTTTAGCAATCTTTTTAAAATACATGACTCGTCTGCCCTGCTATCTTGAAGAGCGTACGTTTCCAGACACCCTTTCATAACGAACATTTTCAAATGAATCAGACCAGGATAAACCCTACCAGAAATGTTCTCGTGTTCAAAAAATTGTAATGCTTTTAGTGATCGCTTATTGCTCTCCAAATATGGCAGTGGTCGATGATGCACCTCGCATCTATCCATAATACACATACTTCGTGAAGGACAACATCTTGCAATGTGGCTTATCTTGAGGCAAATAAAAAGAACATTTAGTCTCCTAACAATTTGTCGCCCCTCCTCGACGGTCATATCCCTTAATCGTGTTGTTCTTTGCTGGACTATGAGAACCCTCACACAAATTTCAACTCTTAAATTCTTCTAGAACCCTCTCAATCTGCCTTATGATAGACCATTCAACTACATCACAATGACACACAGGATACTGTCTCTCTACCGTCCTGGTGTCTACATTGCTGCTAGTTAACATTCCTCCACATGCTCAAGCTACCCATGCCCTCTCTTCTTCAAACTTGATCATATCCTCAAACTCCGTCCATCATCAGGCAACCAAAATTCTGTCAGCCAGGTCATCCTATTTTGCCTGCGTTTCGGTAGGGAGTCAGCTGATCACTCGTTCTAGACTTATGGAAGAGTTCGGATCGGAAATGTATCCCGTGCTAACTGGCGTGATATGGGCGTTATTGAATGTCATAGCAAATTCAGTGAGACCATCCCCATTCATGCTGATGTTTCGAGAGTCCATTTTAAGTTCACCGACAAATAAACGAGCAATCTTGAGTTCCTGTCCAAAAAAATCGTGCAGTATTTCTTTTTCATAGACAAAATTTGAAGGAATGGCACACAAGCTTCAAAAACACTTCTCGCATCCCTCCAACGGAAATGAAGAAGGTTTGTTAACATTGGCTCTTTGTTACGTAATCAGCTCCAAATAATAAAATAAAACTGGTTGGCAAAGAGAAAATAGTTATTAGAGACCCCATCAAAGTACATTATATCAGCCCTTGATATACACATATTATTAACAACAGAACTAAATAATTTTTTGTTGTTTTACACAAACCCCTCCTCTGACTCCAACTTCCTCACCAGCGCATGACGTAAAATACCTTAAAATTAATCCGGCTATCACCTAAACCATGCAAACGAACACTGCCATTTTCAACACTCACTCGATCAGCCAAAGGTTAAGGCAAAAACGCATCCTGTGGCGTTACTTTTGTGCTTTTGACTTAAAGGTCAACGTCACCCAGAAATAGAGTTGTATCTTAATCCTTCATACACAGTTTCCAGTCAAATCATGCGGCCGAAATCACAAAATAATCTAACCAAATGGTCCCAAATAGAAATAAACTGATAAAATTATGTTATATATATATATATGTTATGTACCTGCCAGATTATTGTTCTGTTAAACGTAATGTATCGGATACAAACGATACAAACATCCAAATATGAGGTTATACGGCGTCCAAACAACGAGGACAATGGTTGAAACCAAAATTAGCTTGCAGTTAACAAACGTGAATACGAACAAAAATGTACAACAGTCCAGTAAACGAAACATGGTCTAATTGAGAAAAATACAAATTGGTGTATCAAATACAACTTCAGGGTTTGAAGGTGCGAAATTAGAAGTAACAGTCACAGGATGCAGGCTAGGTGTGCTATTGATCAGTAGGTCATCACGATATCCGTCTCTGTCAATTAACTCCCGGTGTGAAGCTTGTTTGTCTTATGAAGAATAATAGCTGGATTTTGGTCTTGTCCTAACGAAGAAACTTGATATATGTGTGTATTACTAGCATTACGTTATTTGGGCATGTGCATTCATGCACTTTGCTCGTAAACAGCTATGTGTGCTCACAATAGAACATTTTATACTGTTGTAGATTGACAGTGCACGGCCCACATTGAGCTGCATAAGTCACTACATCACTAATTAAGGAGAAACCAAACTCATAAAAGTCCTGAAATGTGAAGCGAAGGAGGTTGGCTAGTAATGCTTTACATTATTGAAGTGTTAAGGACTTTTGGCATAATTACAGCTGATGTTCCAGAAAATCGTCTTGTGTTCCACTACATTTTCCCCACACATAGCGCAATGTATGAAGTGCGCTTATCGATTGCAGTGATCATAGGTGCCAATAGAGTTAAATATTCGTTTAAAAAGTTGTCCGTCTCATAAAAGGAAATGGTATTCTTATGACACCTCTCGATGATGACTGTTTCAAATTGGTTGTCCGCCAAAGCTCTCAAGGACTTCAAGGGTGGTTGAATTTTGGTTAGTTAATTTATGTAGCAGTAAACTGGGGGCAGAAATATTTACTTTTTAAAGTAAATCCACATCGGTGGCTATATTCTCATACAAATATAATAGAAAATTTATCAGCCTATCGGTAATAAGTTCGTTAACAGCAACTAAATAGTATCATATCTGAAAGGGGAGATAATTACCCGAGAACATTGACGCCATGATTAAACGGTAGAAAAAAACTAAAGGTGACTATATAACACAACTTCTGGGGAACGGAAAGGAATGGGCGAACTGCCAAACTTATTACATAGGAATAATTAACGAAGTGATGGAATAATTAGGCAGGTAAGATAATGATGACTTGTATATGTCATGGGGGAAATGATCAGTTTTTACATTCACGTAAGGATGGTCAGTGTGCGTTGGTGGCATAGCGGACCATGCACATGGTCCGGGGTTCGATCTCTGGCCGAAGCACTCATTCACCTCGCTAAGCCAGAAATAATGCTGGTGAAGAGGAAAGGTTGGGAATGAGGCTAGCAACCCCATCCTGTAAAATAAACACTGCTAAAGAAACTTCAAGCCACTAGCTTGAGGCCCTATGTTCCACTGGGAACGTGAAGGGAAAAAAGGATAGTCAGGGTAAGCAGGGTGACTGAATGAATTCATTCTGAACATGTGGGTTCGGCTTCTTAAGCTGGATTCAGATGACTTAAGTCATCATAGCAGAATCCCTGTGCATAGAAGACGAAATTGTAAAGCAAAATTAGGGATGCATTAGATATTTTTCACTTCTTTGTTAACATTGATTTTATAATAAGAATCCGCGGCATGTAATGAAACAGAGCTATTTATTTTTAAATCAAGTAGTTTAAGTGATCTCCTCACTATCATTCAAATTCAAGCTCAAAGCGTGTATCGCGATTTTTAAGATTGTGGCGTTTGAGTGGTCAGAGTTATTCTTTTCAACACTTATCCGTTCAGTCTGGTCGAGAAGAATAACAGTAAGTGACTAATTAATTGACGGGAACTTTGGTGCTTGGGTGAAACATTCTACAAAGTAACGCGCTTGAGTCTAAACATTCTACAAAGTAACGCGCTTGAGTCTAAGCATTCGTTACTTTTGGGTAACGAGTTGTACGAACCAAGTAATTGGTCACTAGGACAAAGAGGATGGGTTGTATGTAAAAAATGAAATGTGTTCTAGACAGGCTTGTTTAAATTGGTTTATACTAGCTCATAAAAACGATATTGGGTATTGGATCACTTAGCTTGAATGCTCGCGAGCATCCATTTGCAGATTACTGATGTTCTGTTGGGTGTATATGCCTTAAAATTTGTCCATTTTTCCTGTTTCAACATCGAATATACGTGTGACTTGCAAGTCTTATACAACTTATCTTCAGGTAAATGAGATAGATATATATATGATGTATATGATATTAATTCAAGGAAACGACCGGTAATGCACTTAGGTCAGAAGTCTTATACGTCGTACTCCATGGGGGACACACAATTACCTGATGTTAACGGACGGAAGGACCTAGGAATCATTGTCAGCTATGAATTAAAAATAACAGCAAATTGCAATGCAGCTGCAGCTAAGGCTTTTCGAATGCCGTGGGCACTTCGTAGGGCTTTCAAACTCTTAGACGAGGGTATGCTCCAAGCAACATATGTCAGACCTCATCTAGAATACTGCCTGCTTCAAAAATGAGATACATACCCTGGAAAGAGTACAGAGGGTAAGAACCAAATCATTTAGTGATCTCACATGTGTAGGTGTACACCTTCCTTATGATGCGAGGATGGAGCATTTAAATCTCTCTCTATTATCACAACAAAGGAGGAAAGGTGACTTGATTTTGGCTTAGTGTATACTAAAGGGTGATTTAGGGACTGACCTTTAAACCTTTCCTCTCCCTCTAGGATACATTTGCGAGGTCACCACAAGAAGGTGCTCAAACTGAGGACAACTAAAATACGTGCAGAATTTAGATTCTCTCACAGAGTGGCCAACGACTGGAACTCCTTACCTGATCCAGTAGTAACAGCTCCATCAGTGGACGCTTTCATAGAGAAACTGGATCTCTGCAGGGATATATATCACGAGGATTAACATAGGCAAAAAGAGCTTTCTATCCTTATCATCTGAATCTGTATGATACGATATTGTGTCATAGTGCAGTACTAATTTCATTCTTATTTGCTTTTATACATAGGTAGTGTGATAAACGTATCCGCCTAAAACTGCATCGAGCCATAAATATTGATTTTGAAGTTACAACTGTCCCGCAAATGAAGACTCCTCTTTTTCCTGAATCTGACGAACGTCACTTCAGTACCTTGGAACACTTTTCATCTGAGTCAAAAAATATCTGTAATTGGGATAATTACTTATCATTGGTCGATTGTAAGAATTTAGAAAAAGACCAGTTGTATGGTGTACTTACCATTAGAAATTGGATTCTTTCAGCAGTATGTTTCAAGTAGTTTACTTGATATGTTTCGTATATTTATTTAGGACGATGGTTTTCTTACAAAGAATTTTCTTGAGTTACGCAAACGTTTACTTCGAAAAATTCTCGAAATCATCTATTGCTCTGAAGATGGTGATATACCAGTCCCAGTATCTACGAAATTGTATGAATCCTTGATATGGTTGTATTTCAAAACACCGGAACTATGGATACATCCATTAAAGTGGATAGTGTACGCATTTGTTTACGGTAATTTTTGTGTTTTATTCTTCTTGAATTTTTCAATCATTTCTAGAGTTCAGTTCATTTAGTAGTTTTACTGACTTAGGAATTTCCTTTTTAAACATTTAGTTACATACCGATCGATGGTTGTTACCTTGTGGTGGTGTTCGAGTATGCCTATTTCAGCGACCCAACACAGCTATACTAGTCGAAGCGATTACTTCGTCGTACAACGGAGGTTGGTTTGACATTAGAAGGAACAAAAACAATTGCTATTTATGATGTGAGATGTTGACTCAGATTGGGTTGTAAGAGCGGAGTTGTACGTCCCGGGGGAGAGGAATGTGGTGACAGTATGGTAGTTATATTTTGGGACCACTAAGCTGGGTGTGTTACTATCGGGTAAAAAGTTAGAAAACGTTGGTCTCCGCGACCGGCATTGAAGTTTTTCACAAAAACAGTACTTCAGAAATACTATCACTTTTAAACAGACTGACTGTAACCGATCTTATCAAGATATTTACAGTGGCACAAAACTAATCATTCACTTTCAAAGACTATGAAGGAAAGTTAACGTGAAAAGTTTGAGTTATTAGCAAGTATTAATTGTGCCAAGTCTTCCTGTGATAATCACAGGGGGATTAGCCTGACCAATAGGGTATCTAAAGTTCTACGCTCAGTAAACATGTGTAGACAAATACGAAAGAACCAGTCAGGCTTAGAGCCAGGAAGAGGGTGAATTTATTATATCTTCCCCCTTCGACAGATTCTGGAACATAGATATACTTACAGGCGTCCAACTATCGTCATATTTGTTGACCTGAAAGCGGCATTCGGTTCCGTCGACCGAGAAGTACTATGGTGATATTTGGCTGTGAAGGTAATGCCGAGAAAATACATCACACTGATCAAGGCACTCGAATAGAACTCATACAGTTAGCAAGGTGAGAGCGTATGGAGAGTTGTCATCTGAAGTGGTAACAGTGGTGTCCTACAGGGATTCCCATCAATGTCCCCATTTCTGTTTAATTACATCATAGTTGTACTAATGAACTTCACTCTAACTGACTTCAGAGACTCAGGGATTGACTTGTTACCACCAGGGAGTAATCTCGTTGACTTAGATTATGCAGATGATATATTCCTCCTGCGGAACTGACGAGGATATCAAAGCAAGGATCGGGAAAGCAAGGCAAGCTTTCATTACTCTCAAGTCTGTGGGGAGGTCAACAGTACTCATCATGAAAAATAAGATCCAGATTTTCAACTCCAATATGAAGTCAGTGCTAATTACTGTATGGATCAGAGACTTGGCGTGTCGTGAAGAGCACCTCAAACAAACTACAGACCTTCATTAACAACCGTCTTCGCTCAATACTCAAGATCAGATGGCCAGAAAAGATCAGCGACAGGAATGGATCTCTGGGAGCGAACCAACCAGAAACCGATTGTGCAACAAATAAGCAGGAAGAAATGGAGGTGGATTGGCTATACTCTGAGGAAACCATCAAGTGAAATCACTAGACAGGTCCTCGAGTGGAATCCGAACGGGAAAAGATGGTCGTCCAAGGGTGACTTAGAGGAGGTCATGTAAAGAGGAGATGAAGATATGTGGGCAGACGTGGAGCCAGGTGAAAATGTTGGCAGAGAACCGAAGGCACTGGAGACGTGCGGCTGAAGCCCTATGTTCCTCTAGGAACTAAAGGGAACAATAATAATAATATTCCTGCTCCTAGGTGAAGACGCGGAATCTTATGAACACCTTGAGCAGCAATCTTCGAATGTTTGCCATGCGAGACTCCCGTCAAATGTAAGATGATGATATAGGAATGGACTACATTGACTCCTAGCTTAAAGATAGGTAGTGGAGTGGTAGAATGTGTTGACCACTACACTTATTTGAGAAGTTGCACCAGCCCAAATGGGCTGATCGCTGGCGAAATTTCGGCACGGATACATAAGGCTCGTTTGGCATATGCCAATTTATACCATCTTTGCTTTAGAAGTTTTGGTATGTGTCTGGCTGTCAATCAAAGGACGCGTGTACTGCACACACGTTCTCTCCATCCTTCTATATGGCTGTGGGTGAGTCATGACTACTGAAAATGGAAGATAGGAAAGGCTGTCTTTGATCATAAGTGTCTACGTTCCATCTCCCGTGTTAGGTGGTATAATATGGTGAGTAATATTGAGGTTAAGCGTTGAGTATTAGATAAGGTGGGGAAATCGATCGTCGAGGTTGTGCAGGTGAATCGTTCGAGATGCCTAGAGCATGTGTTACACATGCCTAGCCTGGCCATCGCCTTCCCCGATGGGCAATGTTGGCTGATATAGGATTGATCAGGTTAGGAAAGAGTTAGTGGTGGTCTAACGAAAATATGGCTTCATCAGTTAATGAAATCCACAGCAGTTAGTTTAAATCACTTGGGGAGGTGTGGACTTTCTGGTTGGGGTCCTCGGGATGGCACAGGCCAATGGCTGGAGACAAATAGGTAATATGGTTCGACATCGTTCTCAGTGGCGCAGGTGCATTCATTCTTTGTGAATTGTCATATCCAGAAAAACTGTATTGTTTTTCCACATTACTATTCTTTTCCTTCACACTCCTGTTTGTTATCTGTTTCTGGAATCTCCCTTTACTCTCTTCTCTTGCTTTGTGTGCTACATTGTGTGGCAACTGGGACTGCTTCACTTCTGTGCAAAGTTTCTATGTTGAACCATCACGATAAAGGTTTCACCTGTTCATCACTCGTCCTCTTCAACTGTCGATCTCCAAATTCATTATCTTCTGTTTTTTTTTTTAAAATTCTTCATTCGGTTAATTTTAACTGCGACTTTCGCTAACGACTCACACTATGCTTAGTCTCTTAAACCCGCCGTGCTGACGTTAAGATAAAGTTCTCAAAATTCAAACCCTGTGCTAAGTTGGATGAAAAGTTTTATTGTCATTCCGAACTACGGATGTCATGGACCAAGGATGGATGATAATAATAGCTAGATGAAGACTGGTGTGTAAATTTTCGGAATCTGGATGTTAACTAGGAAGGAGGGAGTATATCTGCGTCTGGAATATGGGTGTATGTTTTTAATTTTGAGAAACTCATACAGTGTTTAAGTTTTGGTATCCTGTTTGACAAATGTGCTAGGTGTGCAGAATTTGTCTAGGCTGATGTGACAGTCAAGGACTTCCATCAGGGAGCCACTGTATTCCTCGGTAAATAATTAAGGTTAAATTGGGGTAAGCTAGACAACTATTATGTTGTTCCTAATCATAAAGTCTCTGACTGTTGGTTTGAACTGTGTTTGTTGGTGTAGGTTGCTAACTAGGGGTATTGGGATGCTAATAAATCACTAGGTGAAATATTTTGAATTTGTGATTTGAAGTGATTATTTTGGGTTTATCGAATATATATATATATATCGCTCATCTAAATTTCACATAATTTTTAAAATCATTAAGTAACTTAGTTTGTTTTTTACGAGTTGATCACGAATTGATATCAGTTAGAGATCCATTGAAAACCAGGGAGTACTGGACAGCTGTTTCATCCTAGTTTGGGAATCATCGGCAGTCCATTGGCTCATGAATTCTAACTTCTACCAGTTCGTGATTTAGCGCAACCCCAACCATTGTCGTAGGTGGGACATCCATCCTCACACGTGACATCTGGATGGACCTCACTGGTCACAACTTCTCACTAGAACTCCAGGAAACTCCATTCACTAGCGAGCATCAGATTAATTTTCTATAGTTTGGTTTGTAAGGGCTAGTTTTTGTTTTTACGAGTTAGAATTCATGGACTGGCCATTAAATGGGGTCCCAGTGGCTGAATGGTATATGAGCTTGCCTAGTAACCGGAAGGTCCTGTGTTCGACCCCTGGCAGTTGGTGTGTACTGTCGATGATTCCCAAACTAGGCTGATGAAACAGCTGTCTAGTACTCCCTGCGGCTGGTTTCCAGTGGTTCTCTAACTGGTATCAATCCGTGATCAACTCGTAAAAACAAAAACTAACCCTTACAAACCAAACTATAGAAAATAACTCAGTTGGGATATTTGTAAAATAACCCGAAGTTACTCACAATTTGTTTTTCCATTACTTTGAGTTTCGACTGGAACATAGGGTTCCAGACACAAAGTTTTGAAGTTTCAGTTGAGGTTACCAGCCTCACACGCCCAATCTTCCCGCTTTCCCATACTACTATCGGTTAATAAACTAGGCGAGCTGTAGATGATGTGTATTGGTTGGTTGGAAGTTGTTGAACCTCAGATCACCTCTCTCTCTCTGTGTGTGGTAAGCAAGAAATTCACCATTGAACAGCCATCAACACACATTCATAATGGCCGAGGTATATTTACTTTGTCATCTTCGAAGTGTTGAACAATCTCACTAATCCTCACTTAAGTGTTATCTTTCCTGAACGTATTTGTCCATTTTATTATTTATTTATTTATTTTTTTTTTGATTACAGCTTGATTCCATACCGTATTTTTCGGTACGGGTATGGAATCTTCAGCATGCGATATCGGTAGCCCAAATTTTGCAGGCCGACCATAGATATCAAGTGTGCGTCGGCAGGGGATCGAACCCCGGACCATGTGCATGATACGTTAATGTGTAAATTAAGCAGCGTTGATTATTAAATCAAACAAAGAGTAGAAATGCATTGCACAATATTTTTGAAACAGTGAATTCACCGTCAGTATATGATGCGACCTAACCTATCCTGATTTTGTGGACTCTTCAACGGTATTCACCCAAAAACTCACCGGGACCGAAACCAAGATCCATTGGCCATCTAACTTCTGACTGTCTCCTAGCGACCAGTTCATGTACCCAAATAGTCCTTCATCAGTCCTGTTTCGGTGAAAAAATCTTTTAATATAAGTGTAAAACTCGGCCACTGCGGTAGTATTTAATTCTATATTAATTTAGCAGATATATTACAGTGAAACATTATTATTTACTGGATGACAAAGTTTCGAACACTATTTATTACTGTTCATAATCATCATAATCATCAATTACAATCACACAACTTCGAAACTTTCGTTTCATAGTTTTCTTTATTCCTAACTATTTGTCATAGGGGTAGTAGAATTTTTCAGATTCTCTTCAGTTGATTCGACAATTAAAGCTTCCGTTATCTATCTCTCCCTCCACCCTGTTATTTGTATTACATTTTAAAACTGTCAACTTATCCCATTCTATTAAATAGTAATAGTAGTATGTAATTCCATGTGATGTAGTGCTATATCTATACTATTCTCCAGATTCCTCACCTTATTAGTGTGGACTAATTTGGTGTTAGCTGCTAGGCTTTTGTGCTCCGCTAGTCTGACTGACTCACCCCGTTCTACTATTTTGATCTATGTATCAGATCTGACAATCATTGCACGCGGAGTATCAGATAAACTAAGTTGTTTTGTTTGAAAGGCTTCACAGGATTGATCCTTTAACCGACAAAGTTTATTTCTAATTGAGTTTGTGGGTTTGAATGCCAGCCACTTTTATTGTTGCCTGCATTGTTAAAAATTCTCCGTCTCCGAGGTTTCCGTGGTTCCCTCTTTGTATGGAAGTACTACTGGTGATTTGAGTTCCCTAGTGTTGTAGTCATTATTCTGTGCATGTTTGACATGCATATCATCCTTGATAATATTATTATCACTATCATTATCACTACAGCCGCAGACACGTGCAATGGAAATGATTCAACACCTGTCCACCCAGATATCTGAAAAATTCTACTACCCCTACAACGACAAATAGGAAAGAATAGAGAAAACTATGAAACGAAAGTTTCGAAGTCGTGTGATTACAATTGATATGAGACATCAGTGTTCTTTTAATTTTTCACAGTTACGTCTTTTTCAATATAGATTAAAATCCCCATTAAGACATTTAGAATACAGAAAGATAGAGCGTAGAAACATTTACTTTTCAATTAGATCCTCATATCTGGCTCTACTGTGATATCTATAGCATTTTTATTACACTACACAGCAGTTTACTAAACAAGTGGCACTGATATGTTTGTTAGCAATAATTAGTCAGTGTCAAAATGTCAATGGGTTGATAATAAACGAAGAGAATCAAAACACATTTAAAAGGTAGAAATGGTTAGAATAAATTAATTTTAGAAGGATAACACGTAATTAAGGATGAAGTGGTCAGAAAAAAAATTTAGACAATTATAATTTTTATAATTTTAAAGGTTTAGGTGGAGGGGGCGATGTAGTTCGGTTTGCATATTCATGTAACGATGGCCAAGGCAAGGAAGGTCGCTGCACAAATTTCTTCTGAACACACAGGTTTGGCTTCTTCAGGTGGATTCCTATTGCTTCAGCTGTCTGTAGAAGACAAACTCGTAGAGCAAAATTAAGATTAGTAGGAATGATATAGATAATTTTAAATGCAGTATTAACATCAACCTTACGCTCAGTATCTACAAGGTGTGCTAAAATAGAACTGCGAATAGATCTTGTTTGTCCCTTGTTTAACCATGTTGGATGATGTTCGGAAATACGATGATGAACCTGCCTAATTGTACGCCCGATGTAGCTGGCTCCAGAGCTGCAGTCAAACTGGTAGATACACATAGAAGAGGCAAATTTAGGTAGTTTATTCTTGTATCTCGAATGCAGAATAGGGGTGGTTATGAAGAGACAACGTACCTTTGCTACATAATAAGCTCTTTTAACTGCATTCTTCAGGCGCTGTGTTATTATTTTGCTGATTTTGTCATCGAGGAACTGCAGTTTTATGAACATTGGTTTTCTCGGAACTGTTGCTATACTGACTCTCTTAGGTGGTGAATTCATATTCTTCTCAATGAATTTATCTGGATAACCATTTTTTCTAAGTAATTCTTTAATAATCTTAAGCTCCTCATTGAGGCAGTCGTCTGAACAGATATACCTGGCTCTATGAACCAGAAACTTTACCAGGTTACGTTTCTGTTTCAAAGGTACAAAACTGAAAAAATGAGTGTACTGACCTGCTGTTGTAGGTTTCCTATACACACTCCTTATTGTGCCATCTTCTTTCCTTGCCATGAAGACGTCTAGGAATGAGATACTGTCATTACTTTCTTTCTCTATGGTAAAGTTTATTGCTGAATGTGCATCATTGAACTTGTCAGAGATGTTCATTGCGTCATTCTCGTCTTTCATAACCAGAAATGTATCATCCATATATCGACAGTAGAAATCCAAGTCATTAATTACTCCTTTCATTGGTCCATTCTCTAACTTAGCGAGGAAAAAATCAGCTAGGATTGGACCTAATGGGGAGCCCTTAGCTACACCATCAACTTGTCTGTAATACTCCTTATTGAATAAGAAATGAACATTCATTGTACATCTTAAAATAAGTTCCTTCAAGTTGGATACAGAAATGCCAATGTCTATGTTTCCTCACATCAAGATCTCTTATTTTTCCAACAAATTCAAAGCTACCGTTTACGCTATGTTTGACCAATTCGTTATGCAGAGGTTTATCATGCGCTTCACTAGCCATTTTGCTGTTGCATGATATGGGGAGTTACACATATCCAACACTGGTCTTTTTAACGGATTGCTAATAAATATGAAACCCTGCGTCATAGACTACCCCTGCTAATCATTTCCAAACATCCAAACCGGTTGTTGTTTTTAATTAGTCACATTGTCTGATTCGTCAATTCTGTTAAACATTTTTTTTTCTTTTTTGCAGGTGCTTTTGATTTTGACATAACCGATAAGTCAATATCAGATGAAAGAATACTAGACGGCATAGATAAGTCTACGTATTCAAAACAAATCATAGAGAATACATTACGTCTTTTGTCGACTATCAGTGAAGATTTTACACCAGCCAAGCTGCCGCATAGTGTTAAATGCATCATTACACAGGCTATTCAATCAGATGAAAGTTTAGTTCAAAAAATACTCATGGTAAGCTTGCTTTAAAAACCGAATATGTGTGTGTAATCATCAATCTGCTCAGTAGTAAGTACCATGGATGTCATTCAAAAACAAAACAGACAGACAATGGTATACGCTACTGGTTGATATTGAATTGTTAGAAAAACTTACTCATGTCTTTTCATCTCACAAGAAAATCTGGCGATTTTCCACAATCAGTTTGTGGTTATTTAACAAATGACGAGTCGAATCCTGTGTGTTACTAGTTCCACCAGAATTCGGGCAGTTTGAATTAATTCAGCTGTCTGATCTGAATCTATTCTGCCTATATTGCTGGTAAGCTCGACGACCCCAGACGAGCAAAACTGCCGTTTAGTGTTGTTGAGTAGTTCTCAACTACCCATATCGATCGTTAGTATATATTTGTATCATCTTAAAATCAAGCCTTCTAAGGTGGTTATTAAAGGGTTTAATAGGTTATCGATAAGTTGTCACTTACTTACTTCTGGTGTTTTCAACGTAAATGCAGCGTTTTTAGTAAACACTCACCTAACTAGGACGAAACAGCTGTCCAGTACTCCATGCAGGTTTTCCAATGGTTCTTCTTTAACCATTGTCAGCTCATGATGAAGTCCTGTAACCAATCAGTCAAATCCCTACAAACCAACACTGGAATATTTTTTTTTAAAATTGGTTTGTCAATGTATTTAACTTCCTGGGATCTGAGTGATAAAATTCAGTAAGAGTTTTGCGCTTGCCAATTTTTTTTTAATATCAGTAACACTATAGTACTAGGTACACTTTTGCTGTTGCATAGCTTCATTTCCCGTGACTTTAACCATTTCATAGTGTAACGTCACACTTATTTTTTTTTCTATTTTTTTCCCATTGTTTGATTCCCATAGTTGAACTGAGTGTGTGTGTGTGTCACTTGGAAGGCACTGGTTTGAATCCTACCGGGATTGATCATTACTTAACTTGAAATTATTTGATAGTGGTGTGAGAGATCGGCAGAGTCTATGAAGTGTAGTTTTTTCCCTATTCACAACTGGCTGGCTACCTGTACTTGCGATGAAGTCGTCTCCACTAGGATGTTCATTCGATAGACATCACTTTAAATACAACTTAATGCTATTTACTGGATGGATCACTGAATAGAAATAATTTCTTTTTTTTTTCTCTATGAGTGTTGTAGAGTTGGTTGATTTGAGGCATGTTTAACTGGTTAACGCCAAAAAAAATGTTGAGTTAACATTCTGTTGTATACTCGCTCACTCACTCTCCAGCCTACATATGCTGTTATAACTCATTGGCTCAAAAAAAGTGTTTCATGTTCCCCAACATGATCCACACGTGATGTTTGTCTGTGTGTGTGTGTTAATGATGCTACCTAGTGTGTGTGTTAATGATGCTACCTAGTTGACGATGCCTAATTAGGCGTAGCGGGATTCGAAACTGTAACCCATTTGCCCGAAGATGAACAGATTAAGTCGATTAGCACAGTTCTCAGTTTACAGAGTGTTAACTGTCATAATGCATAAAAATTACACGCAATGGCTAAGTTGTATTCATTATCCTACATTTATTTACTACTGTTAAAGAAGCTTAAAATCTCATATAATTTTTAATATTTGGAATTAATTAGTTCCATTCAGGTGATGATCATTATTGCTTAACAACCTCTTACATTTCCAAGCAGCTAGTTGGTGGGGGGGGGTGGGGAGCGAAGGGTGGCTAGTTGATGTGTTACCTGGCTGCGTAAAATTCAGCAGGTAGAGCAGGGAAGGGTTTAAACCTATAAAACACCAGTGGTTGAGAGTTGAGCAAGCACCTAGAGATCAATGAATTAATTATACAGCCCCTTTGTCAATTGATTTTTATTTTTTTTTTATTTCCCCCTTTTTTTCCTTTATTTCTAGCAATTTGTAGGCAGAACACAGCATGAAGATGTTTGTGCTTTCGCTATGCATACATGTGGATTATGGATAGCTAGTTTTGTGACGAGTAGTTCATCAGCTGCCGCTTATTTACACCTTATACACACTGTCTATACCTCAATGCATTGTTCAGTGCGCCTGTATTTAGCTGGAATTAACTGTCTCATCAATATATTCGAATCAGATGGTGGGGGACTAAAGTGAGTTCTAAGGAAGTGAGCGTTCAGTTTTTCTTTTGATTATATGACAATTCATCATTGTTGCTACAGTATGATATGCGATACCAGTAGAGAGAGGGTCATAGAAGCTGTGGTGACCAAGGAACTTCTTAGGTTAGTTGAAACTCAATTATATTCGGATCGGATAAAACGGTGAACGATAAATTATTTTTTTAAGGGTAGATTTCAATAATAATCATAATAATTTGCTTTATTCCAAAACAGTACTTGTGATACAGAATGGAATTCTCAGCATTTTTTTTACTACAGTATTGCATCCAGTTAGTACATTATCAATAAATAAAATTATACATAGATTAAGGAAATCTCAGTTCATTATGACAACAACATATTGGCATGTCGGTAGCAAAGCCAAAGTTGAACAGAGTGTTTGAAGGTGTTAGAAAAGTAGGTGCTATCATATTTACTGGCGTAAGCGAGAGAAAGAAACAAAGCAGCACATAACAGAGAAAAAAAGAGAGAGAAAAGGGAAAAGAAAGAAAATGGTGTACCTATAAATGATGTGAGTTGGAAAGACGAGGTCCAGTTGTACTACTGACTATTTAATGAATTATAGGTGTCACGCCTAATGCTTTCTTTATCGCACAGAACACGAGCTAAGTAGGGTGTCGTTGAGTTTTTGTACTTGGTGATGCGAGCATATAGTTTTCTATATAGGCTTCTGGTTTTACCTGATGAGATGCAAGGGGAGAGTTTTGACTGAAGAGGGTGGTGTGAGTTAGATAACATGGATTTAGCCCATTTTTCACATGAGTCCATGTGCCTGCCTGTCGACCAGAATATTAACAAGCTGGTTAAGTGGCACGTTGCTTACCCTGCTGACAACCTTTAACATCCTGCATAATATGTTATAGTCTTTCTTCAGTAGCCCGGGAGAAACTAAGGGGGAACAATAGAGAATAATAGGCAGAATGCGAGAGTTAACGAATTGTAGGAGTAAGGGTTGGGTTATACCAGAATGTCTTAACTTCTTGATGTAGAAGGTAAGACGGAATATTTTCTCAGTAATCGTCAAGATATGAGACGACCAGGAAACATCAGCAGATAGAATGATGCCTAGGTATTTAATTTCCGACATGGTTTCTATTTCAGTGCCATCTATGTTGCACACCTCGTGAGAGCTAACCAGTTTGTTTAGGTCAGATTTATGCCTAAGGGTGAAATTGATTGAAATTGAAATATATATATATATATATATATATATATATATATATATATATATATAAATCCGCATATGTTCTAAGCCGGCTTCGGATTCAATCAAGCGTCAGTGTTTAAAGTTCATTTTGTCCCAAACCGAATTCAACTGAGAAAACGATTAAAAACCAACATTTACGTGATATCTCTTTTGTGTTCGCGGTTGTAGATTTCCTGAAGTATGCATTTAAAACCTCAGGACTTTGAGACTAAAAGGCGCGCGGCGCCAGCATTTTGATTTTGAATCGAAATTTAGTCGATTACAATTCCAAACTCTTTTAAATTCATTACGAGTTAATTAAGTGCGTTGATGGCACAGCAGCAGTGGTTAGGACTCTCAACGACCATGCACATAGTTTGAGGTTCTATCCCCTGCTGACGCACACCTGATATTAATGGTCGGCCTGCAACATTTGGGCTACCGATATCATATGCTGAAAATTCCATACTAGTACCAAACAATACTATGTGGAATCAAGCTATAATCAAAAATAAAAATTATGTCTCATTTGAGTTCCCGTTGATTGACTTTATTGGACTTTAAGTGCTCCGTCTCCATTGATGTGTCAACTCCTAGTGTAAACGCTTTGACGATGTCTTAAGGTTAGCATGTTGTTTTATTCGGTTGATGGTGGCTATCAGTGAAATTCAGAACTCCTGACAAGAAACGCCAACAACTCTCTGAAAAGGTCTATATACAAAAAGCCTACATGGAATGGACAATTCATCAACTTTCAAAGCTTTGTGCCCCTAAGCAGAAAGAGGAACCTGATATACGCTCTTCCCTCGAGGATTCGGAAGATATGCAGCGAGGAAGTGATTGACGAAGAACTGTGTAATCTCCGAAAAACCCTGATGGAAAACGGTTTCCCACCTAGGTTCATAGACAAGAATCTCAAATCTAAGAAGACTTCCGAACAAGTCCAATCCGTTCCGAAGAAAATACTTCTGCTTAATCTAGAATTCAAAGGTGATATTGAAGCAGAAATCCTTCGCAAACGCCTCTCCGAATCGCTGAGGAAAACATACTTCGCCGCGAACCTACGACTGACGTTTTCCTGCAAGAAACTGTTCAACCAGAATACGAAAGACAAGCTGTCGCATTGGGCCACCTCAACGTGCATATACCAGTTTACTTGCTCTTGTGGAGCTAACTACACGGGCCGTACCATACGCTGACTTGGAAAACGCGCTCGCGAACACTACCCAGCCTGGCTAGTAAAAGGAGACCAAAAACGCGTTCAGTGACAGAACATCTGGTCAACTCAGGACATTCAGCGCCTTTCGAAAAATCCTTCAAAGTGATAAACAAGATTCAATCAAACCTATCAAAGGGAGTGAAATCAAGACATCTGGGCATAGCTGAGGCGTTAGCTATCCAAAAACTGAAACCCACTCTTTGTATTCAAAAGAAATACGTCCAACCCTTGTCCCTGTCATGGCCATCATAAACAGGTAATTCTTTTATTAGTGACCATCGCATTGTCTTCTTATTCAAACTTCCCGTTTATTCATGTTATTTTTAAGTTTTTCTTAATCCTCATTTACACTACCATATTTTCATATCCGAACCTCCTGTCCATTTTGTCATTTTACTATTTCTACATTTCTAACTCCTAATTGCACAATATGTCAGTCTTCTCAGTAATTATGATGCTACTTTGTTTGGATTTTATCCGTCCCCTGTTTATTATGACATTTTGATTCCTAATTGTTATTGTATTAATTTCACCCTTGACCGGGAATTATTCTGGAACTTTCCCATCCATTTGTTTTAAATACACACGAATGTACAGCCTAGTTGATGTTGACTTCCTCGAAAAGAAAATTTTCTTCGCTGCAACCGTCTTTTTATCAATTCACAACTCTTTACCTGCATTCTTAGTGGGTGATTGTATTCTAGCTGAGATTGTAACCCAGCGTCACCAAAGTGTGCCTGTGCCATAGTAGCCGATATATGTCAACAGAGACCTGAACATTTTCGACTCAAGAGAATCGACCAACACGAAATTCAAATGATGATTTTGATACAGATAACAACTTAATACCCGTTGTTCGAGGGATGGGTGGCTGTCATCGTGGCCTTGTGGATACCGTTTTGGCGTTTGAAACGATGGCTTCTAGGTCCCAGTGTCAATTGGAATACCATTCACATAGAGGATATACACACACACACTTCCAACTGATTATGGAGCGCCAAATAGGGATGTAACAACCATCCTGGATCCCCTACTACTACTAGCTATCTCCAACCAATTAGAATGAATTGTATTGCAACCTCAACAGTTTTATAATTTTAATCTTCATCCACATCTGTCTGTCTGTCTGGATTCAACATAGAACTTGGCACCGAAGTGCAGCAGTTCGAGTTGCCACGTTCCAAATAGCACACAAAGGTAGACGAGAAAAGGAGAGAAGAGAATCAATAGAATTTAGATAAGTATAAGATTGAAACAGAATGAGTAATGGTAGAAAGGAATATGAAGGTTAAAGAGACTGAATACATCTGCGCTAGCCATTGACAACGATTTTCAGCCATGTCACCTATTGTCTCCAGCCATTGATTCTTAGAGTTCCGAGGGCGGGCCCCAACCCGGAAGTCTGCATCTCCCTACCTGACCCAGTTTAACTGTCAGGGATTTCATGGATTGATGCCATGTTTTTCATCCACATGAAGTTGTTTCGCGTAGTTTACACCAGCAATGATAGTAATTTTAATCATAATTATATGAAAATAACCACAATAATTAATGTCAAGATTCGATTCAATATTATTTCTATTATTATTCGACGGGAACATAGGGCTTCATTAAGCATATCTTCATTATTGTGTCCTGTTCTCTCCAGTCCTATTTAGCTGACCCCACGATTTGCTCGAAGGCTCTCATCTCCTTCTCACACGATCTCCTCCATGCCAATCTCTGACCAAGTCCAACTAGTCGCTTCCCATTCGGGTTCGACTCGACGACGGCCTGGAGTGCGATGTCATTTGACGGTCTCCTCAACTTAACTTACAGGATTCTGAATTTCAGACGAGTTTCATTTATCTCCAAACCTCTCCGTTCATTACAGTCGGACTGCTTGATAATCCGGCTTCCTCTGCATCATTTTAAGTAAAAAAAAATGGAATTGATTATTGGAATAAACTGCCGACATAAGAAGTAATTAATATCCATGCCCAGTTAGCATTTGTCTCTTAAAGGTGTCGTAGTTGTTGTTAGTCCACCAGTCGAAAAGTGGTTCTAATTCTACAGTATACTTACAGGTTTTTTTCTCCCAGTTTCGATGTTTTAACTCAATTACCCGGCATAGATCATTCGCCCACCACCACCACCACCAGCCTACAGACCACACACACATTTCGTATGAGAGCTGTTGATATCACCCAGTCCGCCCAGGCTTTATGAAGTAAGTGAACCCGTATATCCCATTGGCTGGAGAGAAAGTGGTTAAGCCAGTGAGGCACATATATTCCCACTTCAGTTCTGATAATCATCAACTTCTGTATGCCTAGATTGTGTTTATTATTCATTCAAATGCAATTCCTTGGAGACAACTCCAGTGAGATACTAACACAGCGCCTTAGAAATGAGGCGGTAAAAAGAGCATTCCCTGCTGCCGAATTACGCTGCATCTTTAAACCCACTCCTCTTTTGCGTTCGGGAGTAAAAGACTAAGTGCCTAATTTCGCCTCTTCCATGTGTATCTACCAGTTTAACCTGCTATTGTGGAGCCAGTTACATAGGCCGTACAATTAAGGGGGGGGTTCTCGTCGAATTTCCGAACATCACCCTGTGTGGTTAAGCACAGGACAAACAAAATCTATTCACATAGCGCTATTCTATCTCATCTTGTGGATGCAGAACACAAGATTGACGTTAACCATGCTTTCAGGGTCATTTGCCGCATACTTACGAACCTCAGTTTCGCTTTAAGAGTTCGACTACTAAATATTGCTGAGGCTGTTGGGATCCACATTAAGAAGCCTAATTTATGTGTCCAAAAGAAGCTAGTTCAGACACTGTTCTTGCCCCACTGACCATCTAGGTTTGAATGATCCTGAATTTTTGTGGAATTTTCCTAAGTTTAGTTGATATTCTATTCGCTATTATATGTTTATTATCCTTATTATTATTTATGCATCTTTAATGAACTGTGGTAATTCCATTGTGATTTTACTTTACAAATCGGTATTTTTTAAAAGACACTTATATTGTAATTGACTACTAATTTAGAGTCAGAAGAGAAAATTATCGAAAAGAATATACTTTGCTCGATTATTCTGTCTTTTATAGATTTCTGAATGAATATTTTTGCTATATAACCTTTTTTACAAATTGTTTGCTGTTTTGTTTTTCTTACTTTGTTTTTGTATGTTAGTTCGGTTTGGGAAACGGCTGCTTTACTTGATTTTCATATCTGTCAACTGGTGAAACTTAAGTCCACTCTACAAGATCTTGTAGAATTATATTCCGTGAATTTACAAAAATGTGGAAGAATGAATGAGTTGAAAAGTTATGAACCGTTGGCTAAAACTGCATTACTATTTTCAATATTTACAGATAAACAGGTATCTACTCTCCATATGTGTTTGTTCATTTTTACTTTTTTAATGTAGTATGTATGTTCAGTAATTGTAGTTTTTGCATGCGTGCGTACCTAATGATGTGATGGGAGGTGTAGGGCGGTCAGGATCGTGTTGATCTGTGTAGCCTAGCGGTTAAAAAGCCCTGAGCTTTCAACCTGACTAACTGACTAGTACCATCGGTTCATATACAATGTAAACATGTAGTTCATAACCTGGTACATAAAAATATGTGTTCTAACTAATCAGTTAGAAGAGATTTTTGCGTGAGAAGGCTAATAATGCTGTCAAGTTGCCAAGACGGGAGTAGGCTAAGGTGTGTGTGGGAGGTATTGAAGTCCGGGACACGTTTCAGCGTCACAATTGTGTAAGACAGCTAACTAACAGTTGGAATGTGAGTACTCAACGTGTTCTGTCCTCTTTATGTCTCTCTATAGATATTCTATTCCTTTTGTGTATTGGATTGTCCTGATAAATGATGATCTAGTTACGGCCAAGGGTGGATAAATTCAGGTTATTCCTCTCGAAATGCTCTCATGTGACCGCGCGTTCACAGCCTACGAATGTTTGGCCTGCGATTCGCTCCCGCCAAATATAAGATGATGTTACAGGACTGGACTACACTGACTCCGAGCTTAGATATAGGGAGTGAATTGGTGAAGCGTGTTGAACTCTTCACTTATTTGGGAAGTACCATCAGCCCCAACGGGTTGATCTCTGAAGAAATCTCAGTACGGATAGAGGGCTAATTTCGCACATGCCAGTTTACGCCGTCTCTGGCTTGTTAGACGTGATATCCAGCTGGCTATCGACCAAAGGGCGTGTGTACTGCTCATCAGTCCGCTCCGTCCTCCTTTATGGCTGGCTGTGAGACATAGCCATTGAGAGTGGAAGACGTGTAAAGATTAGCTGTGTTCGATCATAGGTGTCTGCGTTCTATCTCCTGTGTGAAGTGGTATAATAAGGTGAGCAATATTGAGGTTAGGCATCGGTCGAGTGCTAGGTAAGGAGGGGAAATCAATAGACGTGGAAGTGAAATTACATCGACTGAGATGGTTAGGACATATGTTACGTATGCCTAGTCATCGCCTTCCTCGACGGGCAGTGTTAGCTGACATAGGGTCAGGCTGGAAAAGAGCTAGCGGCGGTGAAACGAAAACATGGCCTTACAAGTCAATGAAATCCACAACAGTTAGTTTAAGCCAGCCACGTAGGAAGGTGTAGACATCCTGGTTGGAGTCCTCGGGACGGTAAAACCAATGGTTGGAAACACTTGGTGATATGGCTCAAAATCGTTCTCAATGATGGCTGGGGCAGATGCATCCACTCCTTGTGACTTATAATTTCCAATGAGACTGTTTCTGTTCTTCGTGATTACTATTCCTTTGTCTCACACCTGTGTTTACTGTCTATATTATGCATTTCTTCTACTTTCTTCTGTTACTTTGTGTTCTCTATTGAGGGAGTGTGGCGACTTGAACTGCCGCACATCGGTGCGAAGTTCCATGTCGAAAATAGACAGCGTTCACAGCCTCTTTCATTGCCTTCAGGTGGTGTGAAAGTGTTCCCACAAAAGTGAAAGGGTGAATACGGAAGATCAGGTGGTGTTCATAAACGGATTAGTGGGTATATGGAGGTTCACCTAGAGGATTTGAAAAAACCTGTGGTGCATATAGTCTCTAGAATCCGAAAGGATCTAATAGCATATGAACCTGTTTCGGTCACAAAAAACCATGGGAAAACAGCGCCTGAAGCTGTTCTACGGATTAGACTTAAAGTCAAAGTCCCGGCGTGTGGTCCCTTAAAACAACATCTTGCTTTGGACAGTATCTCAGTGCGCACATAAATCGTGAAACAGTAATGAATGAGAAATTGTACTCATGTGATCACCGTTACAAACTACTTGAATCGTGTTTTTTTATTAATTTAATCCTTTTTGATTTTATTTTAATGTATAAACTGTTTTGTTACATTTTTACCACTTATACTCTTTCTGATGTGTGAACTTTCGTCAACCCTTCACTACTGCTTGAAATATCAGCCTATCTGTGTATGGTTTCTAGTTGGTAAGTTGGTTGCCTTCAGAATGCTGAGCTGACCCCTTGTGCGCGATGTCTAACATGGCTCTCCTGAAACCGCGTGTCGCGTCCAAGCTTGTCAACTACAATGTTCACATACTGAAGCAAATCAGGAAGGTCCGGTCAGAACATTGGAGGGCCTCACGGTTGGTGTTTACTGAGCCCAGGATCAGAGGGGAGTTGTCTTGGTGGTGGTGGTTTAGGGTCTATATGGTAGGCAGGTCAGATAATAAATACGGACCATCTTCTGCAGCTTTTTGCAGATCACAACTTATTCCTAGCCAGCGCCAACTTCCTCCACAGCCAACGCCGTAGTGCTACCTGGCTGGCGTCCTGTCCCTCAAGCCAAGGACTCATCGTTTACATTGCTAACAGTTTCCGATGGTGTGGGTGTGGACTTCTCGTTCTTCTAGAGCACTTGTCTAGATTCTGGTCATACTTCAGTTTGTGCTAGGTTCATCTCGCGACTCGGTGGTAGTTATCTTAAACGTTGTCCCCAACAGGTTAATGTGAGTAAAATGGTAACACCTGCTACTTCTGCGAAGTACTAAGTCAAGCTAAGGTCCGCGTTAGCTTTAGTAACCACTCAAATAGTATAGATGAACATGGACTGCACCTGCAACACGTTATGAAAATAGCGAGTGAAGCTGCTTGTAGCTTTAAAGAATGTTCCGCTAAAAACCACTGGATTTCTGTGAGTCCCTTGCAACTTCTGGTCACCTGTCAGTTCACTCCGGCGGATAGCGCGAGTATAAAAACATGCGCAAAACTTTTACGCCTAAGACCAAACAGTGTTTACATCGAGACCGTGTAGCCAAGTGGTCAGTATGTGCGCTTCAGATGTAGTCAACAGTTGCATCTAGCAGTAGCTGGAAGCTGTTCTAGCTCATCTAAATCATTGGCAGCAGGGAGCATGGTGTCAGCAAGATGGTCTGTGAGTCAGATAGTACTCCAACTACCAACTTGAAAAGACGTCTTGAACACTGGGCGAGACACTTCGAGAAGCCATCTAGCTGATCAACAGCATCAGAATCCACACACCAGCTCCAGCCCTTCGTAGTCGGTTAGTACTGACGCATCAAAGGAAGGATGATATTGATTCTCCAGATGCTTCAAAATTGCACTAGTAGTTTTCTTGTATTACCTTCTCGATAACCATGCAACATAGGCTAAGTTAAACTTTGAGCACCACTAACTACCAATCAGCGAACGACCTTCAACGGACCAATCACATGAAAGAGGGACTTTTGATCAAGGAAAACGTATATTTATCGAAAAAAGCATGAAAACTGCATACAACTGTTACATAGGTCATCCTTCTCTAACATGTGACAGAAACATCTCCCAGTTTAGCCTAGGAGTGTCAATAGAAAAGTCACACCACATTCTGTACATATATTCATCTAAATGGCTATAAGTGACATCCTTTTGAGATCCATTAATGGCAGTAATCCTGTTTTTTAACCTTCCCCAAAAGCCTTCTATAGAATTGGCGTGTGTCCCTGTAATGAGATCCACAAAGTTACTGGAATGGTTCACTCTGTGATGAATATATCCAAGAGATGACAGCGAGTTATAACCTTTCTATCCATCAGTATGTACTATGGATCCCTATTTCACAAGTCTAGTAATAATAGGTATTAAAGTAGTTGACTTTCTGTCTGCTATTCTTTCCACGAATCCTTTCTGCAGGGAGGTGTCATATAAACCAATCACCCAAACATTGTTGGCTCGCTCACGACCACGGTTGTATTTTTTCTCCAATGAGACAGTTCCGTCCACGTACACGACGATACCTTCTCCGCCCAACAAAGAAGTAATTCTCTCCATTTTCCATGAGGCAATGTCTGTTTAGTGCTGGTACCACTGAACTGTTGACACGAGTCTATTTTCGGTTTCAGCAGCTGCGCTTCCAACAGGCTGTTTTAAAACCCAGTAATTACAAATATATGCAAAATCTGGGTTAGGGAGAGATGCGACCTAGCGAAAAATGTTCCTATGAAATATTAAAATCATCAGCTTACCTTCCCTAATACTAACTCGTCTCAAGCAAATTTCACAACGATGGACATATCCATCAATCGACCTGCTATAAAGCTTTTTAAACTCATGACACCTTCACACTGAATGAACAAATCCTCTCCTTCCTAAGCAACGTCATATCCAGGCAATACAGCAAAACCTTATCCTCCTCGAACTGCAAGCGTAAGTTCAATAAAAAGCAGGCAACCTTGAACTCATGTGGTGTGGATATATGAGCCTCATTGGACCAGTCGAGGTCGTTCACTGATTGATAGTTAGACTGGTGCTTAAAGTTTAACTTGACCAAAAGCTGTTTAATAAATTTATCGTTATGTATTTATTTTTTTTGAAAACATTTTATTTAGATGGATTATCTCATGCATAAACTTACCCTGTGCTTCAATAATAATAATAATGCACAAAATACTACAGAAACTATTCGTGAACTATTCAGCATGCTATTGTTAATCTTTTCATTGCCTGGCTCATATCCATATGATGAAGATGTCAGTGATATAGCCTTACAGATATGGTTAAATGCACAAGAAGTGTCTATCTCATCGTCACCGATGATGCCAACGACGCTGGCAAGAAATAACTCCTGCTTGTCGTCATCTTCTCCTTCCACATGGACCGCCATCTCGCCGGCTAACTCTAATGATGATAGTAGTCAATTCAGTGATGATATAATCAAACTGATGCATAAAGAGTTTAATCAACTTGCATTTAATAAAGTAAGTTTCATATGATCAGATAGAGAAAAATCCCCAGAGAGAGAGAGAGAGAGAAAGTGTGTTTATCCATGGTGTGTGTTTGTGTGTGCGTGTAGGCTTCATCATGAAGCTCGGTATCACATAAAAAAGCGAGCGAGAACTATTGAAAACTAAGGAATAGGTGTTGGTTCGTAATGAATGTAACCAGCCTTACACTTGAAAATGAACAATTTTTGTGCACTTTTAAAATATTCAAAAGAATGGACACGGAACAAAGAGTACTCTTTTCGATAATCCATTCATCATCAGGCTCTACCGTTATATATACATTATAGTGGATGGATGAATTAGTGTTATGAACAACATTAATGATAAAGTAACATCGAATCAATAATATTGATAGATTACAGCTCAATAGCATCAACATAAAATAAGCTGAATGTCAGAAAAATTAGGAAAGACAAAAATGACTTTAACTGGCCTATCTAGGAAGGTATGGGAAACGGAGAGTGTACCATCAATGTGGAACAAAGCAATTATCGTCTTCATTTTTAAAAAAGGTCAACGTAATTCGTGTGACAATCATCAGGGTATTGGTCTGCTACCAGTTGCGTCTAAAATATTGACTGCCGTCTTGCTTCGCAGGCTGTGCAAAACATACGAGGGGGTGATTCGCGAAGAGCAGGCTGGGTTTCGTTCAGGTTGTGGATGTATTGATCATGTGTTCACTCTTCGTCAGTTGTTGGAACACCGCCACACGTATTGCAGGCCAACGATCGTTGTGTTTCTTGATATTAGGGCTGCCTTCGATTCGTTGGACAGAACTGTGCTCTGTCTGGAATTGTCTGTTAGAGAGAGGTGTACCTGAGAAATTTGTTAACATCTTGAAAGCCCTATACAGAAACACCTCAGGTAGAGTGAGGGCATACAACCAACTATCACCACTGTTCCCAACCAACAGTGGGGTTAGACAGGGTTGCCCAATCTCTCCATTTCTCTTTAACTTTGCCATCGATGACATTCTGGAGTCAGCTCTGAAGGATGTGCGTGAAGGTGGTGTAGATCTGCTACCTGGAGATAGACTTTTCGACCTCGAGTATGCAGACGATATCGTCTTACTGTGCGATAGCATGCAGGCTGCCCAAATCGCACTTAATCAGTTGGCGATCAGTGTCTGTAAGTATGGTATGTGCTTTGCACCGTCTAAGTGCAAAGTACTGTTACAAGATTGGCAGGAGCCTGTACCTGCACTCACTCTTGCTTGCAGATGAACCGCTTGAAGTTGTTGATAAGTTTGTGTATCTGGGTAGTTGTGTGAGTGCTGGTGTAGGGGTGACGGATGAGATTTCTAACCGTATAATTAAGGCTACGGTGGCCTACATCAACTTGAGCCACCGCCGTCGTGACGTTAGACTGGCTGTCAAAGGTCGGGTATACAATGCTTCGGTGCCGGCTGTTTTGCTCTAAATCTGTGAAACTTGGCCTCTCCAAGCTGAGGATGTGCGGCGACTCTGCATGTTCGATCATCGCTGTCTCCGCAGGATTGCCTGCTTTCGAGGGTGTCATCGCGTGAGTAATTCTGAGGTTCGGTGGCGTGTGTTTGAACACAGTGGAGATCACCATTTGTTGAGTGCCATCATCTGGAAACACTGGCTCCGGTGGCTTGGACGTGTGCTGCGTATCTCATCCCAGAGGCTCCTGTACAGGTCTCTGTTCGCTAGCCCTTGGATGGGATGGAGAGGTGGTCAGTCAATGTCGTGGCGTGGTGAAATGAAGTATATTTGTGCTAGATTAGCATTGGTTTGTGCGTCCAGATTCCCTGGTTGGGATCCGCGAGATAGGTCGAATCGATGGCTCGAAACGTTATCGGATATGGCCAAGAATCGTAATCAATGGCGAACGTGCTGTAATTTCCTTCTTTTTTCCCTTCCCGATGATAGTTGACGAATACTGTTTGAACTTGTTAAGTATGACTTTTCCCTTACTGATGACTTCTTTTTCGTTCTCCACCCATAGTTTTACTCTTAATCTATGTTGTTTTATTATTATTGTGTGGCGTATCTTCTTGGTACCATATTGTACCAAGTTTTTTCTGCGTTTAAATAAGTAAATAAATAAATAACAAACTATTAAATGTCATAGGTTTAAGTTGATAAAGAGTTAGGGGTGGTTCAATCACAGTGTGTTGACTTAAGCCATGTAGGGATACATAGATTGCCTGGCTGACTGGGGTCTTTGAGACGATAATAACCAATAGCTCTCGAGTCAGTTTATGATGAAATCCTGTAAGCAATCGAGTCCCTACAAACCAACATTTGCATATCGATGAGATGCTCACTAGCGACTTGCCGTATTCAGGTAGGTAGTCACCTGGGGTTCCAGTGAGAAGTCGTGACCAGTAGGGTGCAGCAGGTCGGGCGTGAGGACAAATACTCGCCGAAGACATTGGCTAGGGATCGCGCTATGTCGTGAATTGGCAGAAGTTAGAATTCATGGGCTGGCAAGCTATTGGATCGGGTCCCAGTGGCTGATGAATGGTCTACGAGCTCGCCTTGTAACCAGAAGGTCCTGGGTTCGAACCCCGCGGTGTGGGCGAGTACTGATGAAGAGTCCCAAACTATGCCGAAACAGCTGTCTAGTACTTCCTGTGTCTGGTTTTCGAATTGTTCTCTAACCAATGTCAGCTCATGATGAAATCCTGTAACCAATCAAACCCCTACAAACCAACTCTTGAGCTCTCGAATCTGTTGGTGATATGGCTGGAAGTTGTTATCACAGTGGCACAGATGCATCCATTCTGTGTAATCTTCCTAAATCCATTAAGTCTAAATATTTTCCTGCACATTTCTACTCATCACAGTTCTTTTGAATTTCTTCTTCTCTGTCCCCTCCCTTGTCTGTGTGCAATTCAGAGTACGACAACTTAAACTGCTGCACATATATTTTCGAATCGAAAGTCTACATTGAACACTCAGCTAGTCGGTCTACATATAAACAACAACAACAACAACTTCAGGGTTTAGTGTAATATGAAGTCAATTTCCAAAACATTCTGTATGTTTATAATTTACGATCTCTTTCTCACGTTAGGTGGCATAATAAGGTAAGTAATGTTGACGTTAGGCGTAGAGTGTTGGTTGGGCAAAGAGGGAAAATCAGTCGACGAAGCTATAAAGTTACATTGATTGAGATGGCTAGGTCACGTGCTGCGCATGCCTAACCATCGCCTCCCCCGACGGACGGGCATTACTAGCTGATATAGGTGCAGATTGGAAAAGAGTAAGTGGTGGCCAAACAAAAACATGGCCTCATCAATCCATGAAATCCCTGACAGTTAAACTGAGTCAGGTAGGGAGGGAGATGCAGACTTCCGGGTCGGGACCCTCGGGACTCTAAAAATCAATGGCTGGAGACAATAGGTGACATGGCTGAAAATCTTTGTCAATGGCTAGCGCAGATGTATTCAGTCTCTGTAATAATTCAGTCTCATATTCCTTTCTACCATTACTCATTCTGTTTCACTCTTATACTTGTCAAAACTCTATTGATTCTCTTCACTCATCTTCTTGTCTACCTTTGTGTGCTATTTGGAACGTGGCAACTCGAAGTGCTGCACTTCGGTGCCGAGTTCTATGTTGAATCCAGACAGACAGACATGTTTATAATTTAACTGGTGGATGGTAACTAGCAGCGGAATCCAGACCAAGCACTTCAGTCCAATCAATCGATGGGAAAATCTAAAATTCAATTAAATAATTAATATGACCTGTTGCAGAAGAATGAGGTGGCTCTCGTGACCCAAGTGGTCTAGTGGATAACACTTTATTGTTGGAAACTATGGGCACTGGGCTCGAGCCTCGGTAGTGGGGAACATCATCACTGATTGACTGGGGAATGCAGGTACTTCCAGTTAGCTGACGAGTCCCAAATAGGACGAAGTGTGCGTTATCCTGGATTACTCCACTGCTAGTCACCATCCACAAAAATTGAATTCTCATTACATGCTCAGACATCGTGGAAGCATCTGCACAAGAAGCCAACAGACATGTCCACCTGGGACCGGGCACTCTGGTCCAATCAATCGACGGTGAAATCTAAAATTCAATCTAAAAAAATTCTGCATGTTTGACACAATAGTCTTTTCTGAAGACCATGACTGTGATTGATTGATTGATTGCCTTCAGAAGTTTTTGTATCCTTGTTTTAATTTATTTTTGATTGGTATTGATTCATGTGACTTGTTCTCTTTTGATTGATCTACATCAATATATGTGTGTGTTAACTGAAGGACTGATCCCGGGTACACCGGACTTCAGACCTCTAGGCATTCACTCTTCTTCTTTGTTTGTTTTTTCCCCAGTCGAATTGATGTCTACATTTAAAATTTCTTGCATTCCCCTTCTTATTTTTTTTTCAATATCATCCTTAGTCTCGCTATCCAAAAGACGTTAATTGTTACCTCAATGTATGGAAGTCGGAGGACCGGTGTCGGTGGTTGAAATTTCGACAAGAGTTAAGCGAATCTTTTCTTGCTGCATTTCGATATTTAAATATAACTGATTGGTATACACATGCCCAGGATCAATTCTCTTGGATTGTAAATAATAGTACAAATGAAGAATTATTAGTTAATTGGCAGGTAATGACTGTTATTATTTTTTTTCTGTTCCTGGACTGTTTCATCAGTATTCACTACTACTTTCCTTTTGTGTCTTTTCAGTTTTCAAATGGGTGGGTGTGTGTGTTGCAGGGGGGGGGAGGGAGGCGCGAGTTAACCATATACTGTCGTTTATTTTTATTAAGCACTGTCGTCTTCGTAGTTCTCAAATCAAACTAGAGTATCCATCCGGTTACTTCAGGTTTATTTTCATGTCAGAAGCCGTCATGTTACTGGCATATTTCTGAACTGAAAGACTTTTAAACAATACTTTCTAGTTTAATTCAATTTTAGATTTTCCTGTCGATTATAATTGGATCGAAGTGCCCGGTCTCAGGTTGTGAACATGTCTGTTGGCTTCTTGTGCATGTGCTTAGACGATGTCTGGACATGTAATTAGAATTTAATTTTCGTGGATGGTGACTAGCAGTGGAATCCAGCCAGGATAAAGCGCACTTCGTGCCACTTGGGACTCGTCAGCTAACTGGATGTACCTGCATTCCCCAGTCAGTGATGATGTTCCCCACTACCGGGGCTCGAACCCAGTGCCCATAGTTTCAAACATCAAAGTGTTATCCACTAGACCACTTGGGCCACGAGAGTCACGTCTTGTGCATCCTGGATTCCACTGCTGGTCACCCCCATCCACCAATTCACTTCTAATTACATGCCCAGACATCATGGAAGCACATGCACAAGAAGCCGACTTGTCAACCTGAGACCGAGCACTTCGGTCTAATCAATCAGTGGGAGAATCTAAAATTCGATTAAATAATTAATATGACCCGTTGCACAAGAGGCAGTGGCTCTCGTGGTTTAGTGGGTAGTGCTTTAGCGTTTGTAACTATAGGCATTGGGTTCGAGCCTCGGTAGTGGGGAACATCATCACTGACTCACTGACTGGGGAATGCAGGTACATCCAGTTAGCTGACGAGTCCCAAATAGGACAAAATGCGCTTAATCCTGGATTCACTTCTATTATACTCTCTGGTTGTTTAGTCAAATACACAAATGCACAAGAAAGGTGTTGTGGTGAAAATCACATCGGACATTGGTGTATGAGAGGCCAAACTTTAAAGAACTACGACCATGGAGTGTATGAATTCAAGGGTGACCTTGAAACGGTCCATGAGTTAAAGCCGCAATTTTTTCATAAAAATAGCCGCTTGTTTACGTGAAAAAAAATACACAAAATAAAGAATAAAAATGGATTACACTGATGTAACTCCAGAATACGACCGCCTCTACTCACACTTGTTTATTTACAAGAAAATATACAGACAATAGTTGAACATTATGATCCTAACCCTAATAATAATAATAATAACAATAATAATAATGATAATAATAATCATAATAATAATAGTAATAATAATACCAATAATAGTAATAATAATAATTGCAATAATAATAATAGTAATGGTAATAGTAATAGTAATAACAGTAATAGTAGTAGTAATAGTAATAATAATAATCATAATAATAATAATGTGCTATCAACCCATTATCCAAAACCGTAGTTGAAAACGAGATCAGGATAATATTTGTACCTCATTTGGTGTATAGCATTCATTACCGGCTCTGTAATAATGGCAGGTTGTTTAATGCATAGAATGGCGTACGTTTAAGGTCAACTGGTGCGTCCGCAATCTCATGGTAGCTATTGTTTAGGTTACATTGATTGGACGCTAGTAACTAGTATGATGTGTCCAGTCAAATTATCCAATACAGCAGTCCTACAGGAGGTCAATCACGAGCCCGAATAACTCAGATTGCAGGCAGTACTAGGTGACACGGATTCGAATGTCAGAAGAGAGTTGAATTCCTTCAAGGTGATTGCAGATACTCGCCTACCTAGGTGCTGGCCTGACACCGCTTCCTGTGGTCGATTGCCTTCAACCGCTTAATATCATTCTCTAAGGTTGTCTGTAGGAGATAAATATAGAAAGAGAACGAATAAATAACTACAGTCGGCGATGAGATATTTATATCTATCCTGAGATTTTGTCACCAATCACTACTCCTCTGAGACTGATACAATTAACTAGACAAGTGGATATACCATAGAACCGATCACAGTCATCTGCGCCCTTTAGGTTACCGAGACTTCCTTGAATTTGTATGTGTATGTATGCATGATTATTCTAGGTGATATATATATATATATATTAAATGAGGGAAAGGTAGTAGTCGCTTTCCTCTCAGTCTTGTGTATCTGCTTGCTAACTGTAATGAATGCTGGTAATGCGAACTGTTAAACGCTGATGTCAACTCCAATTTCATTTACGGATTCATTTACACTTGTAACAACCTTGAGCAGCAATCTTCGTATGTTTGGCATGCAATTCGCCCTTGTAAAATGTAAGATGCTGCTACAGGACTGGACTACGTTAACTCCTAGCTTAGTGATAGGGAGTGAAGTGATAGAACATGTTGACCACTTCACCTATTTGGAAAGTTGTATCAGCACCAACGGATTGATTGGTGACGAAATCTCAACACGGATCCAAAAAGCTCGAGCTGCTCTCGCTAACTTACACCATCTCTGGCGTAGGCGTGACATCCGACTATCAACCAAGGGACGTGTGTACTGCTCAGCAGTTCGCTCCGTCCTTCTCTATGGCTCTGAAACATGACCAATACGAGTTGAAGACATGAAAAGGTTGACTGTTTTTGATCATAGATGTCTACAATCTCTTTCTCATGCTAGGTGGTATAATAAGGTAAGTAATGTTGACGTTAGACGTAGAGTGTTGGGCAAAGAGGGAAAATCAATCGACGAGGCTATGAAGTTACATAGATTGAGATGGCTAGGTGACGTGCTGCGCATGCATAACCATCGCCTCCCTGCCCCCGACGGACGGGCATTACTAGCTGATATAGGTGCAGGTTGGAAAAGAGTAAGTGGTGGCCAAACAAAAACATGGCCTCATCAATCCATGAAATCCCTGACAGTTAAACTGAGTCAGGTAGGGAGGGAGATGCAGACTTCCGGGTCGGGACCCTCGGGACTCTAAAAATCAATGGCTGGAGACAATAGGTGACATGGCTGAAAATCTTTGTCAATGGCTTACGCAGATGTATTGAGTCTCTGTAATCTTTCATATTCCTTTTTACCATTACTCATTCTGTTTCACTCTTTTACTTGTCAAAACTCTATTGATTCTCTTCACTCATTTTCTTGTCTACCTTTGTGTGCTATTTGAAACGTGGCAATTCGAACTGCTGCACATTGGAGCCAAGTTCTATGTTGAATGCAGACAGACAGACACTTGTAACAAGTGTATTGGGAGGACAGTGTCTAAGAGATCTCAACAACTAACCACATGTGAAGAAAATTCATTAGACCTTGATTTTGATGGTCATGCGAATTCACTTATTTTCATGTAGCTTACTTAATATATTTAAAGGTGTGAAGATTTTCAAATCTTATTTGATGTCAAATTAGATCACAAAGTCAGGTGGTCAGCTAGAGAGCATCACTGAAAATCTCATGCACAGCCGTCTCATCCTAGGTCGCAGCTCTGTGATCTTATCACACTAGCTATCGAACCCAGGACCTTCAGCTTACAAACTGAGCCGGTTGATATATATATCGCCATTCCCAGTCAATATTATTAGCGAGTACTTGTCCTCACATAATGACTTGGTCGACCATGTCGGTCCATAACTTTCCACTGGGGAACATAGGTAACCTCGTCCTGTGGTGGTCAGTCAGTCAGTCACCAGTGTCAGTCTGCAAGGATTTAATCGGTTTCATGAAGTGACACGACTAGGTCTGTCTGTCTGCAAAGGAGAATGATGCTCAGAAAGGCTTCGTGTGCTTTTGGAAGTGTGTGGGCGGTTGTTACTTCCCGGTTGCCCACACTGTGTAAGTTGAATGATTCTTCGCGTACCTGAAACAGAAAGAGGGTTAGTGTTGCGTGCCCGCAGAGCCCAGCGGACAACTGCTTGAGGCCAGCCGGTAACATATGGCCTTTATGAACTGGTTTCTGGGATTGGTTCCGTATTAGTAGACTTACCACCGGTTATGGAACACCGTACAATTGTTAGCGTCGATCTTTTCTAACCCCCTCTCTCCGGAGTGGAGAGACAGCATAGCTGGCCGGTATGCTGGTCATCTGAGGGAAACACCTCACTACTGTTACACCCCTGTTGCCCCGCAGTACGACTTTACCCTCACACCCCCAGCATAGTGTAGGAAAGATTCTTACACTATGCCGATAACTGCTTTTAGTGTAATCGCTATCCTAACAACCTTTCTGGCATGGTAGGACGACCTGCAGGAACATTGGTTCCTGCCAGTGTAGCTTGTTGGGTCATTGTGATGTGCAAGCTCGACCACCACCACGTCATGGTAGCAGGTATCTCATTCTCCTTTCTGATTGGTTAATTTTTTTTATTTTCATATTTTCGAAAAGAGAAAAAAACAAACTAACAAGAATTAATAAATGCATCTTATTTTTACTCTCCAGGATATTGAAGCTCTACTTTTTGTGTTGCTGTCAATCAGTGAACAAGTCTTATATGAAAATGCATCTGGTGTGATGGTGTTCAAAGAATTTGCCAAGTCTATATCAATTTCTTTGATAAAATTTATGAATAGAATTCAACAGTTAATTGCTTATTATGCAATAAATGATACAATGAGTGAAAATCGAATCATTCAAGGGGGCAGTCAAATATACGCTTATCATCCACAATGTTTAATTTTATTTAAAACGCTACTATTATGCTTTGAAAAGTATTATACAATTGTACTCAGTGTACTGAGATCATCAGGACAGAATGAATGTCTTGAATGTCTTCATGTTATAGTGAATATATTGATATCTACTACTGAAGTAGTTGCTTACAAAGATGAAGTGATAAGTCTACGGCATAGTGCACTTCAAATTCTACAAACTATGCTAGAGGTGAGCTAGATACAATTATGATTTTTTTTTAAAAAGAATTCTTTTTACGGGCTAATGAAGAAAGACTATAACATATTACGTAGGATGTTATAGGTTGTCAGCAGGGTAAGCAACGTACCACTTAACCAGCTTGTTAAAATTCTGGTCGGCAGGCAGGCACATGGACTCATGTGAAAAATGGGCCAAATCCATTTTATCTAACTCACACCACCCTCTTCAGTCAAAACTCTCCCTTTGTATATCATCAGGCAAAACCAGAAGGCTATATAGAAAACTATATGCTCGCACCAGCAAGTACAAAAACTCAACCATACCCTACTTAGCTCGTGATCTGTGCAATAAAGAAAGCATTAGGCGTGATACCTATAATTCATTAAATAGTCAGTAGAACAACTGGATCTCGTCTTTCCAACTCATATCATTTATAGGTACAACATTTTCTTTCTTTCTTTTCCTTTTCTCTCTCTCTTTCTATTATTCTTCTGTTATGTGCTGCTTTGTTTCTTTCTCTCGCTTACGCCAGTAAATATGATAGCACCTACTTTTCTAACACTTTCGAACACTGTTCAGCTTTACCTTTGCTACCGACATGCCAATATGTTGTTGTCATAATGAACTGAGATTTTCTTAATCTGTGTAGAATTTTATTTATTGATAATGTACTAACTGGATGCAATACTGTAGTAAAAAAAATTGCCGAGAATTCCATTCTGTATCACACGTACTGTTTTGGAATAAAGCAAATTATTATTATTATCATTATTATCACAGATTGATATCAGTTAGGGGAACCATTGAAAGCCAGGCGCAGGGAGTACTCTACAGCTGCTTCTGTTGGCCTAGTTTTGACAATCGTCGACAGTACACACCACCCACAACAGGTTCGAAACCAGGACCTTCCGGTTACAAGGCAAGCAAGCAAGCTCGTATACCATTCAGCCATTGGGACCCGACTTGGCAATGGACCATGAATTCTAACTTCTACCAGTTCATGATTTAGCGTGACTCTGGCACCAACCAATGTCGTCGGTGGGACAACCATCCTCACACTTGACATGTGGGTGGACCTCACTGGTTACAACTTTTCACTAGAAGTCCAAGAAACTCCATCCTGTAGCAAGTCACTAGCGAGCATCAGATTAATTTTCAAAACAGAAAGATTGAGCGAAGAAATATTTACTTTTCATCTAGATGCTCATCTCTGGCTCTACCCTAATGTATATAGCATTTTTATTACCATACACAACAGTTTGGCAAAGAAGTGGCGATATGTTTGTTAACAATGATTAAACAGTGTCAAAATGTCAATGGGTTAATAATTAACGAAGAAAATCAATACACATTTAATTTTCTATGATTGATTTGTAAGGATTAGAAATTTGAATTCATGGACCATTGAGGGATCAGGTCCCAGTGGTTGAAAGGTATACGAGCTTGCTTGCTTGTAACCGGAAGGTCCTGAGTTTGACCCCTGTCAGTGGGTGCGAACTGTCGATGATTCACAAACTAGGTCAGCGGAAATATCTGTCCAGTACTCCCTGCGGCTGGTTTTCAATGGTTCCTCTAACTGATATCAATTCATGATCAACTCTTAAAAACAAATCTAATTCTTACAAACTGACTATTGAAAGAGATTGAAATTAGAAAGAATAGAAAGAATTCTTTATTTATTTTTTATTCAACTAAAGTATATAGTATTGATGTTTGCTTTGGTAGATGGCTCAGGTTCGACTCGCAGTTGACGTGCCTACTCTTAAACCTCATCTAGAGTTTATTAACTAACTGTCAGTAAGCCTGGATAAGATGGAACATTGATTTTGAGACTAGCAGCTTCACCATGTGAGGGCTGGGGCAACACTGCTACTGAAACCGCAAAACCTTGAAGCATTGTGTTCATTCCGGAATGTAGGGAATGCGCAGAATAGTGTCAAGTGTTATATGTGTTGGGGTTAATCGTCAGGATGCCCCTGGGTTATCTAGGCGTCGTGCCGATTGGGACTCATCACCAAGATTGTGTATCTACTGATATCCACTGTGAGATTTGCAGCCGCGTCTCTTGATACTCCAGTCAGAGATGTTAATCAGTGCTTGGTTTGGGGGTGGGGTATTAGGGTCCAGGATTTACCTCCTCTAAACTGCCGCAGTGTGACCAGTGTCATTTGTCAGGACCTTAACTTTGGTACTGATTGGGTATGGTAGTCATTCTTTCTGCTAAGATTACTGACGTTTAAGTTTCGCGGTGACTTGTTCGCATTCTTACCTTCAAATGAATCATTAGAAGTAGTCCTTCCATCTTTACCTATTATTATTAATTATTAAAATGCAAACTTGGTACATTATGGGCACTAGGTGATGTACCACAGAAAATCTCATAGTTTGTCTGTGGGCTGGGGTGGTACTGTCCGGTCATCAATATAGAAGCAGGAGCCCCATCCCCGCTGTTCCAAGCCTTTGGCTTGAATTCTTCTCACCCACAAGGTGATGGAGCTGCGTTTCTTTTGGTTTCCAGTAACCAAAACAAGTTCATAAGCTCGCCATTCGTTCCTTGCGAATTATAGTTTTCCTGTTATCTCTAGATTAGACCAGCATGTTCATCCTTCCGGTTGTAAGCAAGCACCAGGCATTTGGATTCACCCTTGCACTTTCGGAGGAACTTTCCTGACTCTTGAAGAGGTGGTGAATAGGACTTATCTGGCAGATGCTATGAACATGTGACCACATAAGAGGATTTTGGGAGAAATCCTAAGCTATACGATGTCGTTTATTGGGGTGTCCTTACCGAACACAACACCTAACTAAAGTCAATATAATAACCAACTATATTACATCGTGTCACACAGAAGAAATTGAGTACTAGTAGCTATCTTCAGAAACGCCTAGTCCTTTATGTTCCATTTTCAGCGATCATGTCTCATAGCCAACTTTGTTAAGTATGCCAATGACCTAACTATTTCAATGTCTGTTTAACTCCCAGCTTGACTGTACTAAGATGAACAGCTTTCTATCAGGAATGAGCAAATGGTCTTCGTCTAACGGCCTTAAGCTAAATCCTTCCAAATGTCAGAGTGTTAATTTCAGTTTCTGATGTAAACGAAAGTTAAACGTAGCTGTTGGTCCCTATGACCGTTACAAAATTGATGATACTGATATAGAAACCAAGTCTGATGTGAAGTATATTTGATTAATTCTCTCTTCTGACCTATCCTGGTCCTCCCATGTCTTAGAGATTTCTAAAAGAATATTTCGTCTGACTTTTTACATTAAGAAGTTAAGGCACTCAGGCATAACTCAACCACTCCTCTTACAGTTTGTCAACTCGTGTATTTTACCTATTATTCTTTACTGTTCAACCCTGCTTATTCTTTCCTGAATTGCTTAAAAAAGACTATGTCATACTTCGTAGAACTCTGAAGACTGACAGTCAGTAGGATGAGTGGTATCCCATTGGGCCATATCGTTGACATCGTCATTGATAAACATTTGATTTCATGCAACAAATTTGCTAAAGGAATTTTGTCAGACTCTGAGCACCCACTCTACCCGGAGCTCCAACCTTGTGTCTCCCCAGGTAAAACAAGAAGTCTTTTCAGAAGACTTTATGCACGTACGTCTAAGTATAAAAATGCCACTATACCATATTTGATAGCACGTAATTTATGTGATGAGAATAGTGTTAGGCATGAACTAACTAACCTTCTTTGCACTAGTAAATAAACCATTTCCTCCATTCTTAAAGCATCAAACTTTATTGTTATTGTATTTCTTATATTTACAATCCTCTCAATTTTTTTGTTTTGTTTATTTTTTTTCATAAGTTTGAACATCATTTAAGCTGAGTTATAACTGTTAATTTTGTATTCCCCCTCACCATACTGTATCAATAGAACATTAGATCCAATAATCTATAACATGCTAAAGTTTCCAAACTGAATCGACAATACCGTTTGAAACAAACTCACTGTTATTATTATTATTATTATTATCATTATTATAATTATTATTATTATATTTAATAATCTCAATTCGTGCTTCGAATATTTTTGACTTTATGTCGTAAATGTAGACAAGTTCCTCTGGTTAATTTTGTTTAAATTTTTAATTTTACTTATATTTTGAGTAAATCAGATGCAAGGTGTTGTGACAAATGCTGAGAATTCCATTCTGTATTATAAGGACTGTTTTATAATAAAGTAGATTATTATTATGCCCAGCAAATATGCAGGAGAAAGAAGTGGAGATGGATTGGACACTCGCTGAGGAGGCCGTTGGGTGACATTGCGCGTCAGGCCAGTGCTCGAGTGGAACCCGAAAGGGAAGTGGTGAGTGGGACGTCCAAGGGTGACATGGAGGAGATCGTGTGAAGAAGAGTTGAAACAGTATGGATTAACATGGATGCAAGTGAAAAGTATAGCAGAAGACAGAAACAAGTGGAGACGTGCAGTTGAAGCCCTATGTTCCACTAGGAACCCAAGGGAACAATAATAATAAGATTATTATTATTATTAGATAACCGTAGATGTTAGTGAACTACTGCTTTGTAAACACATCATATGATGATCAACAATGTGAGGCATCACGTGTACACCAAAGATGATGGAGGATGTAAGTCGGTAAATAATACCACATAAGACTTTTATAATTCCTACCGAAGCAGTTGTTGTCTGTTTGTCAGGGTGAGAAATTTCTGCATATTTATTGTTCAATACCAGTTATGTTTTTTTGTTTTGTTTTGATTACAAAATTTTATTTTATTTTTTCATTTCTCTCTCTATTGTGTTATCTATTCAGCATAAATCTCCCTTCTCTTTACAATCATCCATAAGTTTAATTGCCTCTGCATTAGAACACTTGTACAGTCGATCACGTCCACTGGATCCAACAAGTTGTAATTTATTGTTTTATTGTACTGGACTATTATTACGATCACCGGAAAATGCACCATCTACATTATTGTCATTACGAAATATTATATCAGATCATTTACAATATTTTGTAGAATTATGCACTCCAGGACAGAGTAAGTGTGCATTTCAAAATATAGACTATTACTTGGTTGTTGTTGTTGTTGTTGTCGTTTTTCCCAATGATGCTTAGTAGTGAAATGCAGGATTCCAGGTTTCGTCCCATTTTGGTATTCGCCAACTGTGAATAAGTCTACCTGCAACTTCAGCCGGTGATGGTGTTCACAGTGTGAGACTCGTCACTGATTGATTGATTGGCCTAGTGGATAACGTTTTGGCGCGTTTGAAATGGAAGGTGATGGGTTCGTGTCTCAGTGTCTCAGGGACACTATCGTACACTGAGGATACACGTACATCCAATGATGAGTCCTGAATCTAGAACGAAACACACATCCTAGACTCTAGTGTTAAGTGTATGTTTTGGTTGTAGACGCCATAATGCAACCCATAATTAATGATTATCTAGTATAAAACAGTGATAGCTAGATACACGAATACATACCGTATATTAAAACTCCAATTGACACAGAGTACCTTATGTTTCGCTTCTGTCTTCTTCTTCATTTCGTGCCTTCTGTAAATTGGTTCTCTCAATTTTCGCTATTTCTCTCATTCGCAACATATTTCATGTCTATGTTCATTATTTTAAAAATTCTTGAAGAAGACGTTGCATTTTATTATTTGTTCTCTTGGGTTCCCAGTGGAGCACAGGGCTTCAAAAGCACATCATTTAACTCTTTTCCCTGAAGTCTTGCAACTGGCTTCATGATTTCTCATAACCTTTTATTCCCTTCCTCATGCGATGCCTCCCATATGACTATCGGACGCCTGACTCCTCGTTTCCCATGCGTGGGTTCCACTTGAGCTGTGTGGCCTGGTGCATAATGTCACTCTACAGTGTTTTTTAACTTATATCCTATCCATCTTCATTTCCTTTTGCGTATCGGTTGTTGGCTGGTTCACTCACTGCCTATTAGACTTTCTTGTTGATCATCTTTGCTGACCGGCTGCTATTCGATCTCCAGTATCAATAATTTCAAAGGGGGAATATACTGATGAAAGTTTTCAGTAGCCAACTTGGAATGGTTCTAGGATTTCATCATGAGCTGACATGGGTTAGAGAACCATTGGAAAACCTGCAGGGGGTACTGGACAGCTGTTCCGTCCTCGTCCGGGATTCTTCAGCAGTACGCGCCTACACCGCGGGGCTCGAACCCAGGACCTTCCGGTTACAAGGCTAGCAAGCTTGTAGACCATTAAGTCACTGGGACCCGATCCAATGGTCAGCCAGCCCATGAATTCTAACTTCCGCCAATTCACGACATGGCGCAACCACTAGCCAATGTCTTCGGCGAGTATTTGTCCTCACACCCGACCTGCTGCAGCGTTCCAAACTACGACAACTGAAACGGAAACAGCTGTTCAGTACTCCCTGCAGGTTTTCCAATGGTTCTCTAACCAATGTCAGCTCATGAGGAAGTCCTGTAGCCAATCAATAAAATCCCTACAAAACAAACACTTGAAATGTTTCTTTTGAAGAGTGCACGCCAGGTCTATGAACCAAATAGAAGCAGTGACTTGACTGATCGAACATTAGTGTTGAGGATCTGGATCTCGTAATGCACTGATAATACTAGTTTTTTGTTAGTGGTACACGCCACACATCCTTGTTAGATCATTTCCAGTGTACCATTTTACTGTATTGAATGAAAGACAGTCAGCCTTCTTTCGAATAAAAGTACTATAGAGTGTATGTCTTATAAGCTGACTTCATTATTATTACTTGTTTGGTAGTGATTAAAATCAAATGACTTTACTCTACGCAACTTTGAGTACATATCATATCGGTAAACCTATCTGACCTCTAAATTGAATGATTGTTAGTCAATTAGACACAGAAACACACACCCACGCATATATACACATATACATGCAATCAGTTCATAATATCTAAGCATGCATTTAAAAAAAAATGTATTTCTTATCTATCCATGTTTAGGTTCTACTGAATTACGTCAATTTTGTGTATCAACAAGCGCGAAATCGCCTCGTAGAGAAAATTCCACTTTGGATAAATTTGAGCATATTGCAACTGTGGTAAGTTAGTTATGGAGCTTTTTGTTATAGAGGTTTTTGTTATAGTTGTTGTTGATTCATTAGGCTCTGTCATAATGGCACTGATTAGTCAATGAGCTCCTTACTATGTGTAACCTGAATGAAAGAGTTAGTGGATTCGATTTCCGTCATGTGTGTGCGTTGCAGGGACTAGGGCGCGACGGCTCTATAGACGGCTCCACAGTTCTATGACTGATTCCAGTTGGGTTTTTTCTACTTATTCGTGAATTATTCTATCACCTGTACATTCACACATATTATAGTCTTTAAGTATTGCTTATTTTTCTCTACCTACGTTTGTTTGCTACCTGGAGTGTGGTAACTTGAACCGCCGCACGTCTGTACAAAGTTCTGCCTTGAAGGTGGTCACTCATTTACTCACACAAAACCGGTAAGAAAATAAGAACCCCATGTATGCGTTTGCCTGCAAACTTATACGATACTATTCAGTCGTCTAACCTGAGGTAATATGAGAACGTGATCCAAGGAAGGAACCTCGGAAACCTTACGCAGAATTCTTAACAAGGCAGGCAGGAATAAAAGTGGCTGGCATTCAAACCCACAAACTCAGTTAGAAACAAGCTTTGTCGGATCAAGGATCAATCCTGTGGAGCCTTTAAAACAAAACAATTTAGTTTATCTTATACGCTACAAGAATGATTGTCAGGTCGAATGCATAGGTCAACCTAGTAGAATAGAAGCAGTCAGACTAGCTGAACATAAAAACCTAGTGAAATCTAGATTGGTTGACTCGAATAATGTAAGAAATCTAGAGAATAGTTCAGCTATAGCACTACATGCAGTCACACACAACCATACAATAGGATGGGATAGGATGACAGTTTTAAAATCTAATGCAACTAACATGGTGGAGGGAGAAACTGATAACAAAAGCTTTATTTATCAAATCAACTGCGAAGACGTATAATAGGAATGATTCAACACATGTCCAGTCGGATATCTGGAAAATTCTACTACCCCAATAACGGCAAACAGGAGGGAACTAAGAAAACTATGAAACTCAAGTTTCGAAGTCGTGTGATTATAATTGATGAAATGATTATGAATAGTAAATAAATTTTGTTCGAAATGTCATCCAGTAAATAATACTGTCACTCCACTGTTTGATACATCTCATAAACAAACTAATTTTGAACGCGATCCAACGATGGGCAGTCGGTTATTCAGGACGTTGCATCACACTTCAATGTCATATATATATGTATATATATATATATATATATATATATATAATTGTATATTTGTGCGTCCTATAGACTCTTATCTTCTATGGCTTTAGTACGAAACTTCCTAACTGTTTTAAGATTTAAGTCGTCACCATCTGACATTAGTGGGAGAATCCTTGTAAACTACAGAGAGAGATGAGTAGCTGTTTCATTCTATATTTTGGAATTCATTAACAGTGTGCATCTATGATCCCACAAGGAGTGGGTACCAAGACACCTGGTTACGGGGCTGGCTCACACTGCTGATGAGTCCAACACTAGGGTGAGAATTAGCTGTACAGTGTGTTCTTTGGTTTTCAGATCGGGGAAAACACCCATAAGGACATTAGAAAGAAGAGAACACGAAGTTCAGCAAAGATGTTGATCTTTTCGGCGATTTCATTTTCACGGATACAATTCTTGTTTGTTTCCACATAATTACGACGGTGAATAGAAGGTGACAATTGTTTTCAACTACCTATGGTTTACGAGAGGCTTAGAAACAAAAAGTTACACAGGATTAAAACGAATAACAAGTGTGTAAATATGAGCATGGGAACAAAATTGAAATAATAATTTTCAACTTGAGTTGGGAGGTGCAAATATAGATTATTGGAGCCTTAGAAACACAAAAATTGCACAGGATTAGAATATAATTTTAAAATAGTTATTTCAAACGAATTACAAATGTGAGCAGGAAAAGCATGGAAACAAACTTAAAATAACTCTTTTTATAACTGAAAAAATGGGGTGAATTGAATGAAGACAAAAGGAGTAAGAATCACACACACAGTCGATTTCAAACTGATATTGGTTTCTGACGAAAATCCAGATCCGTACTAAAATTTTACATCTGAATGAAGGTTTTTCTCGACAAGGGAAAATAGATAAATAAAAATTACATATTATTATTATTGTTCCCTTGGGCTCCTAGTGGAACATAGGGCTTCAACTGCACGCCTCCACTTGTTTCTGTCTTCTGCTGTACTTTTCACTTGCATTCATGTTAGTCCATACTATTTCAACTCTTCTTCACACAATCTCCTCCATGTCACCCTTGGACATCCCACTCGCCGCTTCCCTCTCGGGTTCCACTCGAGCACTGGCCTGACGCGCGATGTCACTCAACGGCCTCCTCAGCGAGTGTCCAATCCATCTCCACTTTCTCCTGCATATTTGTTGAGCGATTGGTTCTTGTTTTGTTTGTTCCCATAGTTTCTTGTTGGTGATTCTTTCTGGCGGCCATCTGATCTTCAGTATAAAACGAAGACAGCTGTTGATAAAGGTCTGCAACAGGCTGTTGGAAATATTCTTTGTGACACATTGGCCAAGTTTCTGATCCGTATAGAAGAACTGACTTGACGTTTGTGTTGAAAATCCGGATTTTGTTGTTGATGCAGACTGAGTGACGAAGATTTCCAGATTGGTTTCAGGTTGATGAATCTGTTTCTCGCCTTCCTGATTCTCGATTTGACATCCTCGTCCGTTCCTCCTGTAGTTGAGACAATGCTCCCTAGATAAGTGAATGAAGTAACCTCTTTCAAATCCCTCCCGTTGATGATGATTGGTGCTGGATGTTGCTGCTGCTGTTGTTGGTTGGTTATTCAGTATTTTGAGGGGTGTTGCGGTAGAACATGTGGAGGTATTTAGGTAGAATATTTAAACTTCTTTTGACTCCATTTCATGGTCGCCCCTCCCCATTTCGACTCATTCCACCACTGCATTACTCAAAATTCCTAAAGAAGACATCACATAACGTACTGGTTATAAACTGCTGTCTGTATCAAACGGCATCACAATAGGGCGGGGCCGGTGGTAGGGGTGTATTAAAGGTGCACCATCATAATCGAATAACATGTTACGTAACCAGGAGAAGGCGAATTGACAACTTATTAAGTTGATTTGATGACTAATCGTTTGGAAATCAGTTGAGAAAATACAAGTGGATTAAGGATTGGAAATACGTCGCGGAAACATAAAACGGACTGCATAGAGAGGGCTTACTATACAGTTGTTCAGAAACACAAAAAAACAGGGAAGAAAAATCAGTATTAAGGCGATGGTAGTAAAAGAGGCTGGGTAAAACGTTTTTGGACACAAAGTTCAGATTGCTAAGACTTTGCCTGTTTAAAGAAGATATAGGAGAAGTCCTTTCGAACGGTTTGATCGTACTTTATATATGACTATGAAATAAGTTACCTGTGATTCTGCCCTAGAATCGATCTGTTGACTGCTCTACGTTCCCTTTTTCTCTTACAACCATACGTGTAAATGTATTCCCGGACACGTCTAGACACAAAATGCCCTGCTGGTACAGCCGGCGTACTTAGCTCCACAGGAGCAAGTGGATTGGTAAATGCACATTCAAATTGTCAATAGCGGGATCTTGTCTTTGACGTTTCGGTGAATAAGAGTATTTGTGGAGAGAAGGTGACGCGTGTGTAGGCATGTAGCGAAAAACGTTCTTCGAATTGCTGTCGACACAGTCCCTTCGACAAATTTCAAAATTACAATTAGTTGTTTCTTCGACACATTCAGCTTTCGAAGAGTATCGGTCTGTCTATTTAGATGTATGTCGATGAAGGCGGTTGGATATCTATTTTTGATTGGAGTGTGTGTTTCAAACAGATTCCAGATTCTCGTAGCAGCTCGCAGACCATGCACATGGTCCGGGGTTCGATCCCCGACCGACGCACACCGATATCAATGGTCGGCCTGCAAATGATGGGCTACTGATATCACATGCTAAAAATTCCGTACTTGTACCAAAAATACGGTGTGTAATCAAGCTATAATCAAAAATAAAAAAAGGTGATGGGATTTCTTTATCTGCTTACTAGAACAAAATTAATTGATAGTTTACCAACTGCCCAATTCTAATTGCGTTTGTGGGGTAGATTGATCTTTTTAGGCTTCCATCTGATCGATCGTCTTGTAATTTTGACATCTAGGTAGAGGATAATTTACCTTCTGATTCCCGGTTCAATTTTAAATTCGATTGGCTGATGAGGAAGAGTTGTTGAAGATTGTTTTCTCAAGATTTCGTGTAGGTTGGTATTTTCATCGGTGAGGATAACAATATCCTCCATATATACATATAGATTCACCACTTGTAAACTTCGAAGGCTTTGATACTTCTGGTATGATGATATTTGGCTCAAGTGCGGTGGTGGTGGTGGTACTCCATGAAGCAATCGGTGAGTAATGGACCAAGTGGTGGATGGAGGAGAGTCCAGTGTTTCTCAATCTTTCTGTGTCTCTCTGTGCCCCCGCCAAATGTGTAAGATGATGTTACAGGACTGGACTACACTGACTCCCAGCTTAGATATAGGGAGTGAATTGGTGAAGCGTGTTGACCTCTTCACTTATTTGGGAAGTACTATCAGCCAGTGCCAACGGGTTGATCTCTGAAGAAATCTCAGTACGGATACAGAGGGCTAGTTTCGAATATGCCAGTTTACGCCGTCTCTGGCTTGGTAGACGTGATATCCGACTATCAACCAATGGGCGTGTGTACTGCTCATCAGTCCGCTCCGTCCTCCTTTATGGCTGGCTGTGAGACTTGGTCGTTGAAATTGGAAGACATGAAAAAACTAGCTGTCTTTGATCATAGGTGCCTGCGTTCTATCTCCCGTGTGTAGTGGTATAAGAAGGTGAGAAATATTGAGGTTAGGCGTCGAGTGCTAGGTAAGAAGGAGGGGAAATCAATCGAAGAGGCTGTGAAATTACATCGACTGAGATGGTTAGGACATGTGTTACGTATTCCTAGCCTAGTCATCGCCTTCCTCGACGGGCAATGTTAGGTGATATAGGGCCAGGCTGGAAAAGATCTAGTATGTGGCGGTCAAACCAAAACAGTTTAGTTTAAGCCACTTTGGGAGGTGTACAATTCCTGGTTGGGGTCCTTGGGACAGTAAAAACCAATGAAGGCTGGAGACAATTGGTGATATGGCTTAAAATCATTCTCAATGATGGCTGGTGCAGATGCATCCACTCCTTGTGACTTATGATTTCCAATTAAACTGTTTTGTTCTTCGTTATTACTATTCCTTTGTCTCATATCCCTGTTTACTGTCTATATTATGCATTCCGTCTACTTTTTTCTGTTGCTTTGTGTGCTACATTTAGGGAGTGTGGCGACTTGAACTGCCGTACATCGGTGCAAAGTTCTGTGTTGAAAACAGACACAGACAGACAGTCACAATAATCAAGAAGCTCAAGTGTGCTAATGACTTCCTACCGGTTGTCTCCAAAAAACCATCTAATATTTGTATCGTTAGTGTGCTTTAAAAAGAACTCAGTCCATAGCCCCTTTGTTGACACATGATATTCGATAACGTATTTGAAGTGTAAAGGTACTCACTCACTGATTTTATGGAAAGATTTTTTTCTTCTCCCGTTTCAATTCAATTTCGTGATTATTTCTTTTGAAATTTTAAATTTCAGATGAAAATCTTCACTCAAATGTTTCGTGGTTATACTGCTGTCGGAAATGAGATAACACATAAACCAGTCCATGGTGAGATGTTATCGATTTTAAACAAAATATATTTTTATTCGAAAAACTCTCTGGAAATAGCGTGTCCTCATATTCCTAAATATTTCAAACAGGTAAAGATAGTCGTTGCTTTTTTTTCTACTGGAGAGAGTGCTTTTATATAAAGCGAAGTATCTAATGATCTATTTGCTGTGGTAATTTTATTCGGACGACGTTTAACTGTCAACCTAGGTGACATGATATTTTATTTATTTAATTTTATTTATTTATTTTTTGATAACAGCTTGATGCCACACCGTATTTTCAGTACAAGTATGGAATTTTCAGCATGGATATCGGTAGCCCAAATTTTGCGGGCCGATCATAGATATCGGGTGTGCGTCGGCAGGGGATTGAACCCCGGACCATATGCATGGTCGGCGAGAGTCCTATCGACGCACAGATAGTTATGCACACACATTTATGTCCCAACTCTGTGTGTTGCTCAACAACCACTTGCGATTCCATTACAGTTGAGAATGAGCGCCGGGGCTGGTTATTATGCTGCTCGGAGCTGCCCAGATCCCAGTGTGTGGAGCAGCGGGGTTCCAACTCGTTATCCACAAATGAGAAGTCGAGTGCCTAGACCAATGAGTAGTCATAGCTCTGCTCACACAATGATACACCCCACTAACTGAGTAGTTGTGTATTGGTTTTCAGGAGAACCTGACACAAGACTCATTCCAGTCTCTTGCGAGGCTATAACAGCATGCAGTATCATCCTGTGGCTCACTCCTCGGTCAACCATAGTGCCTTACTAATGCGCAAAAAGAAATCCATAAAAATGTTTCATAATTGTTTGATGCATTTCTTTTTGGTGTTGTGCTCTCTTATCTGGATGAGTTTAGGTGTGAGGCCTCCTATTGCCTGACGACCAGCTAGATAAAATATTCACCGATTACTTGAGTGCAATGTGGATTTTGAGGATTCTCAGTGTATCAGTGTGGTTATTTGTTAGCGTCTATCTTGTGGTGATGGTGACTAGCAGTGGAATCCAGGATAAGGCGCATTTCGTCCTGTTTGGGACTCCTCAGCTGTATTCCCCAGGAAAATGATTACTCCTTGGGAAATGCAGGTACATCCAGTCAGTGACGAGTCCCCAAACGGGACGAAACGCGCCTAATCCTGGATCACTCCACTGCTAGTCACCATCCACCAATTAACCTCTATCTATCTACTATCAGTATTAACTCGTTAATAATAATGATAATAATAATAGGCTCAATTTATTTCCCATCCTTTTCTTTGATTGTTGTTTTATCCTTTTTTTCTTACAGTACCACAAACTACTACGCATGACTTTACGTATATTCACACAAGTCTATGAATCCGGTGATATTGAAGGGATTAAAACTGTGACTAGTGAATTAGTTCAATGCATTTTAATGACATTTAATTATCTATTAAATAATTATAATGATATATTCAATGATTCAGTATTAAAAGCAGTTCAATGCTTTCTTGAATGGTTATTCAATAATTATCGGGAGAATACAATTGGTCAAGGTGTATTATTTCTATACTATGCTTACAGTTTACTAACACTTTTCTATGAAAAATTGGACGAATTTCTATGCAAACAAGCTAAACTAATGGATAACAAGGATGTTTTACTATTCAATGTTTCAATTGGCTATACACCGGCCGATTGTATTCATCATCCGATATCACCTGTAATCATGGGATTCACTGCCCAGTTGATAACTAGTGAAATTGAAGCCGTAAGCCGATTTCTACGTGGTATCATCAGTTTTGATTTTCGTGTAAGTTTTTTTTTATGCCTTTTTATCGATTGATTATTGAATGACAGTGTTTTTTAAACTACTAATGTAGTAACTTAATTTGGTGGAATCCAGATTAACGCGCATTTCGTCCCCCACTTGGGACTCGTCAGCTAACTGGATGTACCTGCATTCTCTAGTCAGTGAGTGATAATGTTCCCACTACCGAGGCTCGAACCCAATGCCTATAGTTACAAACGCTAAAGCATTATCCACTAGACCACTTGGGCCAGGAGAGTCACCTGTTGCTCTTGTGCAACGGGTCATATTAATTATTTAATTGAATTTTAGATTTTCCCATCGATTGGTTGGACTGAAGTGCCTCGGTCTCCGGTTGACATGTCTGTTGGCTTCTTGTGCAGATGCTTCGACGATGTCTGGGCGTGTAGTCACTCACGGCGGAATGCAGGCACATCTATTTGACGAGTCCCAAATGGGACGATTACACTGTCTGGATTCAACATAGAACTTGGCACCGAAGTGCAGCAGTTCGAGTTGCCACGTTCCAAATAACACATAAAGGTAGACAAGGAGAAGATGAGTGAAGAGAATCAATAGAGTTTTGACAGGTATAAGAGTGAAACAGAATGAGTAATGGTAGAAAGGAATATGAAAGATTACAGAGACTGAATACATCTGCGCTAGCCATTGACAACGATTTCCAGCCACGTCATGTCACCTATTGTCTCCAGCCAGTGATTGATTCTTAGTCCCGAGGGCCCCAACCCGGAAGTCTGCATCTCCCTACCTGACTTAGTTTAACTGTCAAGGATTGATGAGGCCATGTTTTTGTTTGGCCACCACCGCTTACTCTTTTCCAACCAGCTAGTAATGCCCGTCCGTCGGGGGAGGCGATGGTTAGGCATGCGCAACACGTCACCTAGCCATCTCAATCTATCTAACTTTATAGCCTCTTCGAGTGATTTTCCCTCTTTGCCCAACCGACACTCTACGCCTAACGTCAACATTACTTACCTTATACCACCTAGCATGAGAAAGAGATCGTAGACATCTATGATCAGAAACAGTCAACCTTTTCATATCCTCAACTCGTATTGGCCATGTTTTAGAGCCATAGAGCAGGAGGGAGCGAACTGCTGAGCAGTAAACACGTCCCTTGCTCGATAACTGCATTGAACAGTACTCATTTGTTTAATAAAAGTGAATCCGACAGTTTGATACTGTGTTGAGAGCTGGCTGCTAGCCAAAGTTGGTAGACAGTAATTGACGTCAATGTTTATGTCCCCAATATTGGTGGTGAGAAAATGAGAACAAAGGCTTTGCGTAGGCGGACACAGTTAGCATATGGATGATCTGACACAGCCACAAAGAGATGCAAGGTTAACTTCCTGTGAGAAATAACCAATCAAAAGACTGTATTTTCTACTAACAATAATCTACAAGAATGTACATCAAAATCTACAAATACGTGCTGATTTTCCTTAATAAACGATCTGTTGCCTGGCCCTTGTGTTCTGTCGTTACAATACTACAAATTATGCCCTCTATATACCATGTTTGAAGATTTTGTTGTTGTTTTTCTCTCTCTCTTCAATTTTAGAAGGAAGCTGCTGCTGCACCATACTGTAAAAATGTCTTTGACCTGATTCACCAAAATATTGATGTAGAAAAGGCTATGAAATTCTTGGATATAACAATGACATTAGCATTCAGTGGGATCAGTGTACCTGAATGGACAACAGTGGAATCATGTCTACGCTTAGTATGTGATCTGTTAGCTATATTGAACAGGAAAATCGATATTGGTGAAGTGCATATTTCACATCGTTATACAATAAGTGATCAATTCTTATTTGAAATTAATGCATGCTTATTACTTGTATTGGCTAAGGGTGGTCTCCCACAACGACTAGCAACAAAATATGCTGAATTGTATGCCTCCCTAGCGAAATTATCACCAGACAGACAATTTGCCCTACTCAATCACATTCTGGTGGCAGACAGTACTACTACTACTACTACTACCATCAACTGTGAGGGGCAAATTCCTCATTGTAGTAAACTTATTGAAATTGTCAGACAATCTATTCCACAGAGTATTAATATTGGAGAAAGAAAAAGCTTCATCACTACTGTGTCAAGACCATCGATGCCTATGCAGAGAATTCGACAGAGTATATCCACCTTTGTGCATTTATTATCTCAGAGAAAATAAGAAGTGAAAGAGAAGAGAAGGATTCAGATGTGCCTTATTTTTTTATTATCCCATCATTCCCATTCTATTAACACCGTCCTTTTTTTAAAAAAAACTTACACGCACAGGCAATGAGGTTGGAAGCTACTCTCAGAAAGAGAAGATACAAGACAGACAAACAGATTTTTATTAGCAATATATATATGTATTTTTTTATTGGCGTTTTTTCCAATGTGAATATACACACGTGTACATGAATACATTATGATGATGTATGAAAAGATATTTGTTTTGATAAATGACAGACAGTTATGGTAGTAGTAAGCATTTCAATAAAGTTTTTTCTAGACAATAAATTGTTGTTGATTCTCTTTCTCCTCTTCACCAGTTCTTACGAGTTGTACAGATTCGGAGAGTTGTGCTTGTCCCTCTAATCCCTGAAAAAGGAAAGATTGGGGTGGGGGGGGGGAGAAACAAGTAAAAATTATAGAAACTCGTGATATATATATATATATATTTACATACATTACTAATCAGTGGTTGTGCGTCGGTAGAATAATTAACGGGTTTCGATCCTCGGCCGACGAACTCCTAAAACCCGTTAAGCTGCGGGACGGCCGGCAACTCCTCGTAAAAATGAAACCACCGCGAACGGAACTTTTAAGCTCTAGTTCGAAGCTCTGTGTTCCACTTGGAACATAAAGGAATAAAATTAAAATAAATCACTAGTAGCTGTGACGGTTGCTGATTCGAGTTCTGGTCCGGAGCAACGCGCCTTCAATTATCACGGGCTACAATCAAAAAAGGGTTGATCATCCCAAAATCATTACAGATAATCTCAATATCCATACATCCATCACCAAAATTGCTGCCGTTTCCTTCTAACCCAGTATGATTAGAATTGACGACTAGAGAAGACCTAGCTAGCTGGTCACTTAGTGTACGGACAGTTATGTTAGTGTATCTGGGTCTTATATATCACCCCACCAGCTACTGGAGTTGGAAGCCTATGGCGAGTCAGAATTTTTACTTTCTCCTTCAATGGTTATTATCGGTTACATCAGTTTTTCAAACCGAAATTGTCTTGTCCTAGGCAGTCTCACAGTCACTATTGTTTTTTGAAAATGCGCCGAAATCATAGAAAAAAAGAGTCTAGTCATGAATGTAAGTAGAAAAACCGACGACACAACCACTTCTAGTTGAGCATTTCACTACCACAAATACTACTGCTAGATAAGGAGAACAAGAAGGTTCAGAATACGGCCAAATAAACTTACATTTGTATAGATTATAATATTGTTAGCTTGATCATCTTCTGTTTGCATTAATATTTCTGAGCTATTAGCATTGATTAAATCTAGATATGAGGAAGGAAATGGAAACAAGATTACTACGGTATCAGCTATAAACAGAGTTAAACAAAAAAAACACACCTCGTAACTGATAGATATACTAAGGTTGGTTGGTTGGAGAACTCTGTTTTCAGCCAGCCGGCCACTCACTGACTGACTGATTCCCTTTGGTTCGCGAAATCCTTTCATCACACGCAACTCACGTAATTCAACCTGGGAAACTTCGGTTGTGTGTGTGTGTGTGTATGTCAACAGCCCGCTTCAGGAAACATCTCTCTCCCAGGTAGATGACACGTTGATGATCATATAGAGAATGAAATTTCTTAGGTTAGACAAATTTTAATGGCCATTGACTAACCGCGAGAAAATTTTCTGAACAATTTTCCCAATGAAGAGTGGGGGGATCATGGATAATTCCCATCCAAAGGCATTAATGAAAACAAAACACGTAGTTCAGCGAAGAGTTTCTTTTCGGCGGCAAATTCATTTTCTTAGCTGTACAACGCAAATATATATACATATGGGTTATTTTGTATGTATGTGTACACAAAGTTTGTCAAACAAAAATACAATTGGTTATGGTTATTTTAACTAAACAGGTGAAGATTGGTAATTGGAGTTGCGTAATGCAAAATCAGTCAAGAAAACTAGGTGTTAATGGAATTAGAGTAGTAACAAAGTTGATAATTTGTCACAAACAGTTGTTAAAAGAAGTTATGTAACAATATGAATAGTTTGGTGAGTGAGTTGTACTCAGGATACACATAAGAACAAAGTAGATAATACGAAATTACGTAAGATTTCTAAATGAATACAAGAATTATCAGCAATTAAAGAACAGGCAAACAAACAAAATTAGGTCATCAAAATCAACGAATCAACGAAGTTGTTACCATGACAGAAGAAGTGGTTGAGTAATTCTTTTTTGTATGCACAGTCCCAGTTTTTCTATGTGAATGACCATAGCTTCAGCGATGCAAAGAAGACGAAATCGTATTGCCTTTAGTAGGTTATTCTGGACTCTGTAGATTACTATGAAGGAGGCGTTTGTTGAGATGGAATGATCACTGTTAACCAGGTGTTCAATTATCGCACTCCTTATTGCACCACTATTACCTTTTCGCAACCATACTGGTTAGTGTTCTTAAATCTTCTTGGACAGGGTGCGCGTCGAACGACCGATGTACCTGGCTCCATAGAAGCAGGTGAACTGATATATACATATAGAAGTGGTCAGATGCGGGATCTTGTCCTTGAGGCTTCTGCAGATCAGTGGGGGACTGGAGAACACTATTCTTAGCGTTGCTGCAAAGAATGTTTTTCTCAGAGATGATATGATCCTCCTCTTGAGAATATCGCTTTTGAAATCTCCCTTGAAATCCAAGTTCATGTAGAGTTTCTTTCTAGGCGCAAGTGAAGTTTCATTTCTCCAAATTCTTGGTTTGATATTTTTGTCAATGAATCTTGGTGGGTATCCACTTTGGATGAGGATTTCTCTCAAAATATCTAATTCTGTTTCTAGAACATCGGAACTACAGATGCGGGTGGCAAGTGATTTAATTGAATTCCGCTTTTGTTGAATGGGTACCCAGCTAGAGAAGCTTGTTAGTTGACCATTCCAAGTAGCTTTTCTATGGATCGATCTTCTTAGGCTCCCATCAGTTCTTCTTGTCAGTTCCACGTCAAGAAACGGAATTTTTGACTCGTTTTCCCCCTCAAGAGTGAACTTTATTGCTGGATGGCAACAGTTAAATGTCTTCAGCAGTAGATTGGGGTCATTGTTGTTGTCACACATAATGAATATGTCGTCTACGTATCTTTTATACAGTCGTAAATTGTCAACACTCGGCTTTAGTGGACCTTTCTCGAGACTTGCGACGAAGCAATCTGATAGTAGTGGACCCAACAGAGATCCCATTGCAATACCGTCTTTTTGTCTGTAGATGGTGTCGTTGAATGTGAACTTGACGTTTAGAGTACATCTCAGTAGTAATTCCATCAAATATGTTGTTGGAATTCCAATAGTGAGATGGTTGTCATCTATACATTTGCATATAAAGCAGACCGTTTCCGTGAGTGGGAACATTGGTGAAAAGTGACTCAAGTGGAGGAAACACAAAAAGAGACAGATTGAAGAAGATCTGGGTATCGAAAGTAATTATTTGTTCCCAGTTGTTGTGAGATTCATTAGAGAAAACTTTACTCAAAGTGAGAGGTACACATTGCCTACGATGACAAAACAAACGGCTGTGTTTATTGGAAAGAATGTTTGGAAGGTGGAGCTAAGTAGGTGAAAGTCTGAGTGAATGAATACAGCCATATAGCAAAAATGTATAGTAGTCTATTATTGAGTAATAGAGGGGGGGGGTGATATAATTACTCAGAAGTGGTTTTAGAATTGAAAATAAAACTTACTCAGTGGCACAAAGAAAGAAAGGGTTAGAAATTTGATAAGGCTGAAATTGTTATTTGATTGGGAATAAAGGTAGTTGAGTATCAATTTAACAAGTGTGAAGAGAGTGTGAAAATGTACAAAAGGAACATATGAATGATATCAGTGAATTAATTAAAGTAAAAGCAAATTACAGGGAACGACTAGTGAAGAGGTTAAGACCATAGTTGAACAAAATTCGGGGTTGTATCGACGAATTGCCAACGCCTCCACCAAACACAAATGCCGAAACCAGACGCCCTTTGTACCAATTTGCATCACCTTGTAGATAATCTTGAAAGACGACTCTGGCGGAGCTGCGGGGCTTGAGTTCACCAACTGCTCAAGAATTGAGCTAGTAACTGCCTTGCACTATCCGTTAGCTAACCATGCCGGATACTGTACAGAGATGAGTTTGGAATGTGTGCGCTTTGTGTAACCAATATAACTAACTCCACAGGAGCATGTGAATTTATAAACACACATTAAACTGGCCCGTCCAAAGCGGAAGTTTATCCTTCACACATCCATTGATCATTTGTCGGCTGTAGAAATTGATCCGTAGCTCAGCCATAAAGAGCGCTTTCCTCAGTGATCTGCATAAGCGATTCTTCAGGATCTCAGCTGCGATATCACCTTTAAATTCAACGTTCATAAATAGCAAATTCTTCGGCACCCTGTGTGTCCTTTCAGGCTTTTCCCTTAACTTCATGTTTTTCCCGATGAATCTTGGAGGATATACATTTCCTATCAGGACTTGCTTCAGTCGCTCCAGTTGCCCATTGATTGTATCACCGGAACATATCCTTCTTATTCTTTAGGATAGGGAGTGGATTAGATTTCTCTTTCTTCTCAAAGGGACCCAAGTATGAAAATCCGTGTATTAAACATTCTAGGTTGCTTTCCTGTAGATTCGTCCTTGAAGAGAACCATCAGATCTCCTATTTAGAAAAACATCCATGTACAAATTGTCCACCTGGCTTAGGCATTCAATGTTCAGCCGCAGTGGATCACGGATTTGAGTGCCACTCCACACCTACTGCATTCTCTCCGAGCATCATCAACTTGTGACTCATTAGTCTGGTCATACTTGGAAAATCTTTCCGAGAAAAATGGAGGAACCTGAGAAAACCCAGCTAAAGCAAAGCACGCTATAGAAAGCGCACAAAAGAGAGTGATTATTCTCAATTATAACTTTAAGAAAGATAAAATTATCAGCAACAAGAAAAGAAAAACCTACCGGCTTGATTGACTATTGCCAATTGAGGTTGACCATTTTCATCTTGAATCATTATCAGTGTTTGACCTTCTTCAAGTTGAAGATCATCAGGTAGGACGAATTGTTGAACTACTTCTCCACCGGCATCAGTGACATCAATAGTTGTTGTACCGTTTGTAGTCATTTGTGTCATCATCTGTGTACCGGTTAATAGTGCTGTTTGGTTGTCATCTCCTGTTGGTTCTACAAGTTGCATCGATGACAATTGATCACCGTCTACAGTCATCATGATAACATCACCATCGGTAACACCAGCAGCAGTAGCACCACCAACACCACCAGCGGTAGACAATAGAGAGGGATCTCTGATTACAACTAAATTCTGATTTGTTGCATCGAATACGACATTATTCTAGCGGAGAGAGAGAGAGAGAGAGAGAGAGGGAGAATGATAGAGAAGGAGGGAGGAAAACAGCAGAATAAAAACACCACTATCATACTTAAAGAAATTCAAAGTGGATATGTGCCTACCTGGGAAGTATCGTTTCAACTACAGGCGGAACTGACGAGGATATCAAAGCAAGACAAGTTTCCACTACTCTCAAGTCTGTGTGGAGGTCAACAGCACTACTCAGCACCAAAATTAAGATCAGGATTTTCAACTCCAATGTGAAGTCAGTGCTGCTATACGGATCAGAGACTTGGCGCCGCGTCACGAAGGGCACCTCGAACAAATTACACACCTTCATTAACAGTTGTCTTCGCCCAATACTCAAGATAAGATGGCCGGCCAGAAAAAATCAACAACAGAGATCTCTGGCAATGAGCGATCCAACCAGGAGCCGATTGTGAAACAAATATGCAAGAAGAAATTGAGGTGGATTGGCCATACTCTGAGGAAACCATCAAGTGACATCAATAGACAAGCCCTTGAGTGGAACCCGAAAGGGAAGCGGCGAGTTGGTCGTCAGTGCAAGGGTGGGTGACTTGGAGGAGGTCATGTGAAGAGGAGATGGAAACGTGTGAGCAGACATGGAGACAGGTGAAGACTCTAGCAGAGAACCGAACGGAATAGAGACGCACGGCTGAAGCCCTATGTTCCTCTAGGAATTAAAGGATACAATAATAATAATAATAATAATAATAATAATAATAATAATAATGTGCGTCGGTGGTTCAGTGGTAGAATGCACGAAAATCACAAAAATGCACTCCTGGTTCGACTCCCCCTACTGGACTCAATGACAGGCCACAGTTGCAAGTAGAATGTCAGAAAGGCTTCGTGTACTCTTGGAAGTGTGTGGGCGGTTGTTACTTCCAGGCCGCCCACACCGTGGAGGTGATTGATTCTTCGGGTACCTAAAAGAGAGAGAGGGTTAGTGTTGTGTGATCGCAGAGCCCAGCGGACAACTGCTTGAAGCCGGCCGGTCACACACGGCCTGTATGAACTGGTTTCTTAGTTTGGTTCCATGTTAGTAAACTTACCGCCGGTTACGGACCACCGTAGGTGGGGTAAGTCGGGATGTACAATTGTTGGGGTCGACCTTTTCTAACCCCCTCTCTCCGGAGGGGAGAGACATCATAGCTGGTCGGTATGCTGGTCATCTAAAGGAAACACATCACTGCTGTCACACCACTGTTCCTCAGCAGTACGACTTCGCCCTCGCATTCCCAGCATAGTTTTAGAAAGATTCTTACACTGCTTTTAGTCTAATGACTACCCTAACAACCTTCGTGGCATGGTAGGACCTGCAGGAACATTGGTTCCAGCTAGTGCAGCTTGTTGGGTCATTGTGATGTACAAGCTCAACCACCACGTCAAGGCAGCAGCTACCGGTCTCTTTCTTCTCTTGCTTTGTGTGCTACACGGAGTGTGGCGACTCGAACTGCCGCACATCGGTGCAAATTTCGATGTCGAAAACAGACAGACAGTAGAATGTCGGATATTTTAAGGAATATTTCAACCTTAATTCAAAAAGTAGTTGTGGTCATTACTCATATGATGTGGAGATATGACTCATTGACTTAAGTATTCAGTTTTAACCGATTGTTCTGAGTCCCGCATCGCCTAATTCAACCTGAGCAACTAACTACCACCTCCAGTCAGTGCCAATACGAGTGCAACTCTTTTGGCATGATACGTGAAAGATTTGTTGTGGATAATTGACACCAAGCCTCCATGGTCAGATTCTGTCCCACTTCAATTTATTTGGTGAATCGTGGCAAGCAGTGGAATCCAAGATAAGGCGCATTTCGTCCTAATTGGGACTCGTCAGCTAACTGGATGTACCTGCATTCCCCAGTGAGTCAGTGATGATGTTCCCACCGAGGCTCGAACCCAACGCCCATAGTTACAAACACCAAGGCGTTATCCTCTAGACCACTTGGGCCACGAGAACCACTGCCTCTTGTGCAACGGGTCATGTTAATTTAGTTGAATTTTAGATTTTCCCGTCGACTGATTGAACCGAAGTGCTCGGTCTCAGATTGACATGTCTGTTGGTTTCTTGTGCAGATGCTTCGACGATGTCTAGGTATGTAATTAGAATTTTAATTGGTGGATGGTGACTATCAGTGCAATCCAGGATAAAGCGCATTTCGTCCTATTACATACCCAGATATCGTGGAAGCATCTGCACAAGAAGCCGACATATCAACCTGAGATCGAGCACTTCGGTCCAATCAATCGACGTGAAAATCTAAAATTCAATTAAAATCTACTTCACTTCGTCTAAAACATCTATTCATCAATCTGAGGACACTTTAAGATAACCAGATGGGAAAAGCGTAGGGGAAGGTGGGTAGTCTATGACATGGAGCCCTAAGATGAAGGATAGTTATGCTGGGTTAGCATCTGTTTAATGCTGAAGTGGTGGGTTTCGAGAGATAGTTCGAATCAATTAGTTCAACAACACGTTATCAGTTATGGCTGAGAACTGAAATCAATAGTGAACAGAATGCAGATACCTACATTTTTCTGATTATTATTATTATTCTTTTAGGGTTCAGAGTAAAACACATAAGGCTTTGACTACACATCACCATCATCACTCTGTTCTCTTTAGTGGTGTTTTTTAGCTAGATCCACGAGTGCAAATAGGCTTTCATTCCAATCTCGCATGAGCTCCTGCCTACCACCCTCGGATGCACGCTCAACTCATCGTTTCTCAAACAAGTTCCATTCGACGGCCTGCTTGGAGCATGACCTCAATCAACAGTCTCCTCAGTGTATATCCAGTCCACCAACGTTTTCTTCTGCATATTTTAAGTTTGTTTCCAGACTTCCCTATCGTTTATGCTTTCTGACAGCCGCTGATGGAAGTGTTAAGCCTGTTCCTGAGGTATACACAAGCAGAAGACATGAATAGATTAGCTGTCTTCGATCATAGGTGCCTGCGTTCTATCTCCCGCGTGAAGTGGTATAATAAGGTGAGCAATAGTGAGGTTAGGTATCGGTCGAGTGCTAGGTAAGGAAGAGGGGAAATCAGTCGACGAGACTGTAAAATTACATCGACTGAGATGGTTAAGACATGTGCTACGTATGCCTGGTCATCGCCTTCCTCGACAATGGGCAATGTTAGCTGATATAGGATCTATCAGGTTGGAAAAGAGCTAGCGGCGGTCAAACCAAAACATGGCACCAGTCAATGAAATCCACAACAGTTAGTCTAAGCCACGTAGGAAGATGTAGACTCCCTGGCTGGTTGGGGTCCTCGGGACGATAAAAACCAATGGCTGGAAACAATTGGTGACATGGCTCAAATTCATCGTTCTCAATGGCTAGCGCAGATGCATCCACTCCTTGTGACATATGATTTCCAATTAAACTGTTTTGTTCTTCGTTATTACTATTCCTTTGCCTCATACCTCTGTTTACTGTCTCTAATATGTATTTCTCCTACTTTCTTCTTTTCCTTTGTGTGCTACATAAAGTGTGGCGACTTGGACTGCCGCACATATGTGCAAAGTTCTATGTCGAAAACCAACCGACCGATACACAAGCACTGAGCGACTCAACACATTAGTGTTGAAAACCCGAATCTTATTCCTTATGCCGACTGCAGCGGATTTTCAAACTGATTTCAGAGGAATCAACTTCTGTCTAGTCTTTCAGATCCAGGGGCTTTGGCATCTTAATCCATCCTGCCTGTAGTTGAAACGAGGCTGGATAGATAAATGAAAGAAGTAATCCTCTTCAGATTTCTTCAAGCGATAGTGAATGATGTCTGTTGTTTTTGTTGGTGGTGGCGGTTTGATTAGATATCTTTATCGATTGTCTTGTCCATGTTCACCTGAAGTCCTGTCTACGCATTTTCTCCTCTTCTTAACTTATTGATTTTCGCCTGTCGATCTTTAAGTTTATGTGACATTAAATACAAGTCGCCTGCGAAATCCAGATCTTCTAGAGAGTTCTTGTCGGCCCAACGTATTCCTGTCTTCTTCTTTTTTTTTCTTCCCACAGTCTACTGTAGGATCCACTTGACCACAATCAAGAATGTCATCCGTGATATAAAAGCAGTATATTATCTTACTCCTGTATTGACATCAAACGCTTAGCTCAGTGTTCCGTTGTGAATCACGTGACATGTGGCATCATCATCATCACACAGATGTTGAATAAAGTTGATAAAAGTCTTTTTTCAATTACTCCTTGGGTCAACGCTGTCGTAGGCATTTTCAAAGTTGATGAATTTTATGTAGAGGTTTGAGTGATATTCTATGTTTTGCCCTATGATGACGCGTATAGTTACTATTTAATCCTCACAAGATTTGCCTTTCGTGAATTCAGCTTGTTCCGGTTGGTGGATGATAACTTAATATTTCTCTTGGCGTGGATAAGAGCATGATTCCTCGTCAGGTCTTTCTTGTTTTCTACTTCTTTACGTGCCCAGCGGAACATGGGGCCTCAAGATAGAGCTTTGAAATTTCGGTAGAGGTGGTGTTTACTTTTACGGGATGGGGTTGCTAGCCTCATGCCCAATTTTCCCCCTTCACTGGTCTTATTACTGACTTAGCGAGGTAAAGTAGTGCATCGGTGGTCGGGGATCGAACCCCAGACCTCATGCGTGGTTGGCGAGCATTCTACCGCTGTGCCACAGACGCTCATCAGTTTTAGCAGAAGAGTAACTCGACCTTTCGTTGATCATCAGCAGGTACCTTCCCTTCCTTCCAAACGTTTTACAATAATGGCGTGACCATATCTGCTACAGTCCCCGGAACTGTTTTCACTGCTTCAGGACGAATTCCATCTGGTCCTGCTGCTGTCTTCCAAACAGGCCTTCAGTAACTTGATTGCATTCAAGATTTCCACCTTTGTTAAAGAGGTTGGTGTCCCTACTGGGAGTTCAACGCTATCGAAGGCTCTTTCAGAGTAACACGAAGTAGAAAATGCTTTTAATAAGTGTCCCCTTCTCTGTATTTGATGACCCGAGTTACATCAAATTGTTTGCTCATACATACGAATAAAAAATCAATAATATAAGGGATTAGAATAAACCGATTATAAACCAACCAAAGCCTACTTACTTCATTTTGAGCTAATTCCTGCTGCTCCTGTTGTTGTTGCTGTGGTTCACCCTCGTGTAGATGTTGTTGTTGTTGTTCTCCTCCTTCTTCTTCACACGGTTGTTCAGCTTCATTCGATGTTTGCGACTGTGAAATCAATAAATACGGGTCTGGATTCAATGTAGCCGTCAGTGTACCGCATTCTTCAACAAGATGTCTTGCAAGACTATTACCGTCTAACTGATTAGCTCCACAATGTGAACAATAGAACAGGCGTGAGTCAATTTGATTTTGCATATAATTAATCATTGAAGCATCATTACGACTTTGTTCACTTGTTAACATTGTTGCAGTATTCATTTCATTATTGGTAATATCTGTAGGTAGATTATTGCCATCATTATTATTCGGTGTCAAATCTGTTATCTCATTGATCACTAAATACTCTTGACCATTTGATATAACAATGGATGGAGTTTGTTCGGTTGTTGTCGTGACAACAGTAGTATTCTTCTCTTCATGATATTGAGAAATTTCGTTGCTTTCAGCAGTAGTGGTAGCAGTCGTGGTAGTAGTAGACGGAGGAGGAGGAGTACTCCAATCGAAATAAACTTGGCGTATCATTGGCATACCAGAGTCAATATCTTGTGATTGTGATGGATTTGCATAGATATGAAGTTTTTCATAGTGTCGTTGGAAACCTGCTCTACAGCATGTGGCAAATCGACACAATGAACACGGTAAATATTGTCTACAGAAAGATAAAAATTGGAAAAAAAGTATATATAAGCAAATATATACATATATATATATATACTTCATGATTGGTGGATAGTAGTGTAACGACAAGGGCCAGGCAACAGATCCTTCATTGAGAAGATCAACAGGTATTTATAGATTTTTATGTGCATTATTATGAGCGTCATTGTTAGCAGAGAAGCAACCTCTTATCATTCTCTACAGTTTGTGATCATTTCTTAGAAAGTTAAGCCATATTTCTGCGAATTGTATTTGCACACGTTAAGTCTACAGTGACTGTTTGTTGAGTTCCTCTAGACTAGGCTTTGTTCCTGTTTTTTTCTCATGACCCCGATTTTGGGGTCACGCATTGATGTAAACATTGACGTAAATTGTTGTCTACAATTTTGGCTTGCAGACAGCTGTCACCAACCTTCCCTCCTTACCGGCCTTATTACTGGCTTAGCGAGGTCAAGTAGTGCATCGGTGGCCGGGGATCGAATCCCGAACCACGTGTGGCGTGGTTGGTGAGAGATCACACACCACTGTGCCACCGACGCACAACAATGACAATACCAGACTCCAATGTTTGAATGGTAAGCAGAGGAAACGTTATGAAATTAACGCATCCAAAATATACGCATTACAATTTAAAAAAAATTAAATAACCCTCAATAAATATGCTTTCAAAAAGTTAAAAGGAGGGGAGACGAGGAAGACGGAAATCCCTTGTAATTTCTGGTAGATTGCAGCTGATCAGAACCTGTGGAACAGAATGATACCAATTTGTTTTGTTTGATTTCTGCTGAATATTTTATCTTTTTCAGTCAGAAAAACCAGAGCTCCGCATACGAAAGAAAACTATTCAACCACTTCTACTACTACTACTATTATGCAAACCACCTTGTTGATTTCTGCTGGCTTGATTGCTTATTAATTTTTGTTTTTTCTAACCTCTCTCTTATAACTCTTGTGTTTGTTTAGAACTCTCTTACGTAATTCCGTATTTTCCTTCATTTCTATGTACATCCTGGTTGATTACAACTCACTGATTGAATTATTCTTCTTATTGCGTAACTCTAATACACTTATTCAACGCATTTTATGCGGTGACTAATATTAACAACTATTATTATTATTATGATTATGACAGAGTGAATTCTACCAGTCAGTCAGGTTTGCAATGTGGCCACCATGCCACTACTAGGTGGCTCGCCATCACGGTGCACATTGATTTGATGATATATATAAGACGGACTAGCCAGACACATCACACTAGTTTTTTTCATCCTTCACGTTCCCCAGTGGAACATGGGGCTTCAAGCTAGTGGCTTGAAGTTTCTGTAGCAGTGTTTATTTTACAGGATGGGGTTGCTAGCCTCATGCCCAACCTTTCCTCTTCACCAGCATTATTTCTGGCTTAGCGAGGTAAAGGAGTGCGTCGGCCGGGGCTCGAACCCCGGACCATGTGCATGATCGGCGAGCGTCCTAACCGCTATACCACCGAAGCACTATCACACTAGTTACTAGTGTCCAATCAAAATATCCACTACAGTCCTACAGGAGGTCAATCGCGAGCTCGAATAGGTCAGTGGTAACGTCTCTGACTGCAAGGCATCAATGGGTGACGCGGATTCGAATCTCAGAAGGTACATGAGTTCCTTCAAGGTGATTGCAGATACGCATTGCTGATGAGTGCCAACTAGGACGAAACCTAGGTCCTGGCAAGGCTTCCTGTAGCCGATTGCCTCCAACCATCTAATACAATTAACAGCTGATTAACTATTGAAAAAAATTTCCGTAATATAATGTACATTAGCTGATGACTAATCGCGAGAAAGTTATTTGTTTAGGTTATACACCCCGCCGCCTTATTGTGAGCACACACTACTTGACTAGATTAATTATCAACCAGTTCGAATAGAATTAATTAGCAGTATACTTTCGACTGACAACTTTCAAGTGATGAGTCACAGAGAGTTCAAATCCCACCTAATTTAACCTGGCCGCACGCGGGGCGGAATAAGTGTATAAGCAGCTCACTGTCTTTATTTGCATTCCGAGTGGAATATGGGATTACAACCTACGAATATAAGTATAAAACTTCGGCACTGTAGTGGTAGAGTATAACTCCATTATGGATAAGATTTCATTTTGATAAATCACACAATGGAGTGTTGTACAGTAATATTAACTGATGACCACATTCCGAGCACAAATTATTACTGCTCATAATCTCATATCAAGTCACTCACTCACACAACTTTCTTGCTTCATTTATATAAATGAGGAAAAAGTGATGATTGGACATTTAAATAAAATCAATATAAGATAATGTATATTCAGAAATGATAATATGAGTGTTATCAATCAAGTACAATCAAATGGGAGACAAGACGAGTGTTTTTATAGTCATAATGAGTAACTTGTTAGGATGTTATAATGTATGTGAATTGAAATAGAAGTTTAAGATTATTTATTATACTCCTCTGATTTGACTGTCTGCTGGTAATAATATCTTCCATATCTCTCGTATTTGCATTGAGTCATTTCTGTTGCATGTGCTGGGTGTAGACTCAATGAACCAAGATTCAGTAATCAATCTCTCTCTATCGACCTACCTGTATTACTTCTTAGAATCTTAACCCTCTCACACCCTATTGTGTGGTTGTGTGTTACTGCATACAGTGCAATCGCTGAGCTTTTTCCTAAATTACTTATCTTCTTGGGGTCAATCATTCTCACCTTAGCCACATTCTTAGGTTCCACCAATCTGATTACCCCTGATCTACTAGTTTGACCTATGTAGTTATTGCAAGGTATTTTGTAAATTACATTATTTTGCTTAATTGGGTCCACCGGATCTTTTAGGCTACAGAGCTTGTCTCTGAGTGGGTTGGTAGGTTGGAATGCCACTCGAATTCCTGCTTTATCAGGAATCCTACGTTATATGGTATAACAGTAGATGCCTTATATTCTCTTTTATGTATGTCATCATTATTAATTTTGTTTTCCTTTTGACCTTTTTCGATCTTCCTGATGAATTTTATAGGACAGTTATTTAACACCCAGGCGTCTTCTATCTGTCTTATTTCATCATTTAGGTCTTTTTTGTGCTACTTAATGCTGCTGCTCAGTTTGTTAAACACTTAACTAAGCCTGCCTTACCAGTTAACGGATGAGATGAATTAAAGTTTAAATATCTATTAGAATGCGTTGGCTTTTTATAAACGCCGCTAGTGTGCAGTTTGCCTGCTTCCATTCGTTTGATTTCACAATCTAACATCATAGCTAATTCCCCTTGTTCATTTTCCAAATCAAATGTGAATTTTATTCCCTCTACTAGTGAATTTATGTGTCAAGAAGCTAGAGATATGTTCTGTTTTAACACTGTGTGTGAAAGTGTCATCCACATATCTCCACCATATTTTTGGAGTAGGATTAAATGTTGTGTTAAGAGCAATATTTTCTCAGCTGTCCACAAATATATCCGCTACGATAGGAGATATTGGTGATCCCATTGCTACACCTTCTGTTTGTCTATATATTTTGTCTTGGAATTTAAAGATTCAATTCAAGCACATCACAACATTCTAGCAAGTTACCTATTATGACTATAAAAACACTCGTCTTATTTCCCATCTGATTGTATTTGATCAAAAACACTCACATTATTATTCTTTCTGAATGTACTTCATCTTATCTTATTGATTTTTATTCAAATGTCTCATCATCAATTTTTACTCATGTATATAAGTGAAGCAAGAGAGTTGTGAGTGAGTGAGTTGATAACATTATGAGCAGTAATAAATTGTGCTCGAGGTGTGGTCATCAGTTAATGTTACTGTATAACGCTACACTGTGTGATTTATCAAAATAAAATCTTACCTATATTGGATTCAAGCTATGAAGTCTCAGCAGCGGTGGCGTTGTTGTTGTTGTTGTCTAGCCTCACATTGAACCTCCCCTCTTCTCGGGGTCCACCACTACCAGCTGTTAAAACAGGTGAGGTTTACGAGTGGGCTAGTTTCGCATATACCAGTTTACGCCGTCTCTGGCGTAGACGTGATATCCGGCTATCAACCAAAGGGCGTGTGTACTGCTCATCAGTCCGCTCAGACATGAAAATACTAGCTTTCTTTGATGATAGGTGCCTGCGTTCTATCTCCCTTGTCTGTCAAGTGGTATAATAAGGTGAGCGATATTGAGGTTAGGCGTCGAGTGCTAGGTAATGAGGGAAAATCAATCGAAGAGGCTATAAAGTTAGATAGATTGAGATGGCTAGGTCACGTGCTGCGCGTGCCTAACCATCGCCTCCCCCGACGGACGGGCATTACTAGCTGATATAGGTGCAGGTTGGAAAAGAGTAAGTGGTGGCCAAACAAAAACATGGCATCAATCCATGAAATCCCTGACAGTTAAACTGAGTCAGGTAGGGAGATGCAGACTTCCGGGTTGGGGCCCTCAGGACTCTAAGAATCAATGACTGGAGACAATAGGTGACATGGCTCAAAATCGTTGTCAATGGCTAGCGAAGATGTATTCAGTCTCTGTAATCTTTCATATTCCTTTCTGCCATCACTCATTCTACTTCACTCTTATACCTGTCAAAACTCTATTGATTCTCTTCACTCATCTTCTTGTCTACCTTTGTGTGCTATTTGGAACGTGGCAACTCGAACTGCTGCACTTCGGTGCCAAGTTCTATGTTGAATCCAGGGAGAGAGAGAGAGAGAGGTGTCAACAGGGGACCGAACTGAGGCCACATGAGCAAATGGTAAGCATTTCTATCATATGGCATCACTGCAGCAATGCCTTATATATATATATATATATATATATATATATATATATAATCTGGCATACATGAAATCGATTTTAATCATCCAAGTAGTTGTTTTTTTTATTGTTCAAGGGACAGAGAGAGAAACAAACAATCACTTACGCATGTTCTGCATCATTCATACATTTACCGCATTCTAAGCATTCTAATTTATCAATATCTTTAGGATAGAAGTTTACAGCTAAACTCTTGGCACATCCAGCCTCTGGAGCATTCATCGAAGTGATTTGTTGTCGAATGATACGAACAGATCCAATGGATATGGTATTATTATTATTATGAGTAGTAGTTGTAGTAGTATTCTCCCCATCACGTTCAATACTTTGACCACTTGTATTGTTGTTACTCATCGACACACGATATGATTCCAACTGTCAAATGAATGAAAACAATGAAACAATGAAAAAAAGCCAGTTATACCAAATAAGCGTTAATAAAAATGCTAGTAATCAGTGCTCATGAGTAATGTTCACATGTAAAACTACAACCTCGAATTCTGTTGTCACCAGGGAGTAATTTGATTGACTTAGAATACGCGGATGATACATAGTCCTGCTCCTAGGTGAAGACGCTGATAAATGCAGAGTCTTATGAACACCTTGAGCAGCAATCTTCGAATGTTTGCCATGCGACTCGCTCCCATCATATTTAAGATAGGGCTTGCTACAAGACTGGACTACATTGACTCACTCCTTGCTTAAAGATAGGTAGTGAAGTGGTGAAGCGTGTTGACTACTTCAATTATTTGGGAAGTTGCATCAGCCCCAACCCCAGCAGTTCGATCGCTGACGAAATCTCAACACGAATAACTAACAGAGGCTCGTTTGGCATTTGCTAAATTACACCATATTTGCGTAGACGTAATATCCAGCCGTCTGTCGACCAAAGGGCGTGTATACTGCTCAGCAGTTCACTCCGTCTTCCTTTATGACTGACTGTGAGGCATGGCCATTGAGAGTAGGGGATACGAAAAGGCCAGCTGTCTTTACATAGGTGTCTGAGTTGTATTTCCTGTGTTAGGTGGTATTACACGCTGAGGGATATTGAGGTTAGGAGTCGAGTATTAGGTGAAACAGGGAAAATCGATCGACGAGGTTGTGAAGCTATATCGTTCGAGATGGCTAGAGCATGTGTTACCCATGCATAGCCTAGCGATCTCCTTCCTCGACAACAGGCAATGTTAGCTGACACAGGATCGATGAGGTTGGAAAGGAGCTAGTCAGTGGTGATCAAACGAAAATATGGCTTCGTCGGTCAATGAAATCCACAACAGTTAGTCCTCGGGATGGTAAAAACCAATGATGGCTGGAGAGGATTGATGATATGACCCAAAATCCTCGTTCTCAAAATGGCTGGGGCCTTGAGAAGAAGCATAACTGTAGGTGGCAACGTATCCCAATACAATCGATAACTGTTCCCGACATTTTAGTAAAAAAAAACTCTTACTCCCTAGGAGATAAAGCTAACTAACTAACTAATTGAGGTCTCTAATCATCCAATTGTCTTCAGATCGCTAAATGTACACACGCACCTGTCTTCAATTGGCCTGCAATCAAATGTTGTGCACTTCTTGACAGAAACAAACAAGAGATATTATAAAGGATTGTTTTGGGCTTCAGATCAGATGACACTGCGTCATGTGACCTACTGCTAATCAATATTGTATACTTGAAAATGTCGTGCGAAGAGAGTATGCTATGCTATAAATTCTGCCGAGAATTCTGAACACCTTAAAATTAGTGTCCAGAATAAAGATATTATTATATTCAAGCTGTACAATCGTATACATATGGTTTTTAAGATAAGGATAAGGAACATTTGTAGTTCTGATTGCGTTGACTCAGAACTTGACTTTTAAAAAGCTACGCTCGCAGAAAACGGTTACCTGAACCGATTTATTGACAGTAACACGACAGATAAGCAGTCCAAACTGGTCACCGACTCAGTTCCGAAGAAAACCTTATTCATGAACTTGGAATTCAAAAGTGATCAAGCTTCAGATATGCTCAAAAACCGTCTCTCTAAAGTAGTCATTAAGACGTTCTTTGAAGCAAAATTACAAATAACGTTCACAAGCCACAAGTAGTTTGCCATCTCTGTAAAGCGTAGGCTTACCCCCGTCTGACCGCTTCCATGTGCAGCAAGGTACATTGGCCGTAGCCAGAGGACGCCGCTTTCCACACGGATACAAGAACATATTCCAGCCACATGGTTTTACAAGGGACAAAGGAAGTGTGTGCGAAGCTCTATTCTAGAACACCTGATCGACTTCTATCACTCTATCAACCCTGACCATGATTTTAAGATCATATAGAGAAACCAAGTTAACTTGTTGACCGCGTTTTCTTCGTTGCAGACTTCTAAAGACAGCTGAGGCCTTGGACATTCATGACTTTAAACCAGACCTTTGTGTACAAAAGAAGTATGTACAATCCCTACTTCTGCCTTGGCTTTAGAGGGATAGACATTTATTTATTTTGTTTATTTAGTTATTCTATGTACCTTTTCCTTATTATTATTATTATTAATATTCTCACTCTGAATTGTTTCCGCTTGTTTAAATTGTCATTTTAAACCCAAAATTGTTCATTTTTATATTTTTATTTCCACATTTTTGAATTCTATCTCATCAAATTCCACACCATGTTATGTAACATTTTATATTCGCTTACTAATCCTATAATTATGCACCCTTTTCCAACATCTATACACGCGTCTTATGTATTATTCTATATATGACAAAAATTGTTTTGCTATTTGACATTTAACTCTGATTATAATCATAAATATTTTAATTAAATTTCATTCTATTAGTATTTCATGTGAAATCAACATATGCGATATGTGTTGTTACATGTGTTACCCCACCAACTGAAGAACACTAAGAGGCAAGCTAAATACTTCACAATCTATTATTTCACTTATTTACGACTAGCCTCATCCCCAAGAGCATGACCAGGATGATTCAGTTCAAAAGGTCACAGACTCGAGAACCCCGCTCCACCCACCACCTACCTACCTAACAAGCTTTGAGTATCACACAAAACTTCATACAGTAGGTTTGCATCGTCACTAGCTGCATGGAATTGCAAATAGTTGTTGAGTAACATTACATTTCACCACATTTTAAACTGACTGATACAAAATGAAGTAAATTTTCAACAGAGAACTATCTACACAAAAGTGCTGTACTTTAATTTGTGCTGGCATTTCATGTAGCACAGCTGAAAGCAGAGAAAAGAGAGGAATTGTAGCGAAACTCTAATCAACAGAAATGTGTGGGAGTATCTCCCAGTCGTTGGCATTTAGTGTCCCGAGGACCCTGGTCAGATAGTCTATGATACTGTCTCTTTCTCTAGTGGGAACTTTTATTGAATGGTACCATATTTTGGTTTGACCACCTTCAACTCTTCTCCAACACAGTTCTAAGTCAGCTGGTATTATTCGACGTGGAATGCGACGGTGCGGCATGCATAACACACGCCTGATCCATCTCAACTGGTGTCACTCCACAGATCCATAGGTTAACTTTCTCTCCTGACATAACACTTGAGAGTCTATCTTCAATAATTCTTACTAGATTATACTGCCATGTCAATATTATTATTATTGTTTCCTTTAGTTCCTAGAGGAACATAGGGTTTCAGCCGCGCACGTTTCCATTGCGTTCGGTTCTACGCCAACGTTTTAACCTGGCTCCACGTCCGCCCACATGCTTTCATCTCCTCTTCATATGACCTCCTCCATGTCACCCTCGCACTGACGACCAACTAACTCGCCAATTCCCATTTGGCCGAGTTCCACTCGAGCAATAGCCTGGCGTGTGATGTCACTTGATGGTTTTCTCAGTATGGCCACCAATCCACCTCCATTTCTTCCTGCTCATTTGTTGCACAATCGGTTCCTGGCTGGTTCGCTCCCAGACATCCCACCGTGTTGCTGATTTTTCTGGCTGGCTATCTGATCTTGAGCGAAGTAGTGTGCGAAGAGAGCTGTTGATGACAGTTTTATATAACTGAGCAAATGTAGCGTACCGATGATCGAAAGCGCGTCAAGGTTATGCCAATGAACAGTAAAAACTCTTACAGGTTTGATAACGAATTGACATCACTTAGAGGATAACTGGAAAACCTGGGAGTACTCTATAGTTGTTTTGTTCCAGTTTAGGACTACTCTGCAACAGTGCGCACTCACTGGGATTCGAACCCACGACTTACCGGTTGAAATTTATGGGCCCTTAGATTGGGTTCCAGTGTCTGAAAAGTCTACTAGCTTGGCTTGTAATAGAAAGGTCCTGGGTTCATATCCTAGAAGGTGTATCGAAATAAAGAGTCCCAAAATAGGAAGAAACGGCTATCCAGTACTCTCAGGGTTCCCAGTGGTTCTCTAACTGATGACCAAATCTATAACCAATCAAACCTCTGCGAACCAACAACTTATAATGGTAAATCCCCCTAAAGAAGGTATAAAATAATCAGGGAAAAGACGAACCAACCAATCAACCAACAATTAAAGGAAAAAACAACACTAACCTCATATGAATCCTGACGAAGTTCTTGTTTTTCAATACCTGGACCTCTAGTCGCCTTATGATCTAATCGACGATGTACTTGATAATCTGATTTATTAGTGAAATTCAGCCGACAGGTTGGACAACGACGAAGTTGATGTTTTATTTGATGCATACGTAAGTGTTGTAGATAAACTTGTGTTTGTCCAATACCTAAGCCTAAGGCAACAGAATTAACCCCGCCTGAGGCTGACATTGACTGGACATTTGAGCGTGCATCAGATGGCGTGAAAATACGCAGACAATAAGTACACAGCAGATGATTGGAACCATCGTGAACCTTTTAGAGTAAAAGAAAGAAAAAAATAAAGTATACTGTTAGTATTCTTGATTGTTATTACAACACAAAGTAGATACACAAAGTACAATTCAAGCCTTTACTAATATGTATATATAACTGTAGAAACTGACTGTCTGTCTGCCTGTTTTCGACATAGAACTTTGCACATATGTGCGCCAGTTCAAGTCACCACAATCCATGTAGCACACAAAGGAAGAGAAGAAATTAGGAGAAATACATAATACAGACAGTAAACAGAGGTGTGAGACAAAGGCATAGTAATAACGGAGAACAAAACAGTTTAATTGGAAATTGTAAGTCATAAGGAGTGGATGCTTCTGCGACATTGAGAACGATTTTGGGCCATGTCACCAAGTGTTTCCAACCATTGGTTTTTACCGTCCCGAGGACCCCAACCAGTCAGGAAGTCTACACCTTCCAGCGTGGCCGGCTTAGACTAACTGTTGTAGATTTCATTGACTGGTACCATGTTTTGGTTTGACCACCGCTAGCTCTTTTCAAGCCTGACCCTATATTAGCTAACATTGCCCATTGTCGAGGAAGGCGATGGATAGGCTAGGCACACGTAACACATGTCTTAACCATTTCAATCGGTGTAACTTTACAATCTCGTCGATTGATTTCCCCGCTCACCTACCTAGCACTCGACTGTTGCCTAACCTCAATATTGATCACCGTATTATACCACCTAACACGGGAGATAGAACGCAGACACCTATGACCAAAGGTCACTAGTCTTTTCATGTCTTCCACTCTCAATGGCCACGTCTCGCTCACAGACATAAAGGAGGACGAAACAGACTGCTGAGCAGTACACCCGCCCCTTGGTCGATAGCCGACTAGATATCACGTCTACTAAGCCAGAGATGGCGTAAACTGGCATATTTGAAACTAGCCTTCTCTATCCGTGCTGTGATTTCGTCAGCGATCAACCCGTTGATGCAACTTCCTGAATAAGTGAAGCGGTCAACGTGTTCTACCACTTCACTCCCTATTTCTAATCTAGGAGTCAGTGTAGTCCAGTCCTGTAACACCACCTTACATTTGGCGGGAGCGAATCGCATGTTAAACATTCGTAGATTGCAGCTCAAAGTGTTTAGAAGACTCTGCATTTTGTCAGCGTCTTCACTTAGAAGTACTATTGGTAGGTATGACACACAACAATAAGACAAGGAGAAAAATCAAACTCTTCCAACAACAACAACAACGAAAAAACACACACAATCAGTATATACCTTTTTAAAATGATCCAATATATCTTCATACATTGATGATCGAAATAGGCATAAACGACAAACATACGGCATTTCACACTGACGATGCGTTGATTGGAGATGATGTGCTAAGAGGATTTCATTGACAGCTGCTTTACCACAAATACGACAACTCGGTGTATTAGTAATACCGTTTAGATTTGGTGCTAATATCATAGTACCGTTATTGTTGCTATCAACATTACCACCACCACCAGCATTAGAAGGATCATCGGGATTATCTCCGCTACGTTGTGCTACTAACTGAGAAGCTGCTTGTCCGCTGGCAGTCAACTGTGATTCATTACCTGTTGAATTTGGATCATTGTTCAGCACAGTATGCTCCTAAGATAGGATAAAAAAATCAAAGCACAGAACAAATAAATTCAATTAGAGCATCTTAGAGTTGTCAGAGTTATTTTTCAATGCACAGTTGTTGTTTTTTTTGAAAAAAGACTAAAACTCACTCCCCACAAAATGATATAAATAGAAAAAGAGAAAGAAAGAATAATTTTTAAGCCACTGGGACCCGATCCGACGGCCCATGAATTCTAACTTCTGCCAATTCACGACATAGCGCGGCCCCTAACCAATGACTTCGGCAAGCCCCGATGGGTGCGTAGTGCTGAAGAGTCCCAAACTAGGACGAAATAGCTGTCTAGTACTCCCTGCGGGTTTTCCAATGACTCCCTAACCAATGTCAGCTCATGATGAAATCCTGTAACCAATCAACCAAATCCCTGCAAACCAACACTTAAATAATTTTTAAAATGCATCCTGATAAACTACATTAAAAATGCCTCTCAGAAATAAACTAGTACAGTTGATGGTGAGAGTAGATAGACTTCATTCTTCCTCTTAAAATGATCTCATGTGGCCACATACTCATAGTTCTGTTCCCCTCTTCAAGCAGGGGGGAAGGATTCCCACAAATGCAAACCGAACTTAGTGGGCATGGAGGTTTATCCAGGAAAGCTGGAAAGCCCTGATCGCAAAACCTACGCGATGTACACTAGCTCAACAATCCGAATAGATCGAATGAATGAAGTAAGAAGCAGTTTTGATGAATACTGGAAACCACAAGCACGCAACTCCTGAGGCTGCTCTGCTTCGGTTTGGATGTTAGGGTAGCCACCTCAGCCGTCGGACGCAATCACACAAACGCACATATATATACTGTAGATAGTAGTTAAGACTTAGGACTAGTTCCCAAAAAGCATGCAGATGTTTAGATGATAACACTCTGACTCATTGAGATGCATAAGTGACTATTACATAAGGCTAACACCAAAACGAAAATACTCTGCATAATACGACACAATGCATTCTATAGACTATTGACGATTCAATGAAAAGGTGTATTAGTAGGAACAGCTCGATTAGAAGTTTTACAGATTATTAATCAAAGAATACGATGTCATCATGGCCGTACAACAAAATTACTGACCGATTTGTCGATGTGTATTATACCCTAAGGGATAAATAAATGTGAGCATCATATTCGCCAAATACAGCTGACTATACGAGTCTCATAGGGATTGAATGCATAGCGACTTTTAGTCAGTGGGTAACACGCCTTTCAGTTCTTCTTCTAACAATAATAACAATGATAACAAATGAAAACTTCAACTTACCTTTTCAATATGATCTCTTAAATCAAATGCACACGAAAATGTCTGATGACAAACTGTGCATTGTGTTGTGTCAGCTGTGTCTAAACACGCTTGTGACTCTTCATCAACATGTCCGAGTATGTGTGACATTAACTTTGTATTTGAATAGAATATTCTCTGGCAGACAGCACACTTGAATCGAAAATCACTTTTCTCCTCAGCATAATCCGTGTTACCGCTTTGACGTCCAAAATAGTACTTATCGATTGGAATGTATTCGACTAAATTATTAAAAGATTTTATATAAAGAGGGGGGGGGGAGAAAATATTACTATTAATAACAACACAAGGTGGTGCATTTAAATGATGTCTAGTGTCTCCTGAAGAACAGGATAGGTTGAATAAAAAAATGTAAACTACTTATCCAACTTTGTTTAATTCAATTTTAGATTTTTCCATCGACTGATTGGACCGAAGTGTTCGGTCTCAGGTTTACATGTCGGCTACTTGTGGGGATGCTTTGACGATGTCTGGGCATGTAATTGGAGGTTAATTTGGTGGATGGTGGCTAGCAGTGGAATCCAGGATGCGCATTTCGTCCTATTACATGCCCAGACATCGTCGAAGCATCTGCACAAGAAGCCAACAGACATGTCAACCTGAGACCAAGCACTTTGGTCCAATCAATCGACGGGAAAATCTAAAATTCAACTAAATAAATAATATTGTAACAACAGAAGACAAGGGCCAGGCAACAGATCGTTTATTAAGGAAAATCAACACATATTTATAGATTTTAATGTACATTTTTGTAGATTATTGTTAGTAGAAAATACAGTCTTTTGATTGGTTGTTTCTCACAGAAAGTTAACCTTGCATCTCTTTGTGGCTGTGTCAGATCATCCATATGCTAACTGTATCCGCCTACGCAAAGCCTTTGTTCTCATTTTCTCACCACCAATATTGGGGACATAAACATTGACGTCAATTACTGCTTACCAACTTTGGCTAGCAGCCAGCTCTCACCACAATATGACCGTTGCACAAGAATGAGGTGGCTCTCGTGGCCCAAGTGGTCTAGTGGATAACGCTTTTGCGTTTGAAACTATGGGGACTGGGTTCAGGCGTCGGTGGGAACATTATCATTCACTGCAGAATATAGGTGCATCCAGTTAGCTGACGAGTCCCAAGTAGGACGAAACGAACGTTATCCTGGATTCCACTGCTAGTCACCATCCACCAATATACTTATCCAACTGTTTGAAAGCAAGTTGACTATTACTACTAATTAAAATACAAGTTTCGTTCCGAAGCTGCCAACATCAATGAAAACTTGGATAGCTGTTTCATCTTAGTCTGAAACTCTTCAAAAGAGCATACCCTTGACTTCTATCACAGATTGAATCCTGAATCTTCAGGCTAAAATACAAACCCGTTGACCATTAAACCACTTGGTAGGAATTCAACAACCCGCGAATTTTATGCATGTGAGTGTAGTATGATGGGTCATATACTATTGGGATGCATTAATGGTTTTGAAAGTACATTGAAATGTATAAGAATTTTTACTAGGTGAATACAATTCAACAATAATTTTGATGCATTTATATTTTAAGTCCCAAAATAGGATAAATACATGTTTTTGGTGACTAGGTGAATATAATTCAAGTACAATTTAATAGGTCACAACAGTGGTATATAAGCACTGAAATATATACTATTATTCATTTACTTGAAATCATTGTGTTGTGTTCGTTAAGCATTGTTAAAACCATTACATGATGTTACAAAATACTCCTACTGCTCTCGTCTACTTCACGAAATGTGCCATCTATGTTGCCTGATGTAGCGAGTATATTCCAAAGAATAATGTTTTCTTGTGTATTTTATACGTGGGTGCAATTTAAGCAAGGTTTTGATGAGTTAATTTATGAAGGTATTAACTAACTTGTTTATTATTTCTTTGGAAGGAATCAAACACATCCTACTGGGTTGCTTCAAGTCGTAAAAAGGACAAATGCAGCCTTTTGGAATATGAGTATGTGAAGTATGAATGCACTCCTGGGGGTAAACGTGTTCCTAGAGGTGCTGTTTTATTTAAACGCAGAAAAAACTTGGTACAATATGGCACCAAGAAAGATGCGCCACACAATAATAATAAAACAACATAGATTAAAAGTAAAAATATAAGTAGAAAACGGATAAAGAACTTCATTTGAAAGGAAAACAGTCATGTTTAACAAGTTCAAACAGTATTCGTTAACTATCATCAGGAAGGGGAAGAAAGAAGGAAATTGCAACACGCTAGCCATTGATTACGATTCTTGACAATAACCGATAACGTTTCGAGCCATCGATTCGAGCTATCTCGCGGACCCCAACCAGGGAGTCGTGACGCACCAACCGATGCTAATTTAGCACAAATATCCATCATCCAACGACGCCACGTCATGGACTGACCACCCCTCCGCCTTTTCCATCCCGTCCCAGAGCTAGCAGAGACCTGTACGAAAGCCTCTGGGATGACATTCACAGCACACGTCCAAGCCACCGGAGCCGGTGTTTCCAGATGACGACACTCAAAGAATAGTGATCTCCACTGTGTTCAAGCACACGCCACCGAACCTCAGAATTACTCACGCGATGATGCCATCGAACGCAAGCAATCCTGCGGAGACAGCGATGATTGAACACGCAGAGTCGCCGCACATCCTCAGCTCGGAGAGGCCAGGTTTCACAGGCGTAGAGCAAGACAACTCGCACCGAAGCATTGTATACCCGACCTTTGACAGCCAGGCTAACGTCGCGATGGCGCCATAGGTGGCTCAAGTTGATATAGGCCACCGTAGCCTTAATTATACGGTTAGAAATCTCATCCGTCACCCTTCCACCAGCACTCACACAACTACCCAGATACACAAACTTATCGACAACTTCAAGCAAGAGTGAGTGCAGGTACAGGCTCCCGCCAATCTTGTAACAGTACTTTGCACTTAGACGGTGCAAAGCAAATACCATACTTACAGACACTGACCGCCAACTGATTAAGTGCGATTTGGGCAGCCTGCACACTATTGCACAGTAGGACGATATCGTCTGCATACTCGAGGTCGAAAAGTCTATCTCTAGGTAGCAGATCTACACCACCTTCACGCACATCCTTCGGAGCTGACTCCAGAATGTCATCGATGGCAAAGTTAAAGAGAAATGGAGAGAGGTGCTGTCTTGAGGAACAAAGAGTAAGTTGGCTAAGCATATAAATTTTAGAATTTTTAAGGTTCAAAAGTATTTCATATCATTTAATATTCACAGTACGGCATACACCTGGAGGATACAAGATAGCCACCTACAAAACTGTGCATAACCATCCATACATAGCAAGTTTCACGTCTACCGATGTATCTAGACGTCGGCTATCATTAGGGAGAAATGACAGTCGTGCAACCGTTTATTGAAGGGAACACTGTTGTCCATGAAATCATGGATTTAGAGCATAAGAGATTCAGTAAAGTTATCCTATATGATGGATGATATTAGGAATATGCGAGGTAGGATGAATAAACATAAGTCTTATCAAAATAAATGTGACAATAGAATAGAAATCGGTAGTTCACAAGACCTGCTTCATCGACTGAGGCAGACAGGTCTAGTTAGTGTTCTGCAGGACAATGTAGGTTCCGTATCGAAAATTATTTTTGCCCGTAATGATATATTAGACATCTATCATAAGTTTCCAGAAGTAGTTGGAATTGATTGCACTTATAAAACGAATAAGATGGGGTAAGTGGCAGTACAAGAAGGTATAATTCCTTCTCCAAATTTATTACAGACGGTCTTTATATCAGTTTGTTGTGACTGCTGGATTTGGAAGAGGAAGGATTGTTTTATAAGCTATTACTAGGAGAGAAAGGTTTGCAGATATCAAGGAGATCTTGCAAATGTTTAAGAGATTCGTGAGTGGTACATCGAAAACAGTAACATTCACTGTCGAGTATGCAACTGCACAGATGAATGCTCTAAAGGGGGGATTCCCTAAATGCAACATTGTTTTATGTCTTTTCAATGTATGTCAGGCGTTCAGAAGGAAGATAAGTTTCATTTTTATTGACTAACATAACGAAAACAGTTCTCAAGTCAACTTGTTAAAAAGTGGTTGTATAGAATGGCGCACACGCGTAGTTATGACAGGTAGGTTAACAATTCAGAATGTATTGGAAAAGGTTTTGGAATTACCTAAACTCATAGGTATTATAAATACTGAGGCTGGTGCCTACATCAGAAGGTACTGGCTGAGAACACGGAAATATTGGGCTGCATCACGCAACCAGTTCACCATCAGCGTAGGTGAAGAATGCTCATAGACAGCTGAAAAGGTATTTACGCAAAGGTGATCCGCTGAAACTGAAGCTATAGAAAACATGGAGGTCGACTGACCACAGAACCATACGTAAATTACGTGAGCGCCAGTGGATGCTTTGTAAATATTACAATTACGATGTAAGTCAAGATAGTTTACGATTTTTCCTAGGAGCCTACCTGGATGCAGCCTGTATTACGGTTTCTCATAACGTTTGCTGCCAAGAAAGTTGTTTTAGACTTGCAAAAGCGTTTTTTCTTCTTCCATTCAATGTCCTCCACCTCAGTTAATTACGCAGAAGGTAGTCACACCTTAGTCGTAAACAGGAATGAGGCTAAATGTACATGTTGGACATACTGCGCACATAGTTTGTCATGTGAGCATGTCCTCACGGGTTTCTTGCATTCATATCTAAACTGTGGTATTTTCCCTTTCCTCAAATGTTACTCTTAGAAATTCTGACGGATAGCGAGAAGTGGACCCCTCAGTATAATACCACAGTTATAGTTAGTTCAGAATTAGCGAGATCTAACCTAGTATTACAGTAAGCTTGGAAGACTGCAATTAAATTTCATTTTGTGCTATGAACGGTATACTATCTTAGCCTAATATACGCGAATTAGCTCAGTGATTGCTGATCTACTATCAGTTTAATAACTGTGAACTCTAGACTAAAAATTAGCTTTATAGTAGCGTCCAGTGACAAAAAATTGATTTCGACACTTTAATATATGCAAAACGTCGAAAAAAACCTTTAAATTTCAATAGCAAACGAATTCACGAAAACATTTAACCAGTCGACGCAGAAACCTATCATGACCTTAAATCTGGATATACTGTCTTTCCTATAGTCAGCAAAAATGTACGGCAGAAAGAATAATAACACGGTGAAACATGAGGACCTAATCGATATGGGAGATTATAACAAAGAGACAATCCATTGAGAACGATTTTGAGCCATATCACTAAAAGTATCTAGCCATTGGTTTTTAACATCCAAAGGACTACAGTCAGATAGACAGTCTACATCTCCCTGTGTGGATCAAATCAACAGTCAAAGGTTTAAACGCCAGGTTTTGTTTCTAACATAAAAGAGAATGTTAATGAAGATATGAAGAAAAAAAAATAATAAGACACAGAAAATGTCTTTGTTTTCTCTTACCTCCTTTACCATCTTTACCCGCTTTCTTAACTGATAATCCATTAGATGACTGAACTATTTCAATGCTTCCCTCTGGACCAGAATTAATTATATTCACTTCAGGCTCGGCTACATCTTCGTCTACGTCAGCAGCATTTCGAAAAACAATAGTTGGTGGTAAAAAAGTACGCAATGGACGAACAGAACCATGCAATTTTGCACGTTCACCTTCAACAAAACATTCTGAAATATGAACTGCTGGCCAATCAGAACGAATTGGTTTCTCTGAGTCTAAAAATTCATCTGGTATTGGTACATGAGCTTTAACTATAGCTACTTCACCCTCTGAAATAATATATAAGTTGGTTAAAAGAACAAACAAAACGAATGTTATTTACCTTCAGAAATAGGGAATTCCCAGTTGTTTTGTTGTAGTGTATTATACACGGATATTGCACCAGCATGCTGAAGTGCATTCAACGATTCACCAGTCAGTAAACCATGTTCACCGATTGTGACAGCTTCCTCTGTCACACAAACATTACCACAAAGTGCTAAACGACTGACTGCATCCAAGAATGTACGATATTCTCTGGAAAAGAAAGAAAATTGTAAAGTACAATGATGACATGTACAATACTTAAACTAACAGTGAGACTAGCGAATAATTTTCAAAGTGTTAAGTTAGTAGAGATCTCATTAATTTTAGACCTGGGTGTAGGTACTCTACAGAATTTCACTGAATCGAGCAGTTGGAATCCAACTTATGAGATACACACATATTAGTGCATCATGACTCCTTGTGCGGAGTCTGAGAGATCATAGAATCCACGATTCGAGACGTTATCAATAACGGTTGATAATCGAAATGAATAACGAATATACTGCAGTCTTATGAAAGCAATACGTCGTAATGAACGCTTCTCTGAACAAATTCGATGCGTATACTTCTCAATTTTTCTTTTTCTCTTCTACTGCCCTGTGTTTGTGGTAACTTGAATTGCTGCACATTAGTACAACAAACGGTGTATGCAGCAACGTCAACTGGAAGTAATTTGAAGTTTTTGGGCCTGCTTACAACCTAAATATCGACCCTTGCAAGATTCTGAGTACTTTAACATCATCAACTTTTAAGTGTAAGCAGCTTAAGAGAATCCAACGAAATAAATGGTTGCCTCATATTATTTTGCACAAACATTTGCTTTTGTTTTGTCAATAAACACTCTTCAGATTTTTACAATTATAAAATATCATATTCGTAGTTACAGTAAGGGCCAGTTATATGGTGGATACATTTTTTACGTAGAATAACAGATTAGTTATGGGGTGACAAAATACATAGTAGTATTTGTGTGGCAAATATGCTGGGCTGGATTAAATTACAAAATATTGTAAAATGAGAGAAGATGGTAGTGATTAGTCATATAAAATTTATGCAATGTGGGGAAAGAAAACTGAAAGGTCATTTCAAGGTAATAAAACGTGTCAGGTGATGCTAGTACAAAGTAGTATGCATTAAAAAGTAGATAGAAAAGCTGCGGTGAAAAGTCCATCATGAAATAACCAACATGCAAAATGAAGCAGATGGAGGCATATAATGAGAATAGATACCACTAATAATAATAAGTCAGAATAGTATAAATGGGAAAATTTATCCGCCATATAACTGGCCCTTATTGTAACGATATTATATTTTATAATTGTAAGAACCTGAAGAGAATTTATTGAGAAGAATATTTTTGGTTCAGATTACCTTTTAATTCATGGTATGGGAATATTTCACAGGATTAAATCTTATAACTCTTTCATTATCTTAAGCACTCAACTTTTAAGAAACAGGCCGTAGGTTCAACTCTCTTTCTGCTGACTTTAATCTTGGAAAACGGGCAGTATCGGCTCTTTCACAGCCTGGTACACGCAAATTCTTTTAAGACTAATTACGCCCAATCAAATAAAATAACAAAATAATATTATTAGAAATCTTTCATGAACGACTAATAATGCACTTTGCAAAGATCTAAACAGGCCTTTGATGTCCATGCTGAGATTTAAACCCCTAAACACTGAAGTTGGTTTTGTCTCCCGACCACGCAGAATAGTTGGTCAGTTCAACTCCTATAGTTAAACGTAAATGGGCGACAACCAATTCAAGATATTTCACGATCCGTGCGTAATGAAGATCATTGTGTTCACACAAATGACTACAAGCTATTTTGAGGGGTTTGTAAGGGAAAAAAGAAAATCGACAAGCCAACTGAACCTCCGCTGTTTCGCCGCTAACGACCAATTTGTTTGTCCGTGGGGATAGAAACACATAATGGTCAAGATTATTTTCGAGGGACAATGGCTAAGAGGTGTTATGGTGTGATTGTGCATCTGTATAATCTACTACTCTTATTATCGCTAATAAATACGCCATTGAACAGCCGTGACAGTTCTATTCTCCCTTCGCAAGTTGCGGCGGTGTCAAGAACAGCTTAGCGACCAGGTTACAGAGTCAGTTGGTAGTGTGGCTAGAGCTCATGTCTAGCAGGATAGATGGCCACACAACAATCGCCAGAGCTGTTTATAGTTGGAGCCGATAAGAAATGAGTTTGAATATGTTCAAGCAGTGTAGCTAACAGGTTTCGCAGATGCCACTAGGTCGAATGTTGTAAGATATAAGTGCATGAAAGAACTTCTGTGGGTCATAACACATAAATTAACTTCACTAAAAAGATAGGCTTTAAGAATAAAATACGACATTTAAGGTACAGTGAATATTAATTTTATTACTAAGAATGCCGAAGTATTACGAGGTATCACCATATGTCTATATTAATGCAAAAGGTGGCCCGAGTATCCCATAGAAGTGGTCATAAACACATCACACTAATGTATTCCCTATTTCTGCAGCTGTATCACACACTGTTCGCATATGCAAAATATATTACTGAGGAAAGTTTTGATTTCGAGAAAATGTCTAAAATAATCAACACTTTATACGGCTAACACTTTTTCATATAAAGTGGTTGCATCTGAATACATAACCATCAGTAGCCCGGCAAAACTTTTTCAGAATCATAATCCCTCCACATATGCATTTTTTTAGTCCTCCCTATCAACCAATTTTTCACAGAGAAGTCAAAAACAAAATCTAGGACAGTTGCAACCAGGATTATTACTAGCATCCATTTGCAATGCTGAGGTATTCCATTGGCCGAGTCAAAGTCTTTTGACTATGGTGTCGACTGTTTACTATTACCCAGAAGGGGAAAGAGTAACTTTAGTTATGATGTGGTGAGGATAAGTATATCACAGTCAGAATCGACTGCTTCTGACTGATAATTTTTCATGACACGGAAGTACCTCGAGGTACTAACCGTGCCATTATCGTTATGACTTACTGCAGGCGCGTTTGATAGGCTTTCAGTTGTGCATCTGACAAAGATTCATCGTCACATATAAGTGACAACGTCGTAAAAGATCTTTTTCTCTCTTCAGAGCGGTAAGGAAGAGCAACATAAGGTTGGGACATTGTGGCCTTGAAATGAATCTATCAGTTTAAACAAGCATGTTAATTCACTGACTTAAAATCATTTTTATGTGGTTTTTCTTCAATAATAATCACATATTCTGTGAAAATTGTATTTTTTGCTTTGGAAACGCGCGGTTTCTGAACCTTGTTCGCTACATACCTAATAATGGTTCGAGAACTAAGCCTAGCTTCTGACCCTGTGATACTGCATATATGGTCATGCCTGCATAATTATGCATACAGTGATGCTCTTTTTGCAGCTGAAAGGTTGTATGCCGAAACGCACAACAGTGAAAGTTTGTACATGCTGGCGACCAGCTTATATAAAATTGGTCGGCCCAGACAGGTCAATAAATTGCTCAATTCCGCCAAGTCCTTACCACCCAAGAGTCGGTAAGTTTGTGTGATAAACTTTTATCTGCGTCTTAGGTACTTGCTAGCTAGATGCTATTTCGATATTGGGTCACTTACGGAAGCTGAAGAAGCCCTATTATTAACTGGTCTTTCTTCAACCTCATTAGATGAAATTATAAATGTTTATGAAGAACAATCCTGCTATGTACTATTATTACTTGGGGACATCTGCAAACGCCAAGGTAGAGTTAGTGACGCCGTTGCCTACTACAAGAAATGCCTGGAAGTAAATCCTCTTATGTGGTCTGCTTTTAAAAACTTGTGTAACATTGGCGAGTATGTTGATCCTTCCTCCACTTTCCAATGTCCAGAGGAATTGTGCCTCAATACGCCTGCGTATGCTGTTGTACTAGACAATGTGCACAGTACGCATTGTGTTAATGATAAAGCTGCTCGAGAAAATGTGAATCCTCAACTAGCATCTAATCAGTCGTCTCTGTCCTCTGCTGACTTTGAGGAAAGTGCCCAGGAATCGTATCATGATACAAATCAGCTGTGTGATTTCCAACGCAATTTTGTTTCCTTCTGTTCCAAAAGTTACATTGAAGACTTGGCACCTTCAACTAAGTCCGTCGACCTTCATACTCCAGACGAAGTTGTTCCTCTCGCTTTGTCTCCCAAAGCTCCAAAGGCTGTTACCGTTCGTTCCCCGGTCATGCGGTCATTGTACGGAAATGAGACCTCCCGTTTTGGCTTACTATCTTTTTTCCCACAAAGTCCTATGTTTGCTTGCGTTCCCGTGAGTTTGTCATTTTTTACGCCTTTGAGTTTTAAAATGATATCAAGTTCCTCCACAGTTCTGTATTCCTTTTTATTCACCGGCATTTTATGCATATATTTTTAACATCTTACTACCAGTTATGTATGTCCAAACCAAGTTCACTTTTAACAGTTTGAAAAATTTGGGCATTTGCTATATGACATTCGTTATAATAAAGCTTTTCTTATGTCTCCCAATGAATGAAAAACAAAACGATATTGTTGTCGTTTTTACTGACGTTTCGCTATTTAATGCTGATGCTAATAGCTTTATCAAAGCAGTATTATTAAACCAGAATTTACAAAATCTCAGCTTAAATGTACATAACAACTTAATCATCGTTCCTCAGTATGGGTCATTTTTCTTTGTCAAATTGGCCAATTGGTAACGGTAACAAACCCGGTAGGTGTAGATTGTTGGATTTGATATTTGTGTAAAATTATAAAAGCAGCGTGTGTTTATATAATGAAATTGCTTATGACACATTCATGTTGATTTTGTCATTTCATGGGGCAGATTGGGGGGTCAAATTCTGTTTTAGTCCATCATTCCTATTCAGCTCAGACAATTTGGATTCCATTTGATTCGAAGTGCTTCTGATGATATTAGACGTTCTGAAATTTTCGACATTTTTAAAAATAATACTTTGGTAAAACATTGAATAGCGGAACGTCAGTAAAAACAATATCGTTTTGTTTTTCATTCATTGGGAAATACAAGAATGAATCTTACTACCAGCCTCAATATTTTGTGTTTCAAATTTATCTTACCGTTTAAGTAGCCAGTCTCTCAGCATATCTACCAGGAGATGTTGACTCCTAAGTTCTGTTAAAGAACTTCTGGCTTTCGGTGAATTGGTAAAAGTAGCTTGTCTGCTATTGTTCTGGTGACTAGATGTTGGTCAAGTTTCAGGCATATTTTATCGCTTCTGGAACCAATGTGCATATTTAACTTATTCTTCATTTTGGTCTTAGTTTTATATGTTTGACTATATGCATATTGTCTTCTTAAACCCTGCAGAACTTCTTATCAACACTGATCATCGTATTAAGTTGTATGAGTCTCTATAAATCATCTGCATAAATATTTAATAAATGTGTTTCTAGTATATTAGCTTGTACTGCTTGTGCCGCACCAACATTTCACATCTTTTACTGACGAGAAACTGCTACTCCTGTGAGTAAATTAATAGTCATTCAGGCAATTTCCACTGTAATTAGGAATATAGTTTGAGGGACTTAATGAAAGGTTACACTAAAATCTATATTATAGTACTTTGACAAACTTTCTGTGTTCCCTAGATTTAACCTGATTATCTCTTGCTTTACCTGGATATTAACCAAGAAAACGGTCCAGAAATCATCCTGTTCTGTAGATAATTTACTATAATTTTCTAAAATTTTACTCATGGCTGTTTTTGTTTTCAGGATTTTAACTAGATCTTTGCTGAGAATTGCATACTTCTAATTTGATTTATTGTAGCTATTCGCAGTTGTTCATTGCGTACTTTCAGTCCAGTCAATTTTGTTTATTTGAGGAATATTTGAACTGTAGAAGTTGGCAGAGTGGCTATGTAAAATGCCTGCTTTTCAGCCTTTTGGTTTCTTATTTTCTCTACATCCAAACTCTATGTTACCTCATATTCAATGTAGGTGAAATTTGGATTTAATGTGATTGATTTTTGTAGTAATATTGCGTTTGGTATTAGTTCCCTAGTAAAGTGCTTAGCGGAGTATGCTTCGGAAGGTTTAGATTTATTTAATTCGTTGAGAAACTTCACTGTCACCATTTAATATGCTAATCACATTGTTTCTTACTTTCAATGACAGTCCTTTTGAGATTCTCTCATGCATTCAAAGCATGCCATATACCAGTGTATATTTCAAACTTCCGTATCGAATTTACTTTGTGAAACGCTTCTTTACCTTCAGAGTGTCAAAGGAGATTGGGAGATAAGTACTCTTTCCTTCAACTTAATAAAAATTGGATCTCAATGGCCTAAGCATCTTTGCTTTCAGCCAGTGAGCCGGGGCTTCAAGTCCAACTGCACCTAATTCAGCCCTAGCACAATAAGTGTGACTCTCATAACCTCACATTTGTTCCTTGAAGTTTCTAGTTTCTTGAGCAGGCAAATTGTCTTAAGAGATTTTGATGTAGTTATGTTCTCAGCTCAGAGAACACATTGTATAAATTTCTTACCTTAGTAGAAAACAGATATTGTTTTATTTTGATGTTCTCATTGTAAATCGTTTAAAAATCAAGTCATTTTTCCCCTAGGCGGCTAAACAGACTTTTTTTAAGTTCATTACAACTAAACGATCGAATAATGAATCATTACTACAGTGGCTTATTATTTCTTTTATAATTTTACAATAACTTTTCACTTTACAGATATTTTCAAAGCTTTCTGGAAATCAAACCGCTTGCCAAGAATCATTTCTATCCAGCTCTGTACGAATAGCTCCAAGTCAATGTTTACCCGTCTGGCAGTTAGCTCTTAGTCAAATTGACGATGGTCAAAATGATACAGGCTGTCTTCGAATACCCAATCAACGAAACCGTACTTCAAGCGATAACAGTGGAACTACTGATGCCAGAAAAGATCAGCAAATCAATGAATTTGAAGGTAATCAGAACACTACGGATACTGCAAAAATGCTGAATAGTTCTGCGAATACTTCTGTCAAGTTCAATACACCTGTTGTTACTAGTCGCCAGTCTATTGCTACACCGACCAGTGCACTTCGCAACTTAGTATCAACTGCAGCATCAAAACATGGTGTTTTCAATCATGAATCAAATAGTTATTCAAGTAATATTTCATTAGTTAATACTCCTAACTCGCGTATTGAACCACCCTTACTACGTAGTGCTGTTCAACGTAATGTTTGTCCTTCACCCAGTATGCATCACAACCGAGATTCTCCGTTGGTACTTAGATCGAATTTGCAGTTTTTCAACCCTGCTTGTCAAAGTCCAGGCATGTTAACATCATCTTCAACGCCAAGACCACTTTCAAGTCAACAAACATCTACTGGATGTCGAACTGTTGAAAATACTACCTCTGCAGAGGTTATTACTGGTGGGCCCCGAACAAGATCTCAAGTCGCTGCAGCAGCAGCTGTAGCTAGAGCTTCTGGTATACAGCGGAGATCGAATAGATTTTTAAAAAGTCGAGGTCATAATCGCAAGTTAGATCCTAAACTGTTACCACCAGAATCTACAGAAAACTCTGTGAGTACACAACCGAAAGTGAACAGTCCAAACCTATGCTCCACTCGTAGTCCCCCTAAAACATTGCATTCTTCTGCTATGGAAGATCCACCGGTTTTTGGATGCACTAATTACTATAGGGTACCGTTGTCAGTTGAGACTGCATCTGCAAAAGACGATCCGCGTACACAATCACTACAACAGTATTTAAATTTGCTTAGTCAACTAGGCAAGGCTTATCAGATGTTAGTACAACATCAATGGCGTTCTGCCACGCGTCTTCTTTTAAAGCTTCCAAGCTCTCAACTACAAACTGGTCGTGTTTTAGCTTGGGCAGCCCGCGCTTATATGGATAATGCAGATTATCAAACAGCTCACAAACTGTTCAGTGAAGCTCGTCGTTTAGAACCATGGCAACTTTGTGGAATGGATTTCTACTCAACAGTATTATGGCAAATTCAAGCGGATCAAGAATTATCACAGTTAGCTCATGACTTATTGGAACTTGATCGTAATGCTCCTGAACCTTGGTGTGCAGCAGGTAATTGCTTCTCATTGCAAGGTGAACATGAAACTGCTATTAAATTTTTTCGCCGTGCATTACAGGTAAGTATGGTTCTCCGTTCATTTTTCTATTGTGTATAACAAAATAGTTGATAAATTTCCATATACATGAGTAACTTGTATTACTGGATATAAAAGTTAAAAAACTTGGCATTGCTATATCTCAGTAGAAGTCTCTACAATTCACATCGGTGAGCAAGTCAACAAGGCTGGGGAAAAACAACCATAAATGATGGGATACACACAAAAAGGGTTATTTTCAATGTCGTCAACTTTTAAAATTCGGTTGGAATGAAGTATTATTATTATTACTATTAAAACACAAACTCTGCACATTATGGACATCAAGAGATGCGTCACACAAAGTCTTATAGTTTGTGTGGGGGCTGGGATATTGCCTGTATGCCGAGACCGAAGCGTGTTGTCGTATTAAGCCACCACCACCCATGAGCCTTTGACTTGAAGTCTGATCCACAAAGCAGCGTCAAGAGCTGCGTTCTCATGGTTTCCTTTGTCCAAAACAGGTTCATACGCGCATTCGATCCCTTCGGATTCTAGAGTCCATGTACATCACAGGTTCGGAATCCAGGGTTTACCAACTCTCCTAGATAGACTTACATATACACCAGGCGTTAGCATTCTTCCTTTCGCCTGTGTGCGGAACACCACCTTGTGAGCATAATAGAGCATCTCTAGAGAAAGACACAACCGTACTAGGTCGTTTATGGTGACTTGAAATAAAGTAGTCAAATCAATGGATGCGACAACCACTGGTGCATTTTTAAGGTTGTTATATATATATATATATATATATATATATATCTGTTTTCAGTTAAGTGCGTCATATTTGTATTCTCAATCGATTAAACATACTACGCATTTTATCATAGAACATCTATGATGGCATTGTGTGCAAATAAAAAGAGGATATCACTTAAAACTACTGTAAAAGACAAGTTATTGAAATATTTGACATGGTCACAAGTGTTTTATTAGAAGCCTCTAATCTTTATGAAGCTGACCATTTCCTTTTTATTCCTTCACGTTCCTAGTGGAACATAAGGCTTCAATCTAGAGGCCTGAAGTTTCTGTAGCAGTGGTGCTTGTGTATTTTTACAGGATGGGGTTGCTGCTGGCCTCATGCCCAACCTTCCCTCTTTACCGGTCTTATTACTGGTTTAGCGAGGTAAAGGAGTGCGTCGGTGGCCGGGGATCGAACCCCAGACCACGTGTGGCGTGGTTGGCGAGCATTCTACCGCTGTGCCACTGGCCATTGATGGATCAATATTTTTTTCATTTCTCTAAGCTGGTTACTTGAATATATATAACATATATCCATATTTTTTCTTCTTTAGGTTTCACCTACCAATGTTTATTCTTGGACACTGCTAGGGCATGAACAATCAACTTTAGAAGAATTTGATCGAGCATTGGCAGCTTTTCAATTTGCTCTACGAATTGATCCAAGACATTATAATGCATTGTTTGGTATTAGTAATGTTTATTATAAACAAGAAAAATTTGAACTTGCAGAAACTTATCTAATTCGTGCAGTCGCTTTGTTTCCACAATCTCATTTACTTCTTGCTAATCTTGCAGCTTTACGTAGTCGTCTAGGCCGATTAGATGATGGTTATGGTAGTGCAATGGATTTAATTAGTCGTGCGTGTAAAATTCAACCGAATAATCCACTTGCTCGTTATCATAAAGCTTCAATTCTATATCATCTTGGACGTTATTCAGTAAGTATTCATTTTTTGGGTGTAACAAGTTGTAATTTGTATTGCTTTAAACACGTTGAATTCTTGGCGTTGGTTGTCTAGCGAACTTATCACACTTGTACATGAATAGCCCAGTGGTAACGTTTCTGACTGCAGTATTCACTGGGTGACACGGGTTCGAATCTCAGAAGGGACATGAGTTCCTTCAAGGTTGCAGATAGGTTGCCTTGCTGACGAGTGCCAGCTAGCACGAAACCTAGGTCCCGGCAAGGCTTCCTGCCTATTGCCTCCAACTATCCACTTTGAAAAGGCCTTCGACAGCGTCGACCGAGAGGTGCTTTGGCAACTACTTCGCTACTACGGGGTGCCACCGACAATTATGCATCTCATCCAACAGCTGTACGACAATGCTGCATGCCAAGTAATCCACAACGGGAAACTTACGGAATCCTTCGAAGTGAAGACAGGAGTAAGACAGGGTTGCCTACTATCGCCAATGATTTTCCTGATTGCAGTAGATTGGATAATGCGACAGACAGCGGGCAATGAGGAAACAGGCATAAAATGGACTCACACAAAAAACTTGGAGGATCTGAACTTCGTCATTGATATGTATATGTCTGATTTCCCACAAACTGGAAGATATGCAAGTGAAAAGTAACAAGTTGGCAGAAGAAGCATCAAAGATAGGACTCCAGGTGAACATAGAGAAAACAGAGGTCATGAAGATTCCTGGGCAACATCACCAACAGCAACAACAATCAGCATAAATGGAAGGAACCTGAAAGAAACAACCTCCTTCACCAACCGACCTGGGAAGCATCGTTTCAACTACAGGCGGAACTGACGAGGATATCAAAGCAAGAATCGGAAAAGCAAGACAAGCTTTCACTACTCTCAAGTCTGTGTGGAGGTCAACAGCACTCCTCGGCATCAAAAATAAGATCCGGATTTTCAACTCCAATGTGAAATCAGTGCTAATATCATCAAATCAATGTACATGAATCAGTTTTTATTGCTAGTTGTTATGGCTGGAATAATTAGATAGAAAGTCTACAAATTCAAATGGAAATGTGTGAAGTAGTGTATTGCTTAAGTTCGAATGTAAATCTCTCTCTCTGTCTGTGTTTTCCCCTCTCAAATCAATATTTTCAGAATATAAAGTATCCTCTGTTCTAAATATTGGATAGTTCTAGAGATTGGAGCATAAGCAGATAAGACAACTCAATGATTAAATCTATTTTCAAGCGCATCACTTGTAGTGCAAATATCAGTTGTTATTCATTATTGGCGTGCCGAGTGGAATATAAAGCTTCAGCAGTGCATCTCCGTTGCACTTGGTTCTCTGACATCAATTTCAGCTAGCTCCACGACTGATCATAAGCTCTCGTCTTTTTTCACATGATCTTCTCCATATCATCCTCGGACGCCCAACTTGTTGCTCCCCATTTGGATTCCATCTGAAAGCCTGGCGTGTGTGTGTGTGCGTGTTGTCTACTTAAAGGTCTCTTCAGTGTATTTCCAGTATATTTCCTACTATTACAACTGTCAATACTACTACTTATTTACTGAAAGGCATAACAATTTCTTCAATATATTTCAATCCATCAATTCGTTAGATATACTTCTAGTGAATAAAATATGTTTCGATAAAGAAAGGAAGACGAAATTTGCAGTATAAAATGTGATATCATCATTCTATTTCACAGGTTCTCATCAGCTGCATAAACCTACCTGAAATTACAATGGTTATATAGATTGATAATAACATACTTTAATGTTTAAGTGGTAGTAGAGAAGAGATACTATAAAATTGACGCATGTAAGCAAAATGTAAGCATTACAATTTATTTAGTTTAAGTTTTCTTCATCAATTTATACGCTTTCAAAGTAGAAGAGAGGCGGAGGGGTAAGACAGAAAACAGAAAAAAATAATTAACAAAACAGTGTTAGCTTGTAGCTGTTCACATAGCAACTCAAAAAAACAAAAGCGGTGACAGTTTATAAGATTGAAATTTGTTCAGTGAGTTGAGATCACTGAATTAGATGACTAATTAATGTAATCAAAATCAAAATTCAGTTATCAAGGGAGTGAGAGATTAATCACACTCTCTTTCTGTATGCATAAGTCTGGTTGGTTTGAATCGTTTGATTGCGATCGCTTCGGCGAATCGTAGTAAATTTGCTGTCCTTTGTCTATTTAATATTTTTTGAAGGACTTAGAAATCTCTACGAGATGTCCGGTACTAACAATATGTCTGGTGATTGCACTCTGAGAATATTTGCTTCCTTTCAGGCACAGGTTTCTTGGAATATGTTCAGAAAACCGGATAGAAGCCCGTCCTTCCAATGTACCTGCTCCCGCAAGTGCACGTAAATTCATGAACGGAGTTGGAGGTGACATCCACAGGGTATTTATCCAGTTTTGATTGGCTTATAGAAGAATTGGCGCTGTATAATGTTATGAGTTTATATGCAGAGAAGCTTCTTTTTATTGCACCTTTCAGTGTTTTGTCAATCTTTTGTGACACTGCATCTCCTTTGAATGGGAGGGAGACGAATAAACACTTTCTTCTTTTCTAAAGTTGGGTGTTTTTCTTTCTCATCTTTTTCTCTGCTCTACTTTTGTATAAATCCCTTAGGGTATCCATTTTCTCTTAGGCATTTCTCAACGAAACCTAATTCTTCTTCAACCTTGTTCGGTGAACATAGCTTCCTGGCTCTGTCGTACAAAGTCCTCAGTAATCCACGTTTATAGCTTATGGGACAAAAGCTGTTATAGTGAAGATATTGCCCCAGTTCAGGTTTCTTTTCTATAGATGGACTTTTCTATCGTACCTTCGTTTGTTCTTTCTACATTTAGATCCAGGAAATTGAACTCATTATTATGTTCATATTCCATGGTGAATTTGATGTTTAGATGGGTCAACTGTAATTGATATCCTCCTAGTAAGAATCCTGGTTTTTTTTGTCTAGTACACAGACCTATATATATGTACATTATCTAATAAATATCATGTTAAGTCATTACCAGGTATCGATTTCACTCTGTCGCTAAATCTAACTTTCGATACCAGTCAACTTCATGACATGATCCACGTTTTGATGTGAACACTTAGCTTGTTTAAAACTAAATCGTACTTCGTATCAGTCTATGATAGATGACTCACACATGATGCATAAATAAGGTTATATCAACATTAAAAATGCATAGTTCTCTAAACCCTGAAACCCAAGAGAGTCTAATCTCCAAAGCTACTCAAACTTAGAATTTAATAACGAACAAATATGTGTTTATTGGTAATGGATTTCACCTTTTCTTCTGTTTGGCGTATAGCTCTACGCACACACACACACTTGTCTCCTGTAAGCACATGATTCATCAGTCTAGGAAGTGGGTCCCGCATTCGGAACCCACTGTAGTTACTGAAGTCTTGTCAGTCAAATAATGTTGTCAGCTTATACACAGAGTAAATATACGTTGTGCATATGTGTTTGGTGAGTTGTTGGGAATTTCGAATCAAACAGACATTTATAACTCCCGATCATCCCATCCTATGTCAGTGAAAATAGGATTGATGAAATGTTTAAGTGACAGAGCACAAAAACTAAGTAGTACCAAGGAAAATCTAAGACATGAAGTGAGGCATATAAGAGAAGCTTTGAAACTTAATAATTACTCTGATAAATTAGTCAGGAAATATGTAGGGAAATGTAAAAATAAAATAAATAATGATAGTAGTGATAGTGATAGTAATAATGATAATAATGGCATGCAAGTCAAATGTGCGCAAGACAACGCCAACAATAAAGAATCGAAATCATCAGTAGTAATTCCATACAAGGAAGGAATCTGGGAAACCTTACGCAGAATTCTTAACAAGGCAGGAATAAAAGTGGCTGGCATTCAAACCACCCACAAACTCAATTAGAAACAAGTTTTGTCGGTTAAAGGATCAATCCTGAAGAGCCTTTAAAAAAAACAATTTAGTTTATCTAATACCCTGTCTGCAATGACTGTCAGGTCAAATACATAGGTCAAAGTAGTAGAACAGGGGCAGTCAGACTAGCCGAGCATAAAAACCTAGCAGCGAAATCTAGATTAGTTGACCCAAATAAGATAAGAAATCTAGAGAATAGTTCATCTATAGCGCTACACCACATGCAATTACACACAAACATACAAATGGGCTGGATAGGAAAAGATGACAATTTTGAAATCTAATGCAACTGACAGGGTGGAGGGAGAGATTGATGATAGCGGAAGCTTTGTTTATCGAATCAACTGCAAACCAACACGTGTAATAGGAATGATTCAACACCTTTCCAGTCGGATATCTGGAAAATTCTACTACCCTAACGACGATAAATAGGAGAAAACTATAAAACTCAAGTTTGGAAGTCGTGTGGTTGGTTATAATTGATGAAATGATTATGAGCAATAAATACTGTTCGAAACTTTGTCATCCAGTAAACAATAATACTGTTTCATCACTGTGTGATATGTCTAATGAACAAACTAATATGGAATTTCGAATCTTGGCTTTTTTATACATACTTAACACTTATTCAGTGATGTCACTTAGTACAGGAAAGCTTCTAATCAACTGTATATTTTTATTGATTTTCTCTTTTTTTTAATTAGGAAGTACTATCAGAGTTACAAAAGCTACTTGTCTTGACACCACGTGAAGCTATGGTCTACTTGATGATTGGACATACATACAAAAAGCTAGGCAATACACCACAAGCAATGATTCACTATTCTTGGGCTATGGAATTGGATCCAAAAGGCGCTAATACTCACCTGAGAGATATTATGACAAATCCACCAATTACAAATCGTACTTCGAATCGACAAGGTACATCAGAACCTGGAATTTGTGGCGCTGGAGGTGGCGGCGTTGGCGGTGCTGGTAGTGTTGGTGTTGGCGGCGGAAGTAGTCAAACCAGTGTCAACAATTCAGCTAGAGCACACCTAGGTTCATTTCAAGCAGGTATACGTCGTGGTAATTTCGAAGAAGAAGAAGAAGAGGATGAAAGTGGTGAAGAAGTGATCGATCGAACCTCGGGAACAGATGAAGAAACTATGAGCAGCAGTCTACTTCATCCATCACAGAGTGGAACACGCTCCAATCTAGTTCGTCGATTAACCGATTTCTCTTTATTGTATGAATCCGGTGGTGGTGGTGGTGGTGGTTTTGAACAAGATTCTGTCATGTCTGATGCAGATGAAGAACACTATGATACTATGGATATAAGCAATGGAGTGGATAATAGTAGTAGAACTGAACACAGTATACCAGATGATTGAACAGCAGAAAGAAAAGGAAAAGCCAAAAATTATTCTCGCATTTGCAAATATAATATAATATGATATAATATATTAGAGTATATTATTTATTTCCATCTCTGTTAATTGTGACAATGAAGCCCCTCATCATCTTTTAATATGAAAAGTTACTAATCCAAGTGCAAAACAATGTACACAATCTAACAACTATGTTTACATTTCATGTGGGATCGCTATATAATATATGATGATTATTATGATTACTGTCCTTATTACTATTATTATTATTGTTACAAATATGAGTGCATGTACAGTGACTGTTTTGAGTTGAAAACTATTTGTAAGTAGTATGTGTCAAAATGTAGAGTCTTCTGAACATCTTGAAGTGCAATCTACGAATGTTTGGTGTGCAATTCACTCCCGCCAAATGTGTAAGATGATGTTACACGACTGGACTGCACTGACTCTTAGCTTAGAAATAGGGAGTGAGGTGGTAGAACACTTTGACCACTTCACTGATTTGGGAAGTTGCATCAGCCAGTGCCAACGGGTTGATCGCTGATGAGATCTCAGCACGGATACAGAGGGTTAGTTTCGTATTTGCCAGTTTACGCTCTCTCTGGCGTAGACGTGATATCCAGCTGGCTATCGACCAAGGGGCGAGTGTACTGCTCAGCAATCCGCTTCGTCCTCCTTTTTGGCTGTGAGCAAGACACGGACATTGCGAGTGGAAGACTTGAAAAGGCTGGTTAGCTGTCTTTGATCATAGGTATCTGCGTTCTATCTTCCGTGTGAAATGGTATAATAGGGTGAGCAATATTGAGGTAAGGCATCGGTGGTCGAGTGCTCGGTAGGTGGGAGGGGAAATCAATCGACGAAGCTGTGAAGCTACATTGACTGAGATGGTTAGGACATGTGTTACGCATGCCTAGCCTAGCCGTCGCCTTCCTCGACGGGCAATGTTAGCTGACATAGGGTCAGGTTGGAAAAGAGCTAGTGGTGATCAAACCAAAACATGGTCTCACCTGTCAATGAAATTCACAGCAGTTAGTTTAAGCCACGTAGGAAGGTTTAGACATCTTGCCTTGTTGTAGTCCTCGGGATGGTAAAAACCAATGAAGGCTGGAAACAATCGGTGATATGGCTCAAAATCGTTCTCACTGATGGCTGGCGCAGATGCATCCACTCCTTGTGACTTATAATTTCCAATATAACCATATTGTTCTTCCTTATTACTATTCCTTTTGTCTCATATCCCTGTCTACTGTCTCTATTTCGCATTTCTTCTCTTGCTTTGTGTGCTACAAGGCGGGAGTGTGGCGACTTGAACTGCTGCACATCGGTGCAAAGTTCTATGTTGAAAACAGACAGACAGGTGTCACCTCTCCTACATACTAATAGTTGAAATCACCAAGATAAGACTGATGACAAGGTTAGTTGTTTTTTTTAGAGTATTAGAAATCATTATAAATGGGCGTTCGGTCAGTTGGGTGTGTGTGTGTGTCTTAGAAACCCACAGATCACGTAGTTTAATTGTTCTTTCCTGAGTAGGGCATGAAGCCCCTTTAGTGCATCTTCACTACTTGCATTCGGTCTTTTGTGATTACTCCACAACTAGTTCACATCATCTCTTATCCATGTCAAACCCATCGCTTACACTAAGCGGCGTGGTGGTGGGGGGTGTGTATGTGATATATTAGACTATAATGCGTATCTTAACAATGTGGAAAACTATTCTCATGCACCTATCTACATTATTTTAAATTACGGAATGATGGCTTATTATACGATTAGAGTCCTCCTTTATGGCTGTGAGACCTGGCCATTGAGAGTGGAAAACATGAAAAGGCTAGGTGTCTTCGATCATAGGTGCCTGCGTTCTATCTCCCGCGTGAAGTGGTATAATAAGGTGAGCAATATTGAGGTTAGGCGTCGAGTGCTAGGTAAGGAGGGAAATCAGTCGACGAGACTGTGAAATTACATCGACTGAGATGGTTAGGACATGTGTTACGTATGCCTAGACATCGCCTTCCTCGACGGGCAATGTTTGCTGATATAGAGCCAAGCTGGAAAAGAGCTAGCGGTGGTCAAACGAAAACATGGCCTTACAAGTCAATGAAATCTACAACAGTTAGTCTAAGTCACGTAGGGAGATGTAGACTTCCTGGTTGGGTTCCTCGGGACGGTAAAAACCAATGGTTGGAAACAATTGGTGATATGGCTCAAAATCGTTCTCAATGATGGCTAGTGCAGATGCATACACTCCTTGTGACTTATGATTTCCAATTAGGCTGTTGTGTTCTCCGTTATTACTATTCCTTTGTCTCACACCTCTGTCTACTGACTATATTATGCATTTCTCCTACTTTCTTCTCTTGCATTGTGTGCTACATGGAGTGTGGCGACTTGAACTGCCGCACATATGTGCAAAGTTCTATGTCGAAAACCGACCGATGCGATTAGAGTATGACACACAGTAATTAATTGGTTGTGCGATGATCTAACAAGGTGTTATCAGACGCAGAATTAATCTTTGACAAACCAACATACAATTTGCAGTCGAATCTACGGCTTGTTTAAACCCAGTCACGAGGTGCATAATTCGTATACCAGGCTGTGAACCACATGTTATGTGATATTAAGGCTGGTGGTATTACCAAATTGCCAAGATTGAAGTAGGTGAAACTATTGTAATTGAAGTGAGCTGGATAAATCCGTCGCTAATTTGTTGTGTCTGCGCCTGTTAATTACCAGAACGGTAGTGAACTCGACTGGTACGTTAATACGTCTACATTTTCTTTACCATAATAAAGTCGGCTCACAACCGTGCGAATGGATTGTTCTTATTCGCTGGCAATGTCTACTCTAATTGGTTGGTGATCTGACAAAGACCAAGGTGAGACAAAAGACGATGAATTGATTACACGCACTAAATCAGAATATGGGCGAGAAATGATAGATCAACATAGTAACTCCAACACAAGATAAATCACACGATTCGTGTGAAGGGATGATATACTATTTCATGCTGGGTCCTATCAGAAGCAGTACTCGAACCTAGATCCCAGTGACTGTAGTTAGAGTCCTTACGCCAGTGAGCCATACCTCTCCATAGTTACATAATAAGTGGCTAAAGATTGGTTTTCAGGGAGAACCAAACATTCGTCTTAACCTTTTGCAAAATCAGAGCTGTTAATTGATCTAATTGTGTGTGATACAACCACATAGGTGTGCTGTATATCCCCGATGTCCACAGACTCAACTTCGTGCATCTCAACACCCACTTGTTTTCTTTCCACTCATCCAGAAAGAATGTGCGTGTGTCCAGCACAATTATTGAAATCGGTCCTCTGTATCAAGCACCTATTAAATTCGTGACACTTTGAGTCTGACAATTAGCTTCCTAAGGTGCCCGACCGAAAGTTGCTACCTTAACGTGGTGGTCGGGCTTGAACACCACAATGACCCAACAAGCTATACTGGCTGAGACTTATGTCGCTTGAGATCCTACCATGCCAGAAAGGTTGCTTTTTGGATAGCGGTTAGACAGAAAAGCAGTTACCCAACCCAATGCTATGACTCAAAGTAAATCACAAAATATCATGCCGGATCGGTCGAGGCCCGGATTAACAACGACCGCGCTTCCTGCTGTCGTATCACAGGGCAGAAGTGATAAATATGCTACTGAGACACACCAAATGAAAAAGAACAAACAAAAACAGGCCGTGTGTGACCGGCCTGAAGCAGTTGTCCCCTGGGCTCTGTGGTCACGCAACCAACTTCCACGGTGTGGGCAGCCGGGAAGTAACAATCCGAAGTGCACGCGAAACCTCTCTAATCCTTACTCATCTTTGTCTTCATCTCTATTATCTTGCCTTCCTTCTGCTAATGCAACTCCTCTACTTGATGGCTCTTCACTCTGTGTGCAATGAAAACGACGGAAGCCAAAAAACCACCATCGATAGTCTCCTAAAGCCACGCCACCAATTTCATGGCTGCAGACAATAGGTGACATGGCTCAAAATCGTTGTCAATGGCTTACGTAGATGTATTCAGTCTCTGTAAACTTTCATATTCCTTTCTACCATTACTCATTCTGTTTCACTCTTATACTTGTCAAAACTCTATTGATTCTCTTCACTCATCTTCTTGTCTACCTTTGTGTGCTATTTGGAACGTGGCAACTCGAAGTGCTGCACTTCGGTGCCAATTTCTATATTGAATCCAGCCAGCCAGCCCTAAGGTGAGTTCTTTGCAGTGGAGTACAACACTCATCTTGAAGACGGGCATCATCTTTCTTTTCCAGAGGCTCCAAGTAACATTGGGGGAACTGAGAAAATGTACAGCTACTTGTCAGAGGAAGTTTGTTAGATGGTTGGAAGCAGTCGGCAGGATGCCTTGGACCTAAGTTTCGTGCTAGTTGTAAGGGGAAGTATATATTTTAATATTTGGATGAGTGTTATGTAGCCAGTCGAATAAGTAATACACAGACACTCTATCAGCGTACTATTTATTGTTAAGCGACCTTATAGAATTCATATAAAACTACTGTACGCCTTCTCCGTGTTTTGTTCAAAAATTAAAAACATCCAGAAAATGAAAAAAATTTTTATTTTTGAATTTACTGATCATCATCAATCATTGTAGAAATGAATACAGAAGATAAAACAGCATAAAGAAGGCCAGAAGGAAAAAACAACACATTTTCAACTCTTGTCTTCTGTGGTCTCATAGTTTTCAGTTTTCATATCTGTTAAGCCTAAAACATCATTGTCCTCTTCGCTTCGTTCATATTCAATCAATTCCAATTCTGGATCCGGATCTGGTGCGTATATATTCTAGAAAGGAACAAAGCCAACAGGGGATTATAGTAGGATACAAAAAGCTAAAATGTTTCAGAAGTTAAAAGAAAAAAACGAGTTCACTTTTGAAAGGTAATACAATCGTAAATTTGATTAATTTTCACCCTACAATTTGTTGTATGAAAAAGGATATAACAAAGTGGAATTGTTAATCAAGTGTTGGTTTGCGTGGATTTGATCGGTTTCTAGATTTCATGATGAACTGACATCGGTTAGAGGACCACTGGAAAACCAGCTGGGAGTGCTGAACAGCTGTTTCGTCCTAGTTGGGAACTCCTCAGCAATACGCACCCACCCCCAGGACCTTCTAGTCACAAGGTCAGCTCGCAGACCATCAAGCCACCGGGACCCGATCCAGTGGTCCATGAATTCCTAAACAGTATATCGCTAACATACGTTAAAGAGAATAATGGATGCCTGCCATTTTTAGATGTACTAATAACCCGCCGAGAACATGGGTCAGTAAAACGATCTGTCTACAGAAAGTTCACATGGACGGGACAGTATCTAAATTATCATAGTTTCTGTCCACTACATTATTAAAAAGGCGTTGGTTAAATGTTTGTTCAAGCACATTCATCGTATATGTACTGCCGATACAATTGAAGAAGAAAGACAACACCTCACTGAAATATTGTTAGATAACAATTACCCTCTGAGATTTATTAGACGTTACGGAAGTGTCAACCATAGAGCTTTACCTATCCAATCAGCTTCCAAAAAGGATGTTTACATATCCTTGCCGTTCAGAGGTGATCAACAAAGTCTAGTCACTAGACAAAGACTCAAGGCCGCAATTAATAGAGCCTATTATGCAGCTAAACTTATCTTCATAGAGAAAACGAGAACTATGCTGTCCTGTAAACCCTCACATTATCCGAACGATAGTGTCACATCCCAATGTGTTTATCAACTTTCATATATGTGTGAACACACGTACATAGGGGGGACACATCGGTCTCTGCAGGTTAGGGCTAAAGAACACATTCCAAAGTGGCTGCAACAACAAATACAATCGCCAGACACAAATGATCCCGGAAATAGATGTCCAACATCATCTATAGCGAAGCACATTATAGAGACGGGTCATAAGGTTGATTTCAACAATGCCTTTAAGCCGATATATAAAACAAGGTTGGGTCACATACTTAAATACATTGAAGCCTTAGCCATAAAAAGACTTAAACCTGTCTGTCGTATGTGTCCAAAAGTTATTTGTTATCACCTTAAACCTGCCTTGGTAATCCAATTTAGAACCAAGGACCAATTTACTTCATAATATTTTCAACCCCTTCTTTGTCTTGTTTTTCTCCATTTATCTTTATTACCCACATCTTTCGCGTTTCCCTACCCATTATTTATGACCTTGACCTGAACACAATCTGGCCTATACCTTCTTGCCTTCTATAAAAACTATGTATGACAAGTACGTGTGTGTGTGATCAGAATGTCCGAAATGTGTCGCGCCGATACATTACACGTTTCAGATAAACTACACGTCTTCTTATTGTGTTGTCGAAATTCCAAATTCTGCCGATTCATGATATGGTATCATGATATCACTGGATCAGGTCAGGTGCCAGTGGCTTAATAGTCTACGACCTCATTCGCCTGGTAACCAGAAGGTCCTAGGTTCGAACCCTGGTGGTGGTGGGTACGTACTGATGAAGAGTTCCAAACTAGGCTGACAGAACAACTGTTCAGTTCTCTCTGCAGGTTTTCCAATGGTCCTCTAACCGGTGTCAGTTCATGATAAAATCCTGAAAAGTAGAATTGTAATAACTCTCTCTCTTTTTAAGCTTTAAATCAAAGCTGAAGATGTGATTGTTTGGCTAACGTGCAATAGTACTCACTCGACTTTATAATCAATAGGTTTTAGTAAGTTGAAGTCCTCGTACCACTTCAGTCTAGGGGCAACCGTCATATAATGAACATGGCTCATATAGACAGGTGTCTATGAGAAATCTGTTCCAAGTAACTAAGTTCAAAGTGAACTTGAATCAAGCTCAAATTAATTTCTGTTAACAATTTGGGTAAGCGAAAACAGCAGACAGATTGTATGTGGCTGTTCCTGATAGCGGCTTCATGGATTGACCACCGCCTCAACTCTTTCTCAACTCAATCCTTGTCTATCTAGCAGTTTTAGTTAACTATGATTAATATAGGGTCGCGGATGTGAATCTTGTTCCATCTACTCTAACCTGGAAAACTCAGTAGTGTCATCATCAGCTCTTACACAGTGAGTATGGCTCACAGCCTGGTAATTGTATTCGAAATAACTATAGACATTATACTTGGCTACTGTTGTTTGATGTGAATTTTCATCCTAATTCAAAAGCACAAAATGTCAGTGACATACTTCAACAATCTGTCTTCTGCTTCCTACTCTCTGTACGTATTTGGATTCTATTCTTCAAAATTTGTACTCAACACTAAAAATAGCATACAGTAATAAATTCTAAATATGTGTAAAACTTGGGCACTGTGGTAGTAAGTAATTCCATATCAGTTTGTTTATTAGATGTGATCACACAGTGAGTGTGACAGTATTATTTAGTGGATGACACAGTTTCGAACACAAATTATTGTTCATTATCATTTCATCAATTATAACCAACCACACAACTTCGAAACTTGAGTCTCATAGTTTTCTTTGTTCTCTCCTATTTGTCGTCGTAGGTGTGGTATTAGAATTTTCCAGATATCTGGGTGGACAGGTGTTGAATCATTCCTATTACACGTGCTGGTTTGCAGTTGATTCGATAAACAAAGCTTCCGCTGTCATCAATCTCTCCCTCCAACCTGTCAGTTGCATTAGATTTTAAAACTGTCATCTTATCCCATGCATCCTATTGTGTGGTTGTGTGTAATTGCATGTGGTGTAGTGCTATAGCTGAACTATTCTCTAGGTTTTTATCTTATTCGTGTCAACTAATCTAGATTTCTCTGCTAGGTTTTTATGCTCGGCTAGTCTGACTGCACCTGTTCTACTACTCTGGCCTATGTATTTGACCTGACAATCATTGCAGACAGGGTATTAGATGAACTAAATTGTTTTGTTTTAAAGGCTCCACAGGATTGATCGTTTAACCGACAAAGCTTTTTTCTAATTGAGTTTGTGGGTTTCAATGCCACTTTTATTCATGCATTGTTAAGAATTCTGCGTAATGCTTCCGGGGTTCCTTCCTTGTATGGAATTACTAAATTAAATTCTCATAGAGAAAGTCCTTTAAATCCACAGAAGTGGTCAGTGTCACTCAGCTACACCACTTTTCCAGCCTGTAGAGGTTTCGATCATGGACACATTGGCTGTAAATCAAGCCCGTGTAGTGTAGTGTGAAGCTCTGGTGATTCATTGGTCTAGGTGCTCGACCTGCAACCAACTGGATCACGGTACCAAACCACCCATCTACCCACGATTGACCATAATCTCTCATCTCCTCCATATCACCCTCGAAGTGACAACACCCCCCTATCGCTTCCCATTAGGATTCCACTCGAGTATTGGCCTGGTGCACGATTTCATTCGACAGCCTCCTCAACGTATTCCCTATCCATCTCCTTTTTCTCCTACATATCTCCTTTGGCTACCTGGATAGCCTTCTCAGCCTTAGTACATTGTACGGATATTCCAAATCCCCCATTTTTATTCTTGCTTTACCCGCGCTTGGGACCAGCTAGAAAACTAGTGAGCTCCTCACAACAACAATAACAAAAAAAAATTAGTAATAATATAAAAATTATCTCTTAGTTAGTGTTACACACTCACTTGAATATAACTATTACCAGCAGGATCATTCAGTTCGAAGAGTACATCAAGTTTTTCACCAGATGTTATCTTTTATAAAACAAAAAATGAAAATGTATAAAATATTAATTATTTAATTTAATAAATACCTTGACAAAAAGGCTACTTCAGACTGTATATAAAATTTATTGGCTATAAACACAGGTCATGCATGACACTGACACTACTCATTATAATTAGGAGATTTTTTGAGTCATGTCAGGGAAAAATATCCTGTTTAATGCATTTTATCACTATTTTCTGTATTTTTCTTGCAAATAAACGTCATTTTCATGTATAAACTACTGGTTTTCGCAATTATCCACCCCAAGGTCACTCGTGCGTTTGCATTTTAGCGATCGCTGTAGTTTAACTTTGCCGGCTTAGGTTTCAGTTTCCAGTTTGGTCGGGGATGCGTACCGATGAGGAGTCACAGACCGGGATGAAACCACTCTTCTCTTCATTCCTTTCTGTTTTATTACATAACTGGGACAGGTGTTGCGTCATTTCTATTGCATATATCGATAAGCCTGTCTCTCCCTCTTCTATTTACCTAATTATTTAATTTTTTAGTACTTCTGTAACGACAGAAGACAAGGGACATGCAATAGATGCTTCATTGAGAAAATATACACATATTTATAGATTTTTATGTACATTATTATTCGTTATTGTCAGCAGAGAGGTAACATCTTCTGATTGGTTGTTTTCCTGCTGAAGGTTATTCTACCATCTCTTTGTTGTCATTTCTTAGACAGTCCGTAGATTTATCTGCTAATCTTATCCGCCCACGCTAATACTGCTGCCTCTTCGCTCTGGAGGATAAAGGGGGAGGGGTTGGGAAAACTCGAATACCCCTACAACTCTACATCATGGCATGCTTTGTGTGGCGGTGGTCCATAGGTCTTTATACAGACACAACTCCAAGCAGGCAGTGCGTGACCACCACCTACCTTCTCCTGAGCCTCTGAGGACATCACTTGATGAAGCAATTCAAGAAAACAATTCACGTAATAATAAGCGAAACATTGAACTAACCTCTTTTAAACGTGCAATCATTGATCCTAATTTACCTTTCGCCTCCTCAGTTGATGTACTATCACCGACAATAAACGGATTGGCACTGATCAACTGTCAGACAATAAAAAAATACATATTAGCACACACATATAGTGTTAATCATTTCATGAAGTTGCTAAGAAAAAAACTAAATGTCAGTAAAAACTTCGAGCATTGTGGAATAGATCAAATAAAGCGTAATTATATTTTATTAGTTTTAAACACAAAGATAAGTTTTTCGAGTATTGGTTTTTGTAGGGATTTTGTTTGATTGCTTGGGGGATTTCATCATGAGCTGACAATTGTTAGAGAACCATTGGAAAACCAACAGGGAGTACTGGACAGCTCTTTCGTCAGCCTAGTTTGGGACTCTTCATCAGTACGCACCTTCACCTCAGGGTTCGAAACCAGAACCCTCTGGTTACAAGGCGAGCGAGCTCGTAGACCATTATGCCACTGGGACCCGATCCAGTGGCCAGTCCATGAATTCTAACTTCTGCCAATTCATGACATAGTGAGTTACTGCCTCATCTTCAACCTGCTGTTGCACCATACTGGTCACGGCTTCCCACTAAAACCCCAGGTCACTGCCTAAATAGGGCCAGTCGCTAGTAAGCATCAAATCAATCCTACAAGTATTGGTTTTTGTAAGGATCTTTTTTTATTGGTTTGAGGATTTCATCAGTTTCCCAATGGTTCTCTAACTGATGTCAGCTCATGATGAAATCCTCCAAACAATGAAATATTTTTTGTTTGGTAATATTTCGAGCAGCGTCGGTGGCATAGCGGTTACGACGCTCGCCGACCATGCACACGGCCTGGGGTTCGATCCCCGGCCGATGCACTCCTTTACCTCGCTAAACCAGAAATAATGCTGGTGAAGAGGAAAGGTTGGGCATGAGGCTAGCAATCCCATCCTGTAAAATAAACACTGCTACAGAAACTTCAAGCCACTGGCTTGAAGCCCTATGTTCCACTGAGGAACGTGAAGGAAAAAAAATATTTCGAGCAAAATTACTGCTCGTGATCACGCATTAACTGTTGGAATTGTTTTTTTTATTCACATATTTACGATTTGTACTTATATATATATATATATATATATATATATATATATATATATATGGTTCTTTTTTTGTTCATTCATTTTTGTGTATCAAGAATTATATTCCAGGGTGTTGACAGTTGTGCTGCTGAGTCACCCTAGTTACAAAATGCAACTTGACAACAACTACGCAAAAGAATTCATCCGAGATATTATAAAAAAAAGAGGGTAAAACCAGAGAATGGCAAGAAGGAGTAAGGCGAAAAAACACAATCACAATATACCATACAAAAATGCTACAACAGAGGCGTAATTCGAAGAAACCTCAAAAATATTGTGATTCGCACTGAAACATCCAATAAAAATGGTGGATAAAAATAATGTACTTTTCAAAATATCTTGTGCTGAGTGTCCAACTAAATATGTGGGTCAAACACGTCCAGATCACTCAAAATAAGAGTGAATGAACATCAACGCCTAACTAAAGGTCAACCAACAGGAAAACAAGCTTACAAGAATTTAGACCAAAAAGATTGTCTATAGCTGCACATGCAGAATGGGACAAAAACTACAGAATTGATTGGAACAATGTTTGTGTATTCTAAAAACTAATATGAACAAATGGAAAGAGAGACTTATAACAGAATCTATATTTATTAAGGTCACACCGTCGGATACATGTAAAAAGGGTGACTCAGCAGCACAACTGTCAGCAACCTGGAATATAATCCTGAATTCACAAAAATGAATGAGCAAAAAGAAAAGAACTATACATATATGAGTACAAATCGTAAATGTGTGAATTAAAAACAAAACAATTCCGAAAGTTGGTGTGATCACGGGCAGTAATTTTGCTCGAAACATTACCAAAAAAACTCATCATTGTGTGTAAACCATTGAAATATAATTATACTTTATTTTCTATAGTTGGTTTGTAACGATTAGTTTTTTTTTACGAGTTGATCACGGACTGTTATTAGTCAGAGAACCATTGAATACCAGTCACAGGGAGTACTGGGCAGCTGTTTCATCCTATTTTGGGAATCATCGGCAGTATGCGTCCGTTGCCAGGAATCGAACCCAGGACCTTCCGGTTACAAGGCAAGCTAGCTCATATACCATTCAGCCACTGGGACCCGATCCCCCAATGGCCAGTCCATGGATTCTAACTTCTACCAATTCGTGATTTAGCGCAACTGGCACTAACCAATTTCATCGATGGGACATGCATCCTCATACTTGACTGGATGGACTTCATTGGTCACGACTTCTCACTAGAACACTCCAGGAAACTCCGTCCTGTAGTAAGTCACTAGCGAGTATCAGATTAATTTATATTTATTTGCTAAAATAAAAAAAACTTAATTTCAACACTGATTTGGTATAATTATAATCAAAGTCATTCTCGTTATAGCTCATCAACTTAGGCATCCGACCTTTGGTCCGTGATAACAATTGGCTTTGAATCCCACTTCACCCCGTAAGCAACTGGCAAAAATCACCAACTCTCATACACGGAACTCTTAAATCAGTGCATACTGATTTCCCACCACAGATGACCTAATATATACAACCGAGGGTGAGTAGATTTCAAACTTGAAATGCTCTCGTATGGCTACGCATTCACACCCACTAGTCAGCCAGGTTAGTCCTTTTTTCACTGCCTTCACAAATGAGAGGGTGTTTTCATACTCACACAGACACACAAGTAAAAGTACACGTTCAAATGTTCAATGTTTATCAACGAATTGACGGATATGGAAGTCTAAATTTAATAGAGTTAGAAAACCCTGATTCTAAACCTGTGGTTGACATCCTTTCCAAAATCTGAAACAAATGAATGATGTACGAACTTGTTTATTTTTGGTCACAGGCAACCATTCAAACACTACTCTGACTCTGATGCTTTATAGGTCAGATAACGAGTCAAAGTTTCAAGGATTCACCCCTCAAGACAACCACTCACTCGGACAGATACCTAGACTACTATTCAACACACCCTTTTTCAACCAAAGTAACTGTGGCCAAGAATCTGATTAACAGAGCCAAACATCTAGTTACTGAGGAGGAAGCGATTAGCAAGGAACTAAAATTGGTTCAATCCACTCTTGAATCAAATAATTATCCTAAAGCCTTCATAAAAAAATAATATTTGAAATGTGAAGATAAGGATGGATCGAAACTTGTTGCTAAGAATTGGGTTAGTAAAGTGGTGATTCCTTACCGCAAAAGAAACATAGGATGAGATAAAGCGAATCCTTAACAATCATAACATTAGGGTGTATTTTCGTGCAACTAACACCTTACGCTCATCACTGGTGAAGGATTAAGGATAAAATAAAAGAAGAAAACCAACAGAATTGCGTGTATCAGATCAATTGTGGGGACCATGACGCCATATATGTAGGAGGAACTTCCAGACAGGTAAATATAAGAGTGAAGGAGCATAAGCAATGTCTAGAGGTGGTTCCAAAGACCTCTGCAGACTTAAAGGAGCTAGAAAACAAATAAGCGATTGCACTGCATTCGATAGAAACGGGACACAAAATCGACTTTGATAAGACTAAGGTTTTACAGAAAGGTTTTGGTTAGTTTAAAGAAAGACTGACTATGGAAGCCATATGGGTGGATCCCAAAAGTTTCAACAGACGTGAAGGTGTGATGTGTGTTAGGTGATGCATGGCGCATCCTGATTAATAAATAAAAATTGGATATGCATCAACAATTAATCATGCCTGGTCAACATTCCCGATTATCTATATTTTCTTATGGAGAGGCTAACAAATGTTTTATGACTGTTTACCCACACACCATTGTATACTGCATATACACATATATGTTCATATTCAGCTATCCACGACCATTAACTTTTAGTCAAACGTAATCTGATGAAAAGTACACTCTGTTTAAATTGTTTAACAAAAATAGACTAATTTTGAAAGTCTGAGATCAAATTTTGATCACAGTTCATACAATTTTGTTTATTATACATGTTGATGCGTGTTTCATGACTCACATGATTGGACAAAGTTTTTAAAAACAAGAGATGTCCTTTGTTTTATGTATATAAACCTCTGTTATGTTAATTTCGATTAATTTCCCTGAAGAAGTTTGAAACAGTTTGCCGAACGCAGTAAACGTTGGAATTAATCATTTCAACTTCACTGAGATTTTACATATATAATTTTTTTTTACAAATATGTCGACTCAATTCATTTTAAGCGTCCGCATAGTATTTCAGCCTTCACAAAACTTTGTGTGGCGCATCTCTCTTCATGCCTTTAATGCACCATGTTTGTGCTTAAATAATAATTATAATTTCGACAACACAATAAGAAGACGTATAAGAATAATACTTGTGCACTGTGGTAGAGTGTAATTCCATTATAGGTAAATTTTGTTTTGATAAAGTCTCACAGTGTTATACAGTAATATTTACAGATGACGTTTCGAGCACAATTTATTGCTCATAATCATATCAAGCACCTTAATATATAATAATAATGATAACTTTGCGTCTCTCTACCCATTATTTGTGACCTTGACCTGTACACAACCTGACCTGTATTATAATTATTCATGCCTTCTTGCCTTTTATAGAAGAAGTGTATAACAAGTACGTGTGTGTGTGATCAGAATGTCTGAAATATACACATTGGGTTGTAGGAGTTATTAAAAAGACAATTGTAGCGAAGAAAATTTTCTTTCCGACGAAGTCATCATCTAGGCTGTACATTCGCGTATTTATATCAAATGGATGGGAAAGTTCCAGAATAATTTCCGGTTTGGGGTCAAATTAATAAAAATTACAATTAGGAATTAGTATGCCATAATAAACAGGGGACGGATAAAACTCAAACAAAGTAGCATTATAATAACAAAGAAGATTGACATTGTGCAATTGGGGGTGAGAAATGTAGAAATAACAAAATATACAGGATGTTTGGATAAAAAACTAGTGTGATGAATAATTGTTTATGCAATCAGGGATTAAATATGTAGAAATAGTAAAATGACAAAATAAACAGGAAGTGTGGATATGAAAATATGGTAGTGTAGACAGGGATTAAAAAAAACTTAAAATAACATGAATAAACAGGAAGTTTAGATAAGAAAGGCGATGAGATCGTCATTACTAAAAACATTTCACCTGTTTATGATGGCCATGGCAGGGACAGGGGTTGGACGTATTTCTTTTGGATACAAAGTGTGGGTTTGAGCTTTTGGATAGCTAGCGCCTCAGCTATGCCCAGATGTTTTGATTTCACTACTTTTGGTAGGTTTGATTGAATCTTGTATATTACTTTGAAGGATTTTTCGAAAGGCGCTGAATGTCCTGAGTTGACCAGATGTTCTGTCACTGAACTGTATACACGTTTTTGGTCTCCTTTTATTAACCAGGCTGGGTAGTGTTCGCGGGCGCGTTTTTCAAGTCGGCGCATGGTACGGCCGATGTACTCAGCTCCACAAGAGCAAGTAAACTGGTATATGCACGTTGTTATTGTAATTTTTATTAATTTGACCCTTAACCGGAAATTATTCTGGAACTTTCCCATCCATTTGATATAAATACACGAATGTACAGCCTAGATGATGACTTCGTCGGAAAGAAAATTTTCTTCGCTGCAATTGTCTTTTTAATGTCCGAAATGTGCTGTGCAAATACATTCCACATGTTTCAGATAAACTACGTCTTCTTACTGTGTTGTTGAAATTCATAGAGGGGACTAATAATTGCTTTAAATGATTGTAATAGCACATTAAATTGCATAATGAAAGAGATACATTATAATGACTACAAGTACTCACAAAACAAGCTAACAGATATACACACACATGAAATTAATAAATCAATAAATAAAATCCTTTTAGAGCTTACTTGATCAGTGATTGCTACTAATAAGCCTTCAATTGTTGTAAATCTTCCGCCAAGAGTACCACCCATTGATTCAAATTCCAGTTCAGGTATTTTAATAGCTGCAGATTCAGAGACTAAAATATCCCTTGATAAATCATAGACATTTGCTATGCGTAGTTTATAATGCTTTCCTTTCGGTGATACACCAGTGCCTGAACGAACTTCACAGTCTTTAAAGCCACAAGATGGACAATTCAGTGCCATTAGGATAACCTCTTTGAAATGTGGTATATCTATAACAAAGAATGGACAATATGAAAGTGTTAATAGTAATAATAACAATGATAGTACATCACCAAATATTACAAGTGATGCCATATAACTCATGAAAGCTAAACTCAAATCGTTTCCATATCAATTTCACTGTGACTATAACTTACAGTTACCATGGTTACACATATGTGTGATATTCCGCTATCCATTAAAGGATGTGTGTACTGCTTACTCTATCCTCCTTTTCATCTGCGAGATATGACCCTTGAAGGTGAGGGATATGAAGACACTAACCGCCTTTAACTTTAAATACTTGTATTCTATTTCTCGAGCTAAGTGGTGACAACTACTAGTGGTGTCCCTTAGGGATGCTCACTATACTCATTTCTGTTTAATTTCATCATAGTTGTACTCATAGAATCAACCCTAAGTGAATTCAGACAACCAGGAGTTGACTTGTTACCACCACAGAATAATCTCGTTGACTTAGAATATGCAGATGATATAGTCCTGCTCCTAGGTGAAGACGCTGACTGACAGAATGCACAATCTTATAAACACCTTGAGCAGCAATATTCGAATGTTCGACATGTGATTTGCCCACATCAAATGAAATGTAAGGTGATGCTACAAGACTGGACTACATCGACTCACTCCTAGCTTAAAGATAGGTAGTGAAGTGGTTAGTGGAGCGTGTTGACCACTTCACTTATTTGGGAAGTTGCATCAGTAAGCGCCAGCGGTTTCATCACTGACGAAATCTCAACACGGATAACAAGGGTTCGTTTGGCATTTGCCAGATTGCGCCGTCTCTGGCGTAGACGTGATATGTAGCTGGTTATCGAGTAAAAGGAGTCCGCTCCGTCCTCCTTTAAGGTCGGCTGTGAAACATGACCATGAAAGTGGAAGGTACGAAAAGGTTAGCTGTCTTTGATCGTAGGTGCCTACGTTCTATCTCCCGTGTTAGGTAGTAGAATATGGTGAGTAATATTGAGGTTTAGGCATCGGCCGAGTGCTAGGTAATGAGGGTAAATCAGTCGATGGGGTTGTGAAATTACATCGACTGAGATGGTTAGGACATGTGTTACACATGCCTAGCCTTGCCATCACCTTCCTCGACGGATAATGTTAGCTGACATAGGACGGATCAGGTTGGAAAAAAGTTAGTGGTGGCCTAACGAAAAAATGGCTTTATCAATTGATGAAACCCACCACAGCAGAGAGTTAAGTCACGTCGAGAGGTGTAAACTTTCTAGTTGGGGTCCTCGGGACAGTAAAAACCAATGAAAGCTGGAGATAATCGATGATATGGCTCAAAATCGTTCTCACTGATGGCTGGGGCAGATGCATCCACTCCTTGCGACTTATAATTTCCAATGAAACTATATTGTTCTTCGTTATTACTATTCCTTTTGTCTCATATCCCTGTCTACTGTCTCTACTTTGAATTTCTTCTACTTTCTTCTCTTGCTTTTTGTGCAACAAGGAGGGAGTGTGGCTACTTGAACTGCTGCATATCGGTGAAAAGTTCTATGTTGAAAACAGACAGACAGACAGGTGGTTTAATACGGTTAGGATTAATGAAGTTAGGTGTAACTAAGGGAGTAAAACCAACATGAAGTTTTGAAGCTGCGTTGATTGACGTGGCTATGTTAGTTGACACATATTTAGTTTGCCAAAGCATTAGGGGGTGGTCAAGCCAAAACACAGAATCAATCAATAAAGCCTATAACTGTTGGTTTGAGCAGCGTGGGCAAGTGTGGACTTCCAATCTGGCTGAGGTCTTCAAGCTTGAAGGCCCTATGTTCCACTGGGAATGTGAAGGAATAAAAAAACCCTCAGATATCATCAAAGCCTCCTTATTTTTATCCTTCACGTTCTCCAGTGGAACATAGGGCTTCAAGCTTGTGGCTCGAAGTTTCTGCAGCAATGTTTATTTTACAGGATGGGGTTGCTAGCCTCATGCTCAACCTTTCCTCTTCACCAGCATTATTTCTGGCCTCCTTTACTAAGGTTGAAATATCATCATCAGAGACTAAATTGTCCGCTCTAATATATAATCAATCGACGGGAAATACGAAATTAGCTTTAACAGAGTTTGAACTCAACCAGCCAGAACAGACTTTTATTTTAGTTAGCAGGCTATAAGCCATGCTCATCATTATGTGTGAGTGAGGAATAATGATACTACCCCGTTGTCCACAGATTGAAGTAGACAGAGGTGGATTCGAACCTGGGACTTATTGACTGAACATTGAGAGTCAATGAACTATATCTCTACTAAACGCAGAATACAAGCAACCTTGTCTTTTTACATACAGCAAACACCTCATGAATACACTGTGAATTTAGCTATGGGAAATATATATGAATCAAGGTTAGGAGAATAATATAACAGTGAACAGGTGAGATTCAATTCACATGATTGTATGATGATGATGACGGCCTAGCCTTCAAATTTAGCCACTAACAACCAACCAATCACGTGACTTTGTAAAAGGAAATAAAAATCAACAAATGGAAATCTGTTCACGCAAAAATGTATGTAAATTGGGTAGAATGAAAACAATAAGTATATAAATACACCTGTGACGATAAGCCGCCTGATTATTATCCGTCGTAGATATCGTGATAGGTTACCCAACCCTTTCCTATACGCACACACACACACACACACACACACAGGGAATAAAGACCACGAGTATTGAGCCTAATGGACAGACTGTTTTCTCCTTCAAGTTGTCTCATTCCCATGCAACATCGAGACACGCAACTCTATGAATAGCACTAGTATGGTTCATCTTAATATAAGCAGTTCAATTTAATTTCATATCCCATATAAGCTGGGATTTTATCGGTCGAAGGTGACGGAATTTCAACATAGAATCTTGCAGAGAACCGGAATACTTCAAGTTGCCACAAAGGTAGAGTAAAGAGAGGAAAAAATAAAAAAATAAATAAAAGAAGAAGATTCAAAAGAACGATAACGAGCAGAAATGGGCAAAGTTCAACAACAGCGTCCCAGGGGATGCGAACGCACGACTGTCCTTGAGCCAGCCACCAATCATAATACTGAACAATTTTTGCATGAAAACATATTAAACAGGATATTTCATACATTTATTCCTCTTAATGACTTTGGACCAAGCAAAAACTACAGTTTTTGCAGAATAAAGTGGTACCATCCTTTGTTTATTTCGTTGCCTTCTCATCAGCTGCTTACAGGCCAAAGACATTATTAAATATATCTACAAAAACAATTTTAACATACTTGCACAGAGTTCATTTTAAACAAAAATCAATCGATCAATATATGCATACAGTAATAATATATACATATATATATGTAATATTAAACACTATTCCGAACAATAATAATCATACACAATGGAAACTTTTCAGCATTACGCATTCAGATGAAAGAGAGATGAAAATATCCAGTTACCAGGCTGGGCAAAGAAAGACTGATAACCGCTTCTTTCTGGACGCATAAATCAGGTTTCAGGCGCTTGATGGAAATGGCTTCAGCAAACTTGAGGAGAATTGAGCTCTTTTGCCTATTGATAATTTTGAACGACCTTTCGACGTCCACCTCATGACCCGTGTCAAGGAGATGCCTGGCGATGGCACTGTTTAAAGCATTTGTTCCCTTTAGACGTAAGCTTTTTGGTACATGTTCAGAAAATCGTAGATATGCCCTTCTTCATTCTGTTCTTCCAATGTAACTGCTCCCGCAGATACATGTAAATTTGTATATACAGTTGGAGTTAACATGAGAAGGATATCTATCGATTTTTGATTGCACCAAAGAGCAAGTTGTTCGATAGACGGGGACGAGCTTAGCTGCAACTTCAACTATATATATAACTGTTATCAGTCTTTCTTTGCACAGCCTGGTAACTGGATATTTTCATCTTTCTTTCATCTGAATGCGTAATGCTGAGACGTTTACATTGTGTATGATTATTATTGTTCGGAATAGTGTTTAATATTGCATATATATATATATATATATATATAAATTATTAGTGCATGCATGTAGTGATCGATTGATTTTTGTTTAAAATGAACTCTGTGCAAGTATGTTAAAATTGTTTCTGTAGATATATTTAGTAATGTCTTTAGCCTGTAAGCAGCTGATGAGAAGGCAACGAAATAAAAGATGGTACCATTTTATTCTGCAAAAACTGTAGTTCTTGCTTGGTTCAAATAAACAGGATATCTTTCTCGGGTATGACAATAAAGTACATCCCAGCTATAATGAAGAGTATCAGTTACTAAGTTAGACTAGTTTCTCTACATGTATTCACCGAGGTGATTGAAGATGAGATGTCTTTGTGAATCAATTACCTCTGTTATGCTGGTGTGCAGTCTACCCCTAAAAGCCTTCGGTTGAATTAATGTGGTTTGCAGTAGGATGATCGACAACTACTTACCAAGGAAATGTGGATAATAAAACAAATTAAAGTAAATGACATCAACTCCAAATTCATCCTCAATCGTAACCCTAACCTTAATCCTAACCCTAATTACAACCCTTCTTCTAAGCGTAAACTTAACCCTAATGCTAATTATGACCCTGATCCTAACCCTAACCCTAACGAGCTATTATCACATTGTCCAAACAGTACTTAAAAACGTGATCTGGGTGAAATTTGCTCCTTGGCTGGTAAATAGCATTGATAATTCAGCTATGATAATGATAACTGCCGTCAGCCAACGACTAGGATGCGTTTAAGGTCATTGGAGTGTTCGCACTCCTAGGACGCTGTTGTTGAAATTCGCTTAGAAATGTACGGAAGAAAGAAAAGCAATACGAGAAACACATGAAGATTTAGCTGACCTCAACGATTACAAAGATTGAACAAATATGCAAACTAGTGAGGATGACTTTTAACCGTAGCACCAGTTCTCTTCAATCGTTGGTCTTTAGCATCCCCAAGGACTCCAACCAATCAGTCCACTCCATCTTGTAATTCACAAACAAACAATTAAAGACTCCATGGGTTGATGGAAGGTTTTGGTTTGACCACACGCCTACTAACACGCTTTTCCAAACTAATCCAATGTCAGTTAACATTACTCAACGAGGAAGGTAGTGGCTCGGTGTATGCGTAAAAGATATGCTCCAGTCATATAAATCGATATAGCTTTACAACCCCACAAAATATTGATTCTCCTTCTTTACTTAACACTCCATATCTAACTAACCTAAGTATTATTTATCATATTATACCATTTAACACGGAAGATAGAATGCAAACATCTACGGTCATCTATCACTTTCAATGACCATGGGTCATAGACATGAAGAAGGCTAGGACGAACTCGTCAACTGTGAGTCATTTGCAGTTTTAAGCAACTTCCTTAATGGTATTCACACTAATAATCAAGAATATCCAGCCTTTTTCTTAACGTTTACACCTCGACACAATGTAATCTTGTCATGTAATAGTAGATAAATATATGAAAATTACAAAAAGACAGATTGAGTATTGACGGTATTAGTTTGTTTATTAGATGTATCACACAGTCAGTGAAACAGTATTATTTACTGGATGACAAAGTTTCGAACACTATTTATTGTTCATAATCATTTCATCAATTATAATCAAACGACTTCAAAACTTCAGTTTTACAGTTTTGTTTGTTGTCTCTCACTTTGTCGTCGTTAGGGTAGTAGGATTTTCCAGATATCTGGGTGGACAGGTGTTGAATCATTCCTATTACACGTATTTGCAGTTGATTCGATAAACAAAGCTTCTGCTGTCATCAATCTCTCCCTCCACCCTGTCAGTTGTACTAGATTTCAAAACTGTCATCTTATTCCATTGAATTGTGTTGTTGTGTGTAATTGCATGTAGTGGGAGTTGCCATGGGGTCACCAATATCCCCAACTGTGGCAGATATATTCATGGATAGGTGGGAAAACAAAGCGATTGAAACGTTCACCCCCACCCGAAAAGTATGGTGGAGGTATGTAGATGACACATTCACTGTGCTTAGAACACAGGATATAGATAGATTTTTCGAACACATTAACTCAAAGGTGGAGGCAAGAAGGGAAACTTCCAATGTTAGATTGTAGAGTAAAAAGGAAAGAAGATGGGAAGTTAAACACATACTAGTGTGTTTACAGGAAACCTACACACATTCAAACAGATATTTGGATTTCCGATCATCCCATCCGATGTCAGTGGAAATAGGATTGGTGAAATGTTTAAATAATAGAGCACAAAAACTAAGTAGTACCAAGGAAAATCTAAGACAGAAAGTGAGGCATATAAGAGAAGCTTTGAAACTTAATAATTACCCTAATAAATTAGAAAGTATGTAGGAAAATGTAAAAACAAAAATAAAATAAATAATGATATTAGTAATAGTAATAATTATACCGATAATAATAATGGTAATATTAATAACGACATGCATGTCAAACATGCGCAAGATAATAACAACGCCAACAATAAGGAATCTAAATCATCATCCATACAAGGAAGGAACTTCAGAAACCTTACGCAGGATTCTTAACAAGGCAGGAATAAAAGTGGCTGGCATTCAAGCCCACAAACTCAATTAGGAATAAGCTTTGTCGGTTGAAGGATCAATCCTGTGGAGCCGTTAAAACAAAACAATTTAGTTTATTTAATACCCTGTCTGGAATGATTATAACGTCGAATACATAGGTCAAACTAGTAGAACAGGGGCAGTCAGACTAGCCGAGCATGAAAACCTAGCAAAATCTAGATTAGTTGACCCGAATATGATAAGAAATCTGGAGAATAGTTCAGCTATAGCACTATATGCAGTTGCACACAACCATACAATAGGATGGGATAAGATGTCAGTTTTGAAATCTAATGCAAATGACAGGGTAGAGGGAGAGATTGATGACAGCGGAAGCTTTGTTTATCGAATCAACTGCAAATACGTGTAACAGGAATGATTCAACACCTATCCACCCATATATCTGGGAAATTCTACAACCCCAACGACGAAAAAGTAAGAGAGAACAAAGAAAACTATAAAACTCAATTTTCTAAATCGTGTGATTATATATAATTGATGAAATGATTATGAACGATAAATTCTGTTCAAAACTTTGTCATCCAGTAAATAATACTGTCAATTCACTGTGTGATATAACATCTAATAAACAAACTAATATGGAATTACTTGCTACCACAGTGCCCAAGTTTTACACATATATTTGATATGAGTATTGACCGTATTTTTACTCTTCAATGAAGCTATCGCGTAATGAACAATCAGAAGAAAAAGAAGAAGAAGGGAAAAAGTAACTGAAACTCAACTCACCGACAACTTTCATTTTATTTTCTGCTACAGCTTTACACGATGGACAATTCATTGTGAAAGACATAACTTCATCTTTTCCGACAGGTTTGGTAGACTCATCAACTGGCTCCTAAAAACAAAAAAAAAACATCAATTACAAAAGTTTATCAACAGTTAGTTGCCTTGGCTAACTCGATGATAGTGAAGATCAGATGGTCGGTCACAAAAAGGATAAGAAAGTGGTGTCCGTCAGGGATTCCTACCAATGTCCCTATTTCTCTTTAATGGCATCATAGTTGTACTAATGAACTTCACTCTAACTGACTTCAGACAACCAGGGATTGACTTGACTTAAAATATGCAGATGATAAAGTCCTGCTCCTAGGTGAAGACGCTGACTGACAAAATGCACAATCTTATGAACACCTGGAGCAGCAATCTTCGAATGTAACATGCGATTTGCACCCTCACGGATAACAAAGGTTCGTTTGGTATTTGCCAAATTACGCCGAAGTGATATGTAGCTGGCTACCGATCAAGGGACAGATGTACTGCTCAGCAGTTCGCTCCGTCGTCCTTTAAGGTTGGCTGTGAGACATGACTACTGAAAGTGGAAGGTACGAAAAGGATAGCTGTCTTTGATCTTAGGTGTCTGCGTTCTATCTCCCGTGTTAGGTGGTATAATATGGTGAGCAGTAATTAGATTTATGCATCGGTCGAGTGCTAGGTGAGGAGGAGGGGAAATCAATCGACGGGGTTGTGAAGTTACATCGGTTGAAATGGTTAGGACATGTGTTACGCACGCCTAGCTTAATCTAGTCATCGCCTGACTTGACGGGTAATGTTAGCTGACATCGGATGGATCAGGTTGGAAAAGAGCCAGTGGTGGTCGAACCAAAACATGGCTTCATCAGTCAATGAAATCCACAACAGTTAGTTTAAACCACGTAGGAAGATGTAGGCTTCCTGGTTGGGGTCTTAGGGATGATATGAGCCGATGACTGGAGACAATTGGTGAAACGGCTCAAAATCGTTCTCAATGGAGCAGATGCATCCACTTCTTGTGACTTATAATACCCAATAAAACTATATTATTCCCCGACATTACTATTCTTTTTACCTTATATCTCTGTTTACTGTCTCTATTTGGTATTTCCTTTTACTTTCTTCTCTTGCTTCGTGTACTGAGTGAAGTGTGGCGACTCGAACTGCTGCATATCAGTGCAAAGTTCTGTGTTGAGACCAGTCAGTCAGTCATAAGAAACAATGAATTCTAGCAACAAACCAACCAAGAACCTTTCATCCAGCAAATATACAAAATGAAATGGAGATAGCTAAAGAGATGTATGCGTCGGTGGTATGCACAGCGGTAGAACTCTCGGCGACCACTCCATACATGGTCTGAGGTTCGATTCACCGCCACTGACGCACTTCTTTGCTTAACTAAGCCAGTAATAAGATTCGTAAATAAGTAAGGTTGGCCGTGAGGCCAGCAACAACCTCATCCCGTAAAAATAAACAAACAGCATTGCTACCGAAACTTCAAGCCTCTAGCCTGAAGCCCTATGTTCCACGGGGAGAGCAAAGGAATTTTTAAAAAAAAAGAGAGATGGTACAGTGATACCATGTGCCAACCCCTAGGATAGAATCCCAGTGGGAAACAACGAGTTGGGTGGGTGTCCGCGGGTAACAACATGAAACAGAGATAAAAGCTTTTGGGCGGCAAATGTGCAGCCAGCTGGAAAAAGGACCACCACAGAGAATAAGGTGAAATAAAAATGCACTGTTGAAGCCCTATGTTCCACACAGAACCATAAGGAATAATAATAATAATAACATAATGACTCATTAACTTACTTCAGGAATTGTTTCAGGGATACTCTTCGCCTTATTGAACAATTCCAAAGGTGGTTGTGGTTGAAGACCGAGTAATTCACTTTGTTCTGGTGTACGTTCATAAGTTGAAATTTCAATTTGTGGATCATCATTTGGAGCGAGATAATTTTCAATGAATCCATTTCCAGACGGATCATCGATAATCTAGATATTTTTGTATTCACACATATATCAAAAAAATAGATTGGCAGTTAGTGGGGATTAAAGAATGCAGAAGTTTAATGTAACAGTGAAAGAGAAATGAAGCAGTAACTAATACGTCAAATATGTTAAATATTTAGGAATTAATTACAGGATTTCATCATGAGCTGACATTGGTTAGAGAACCATTGGAAAACCTGAAGGGAGTACTGGACAGCTGTTTCGTCCCAGTTTGGGACTCATCAGTACGCATCCACCGGGATTCGAACCCAAGATCTCATGGTTACAAAGCAAGCTAGCTCGTAGACCATTAAACCACTGTGACCCGATCCACGAAACAGCTATCCAGTACTCCCAGCTGATTTTCCAATGGTTCTCTGACCAATGTCAGCTCATGATGAAATCCTGTAACCAATCAACCAAATCCCTACAAACCAATACTTGAATTTAGGAATTAAGTTGGCCTAGAAGAACAACTTCACAGTTAAACCACCACCACCACCCACCTCCGCTAGAGGAAAACAATAACACCACCGACCGAAAGTGTATACTCAGTTTAGTCAGCGGATGGTAGCCCCTGTCAAGCTTTAGAGGATATTCTTTTCTCTTCTTTTCTTTTTTCTGCTGAGATACAGAAACAGTCTCTGAGTGCATCACTGACCTTTGCAATCTCCAATGAGATATATGAAATGCCTTAGACTAAGCTGATCTGTTAGTACCAACAAGTGTGATATATCAAGCAAAACAACTGAGCCACTGGGACCCGATCCAATGGCCAGCCCATGAATTCTAACTTCTGCCAATTGACAGCATAGGGCGACCATTTCGCAATGTCTTCTTCGATGAGTTACTGCCTCATCTTCAACCTACTGCTGCACCCTACTGGTCACAGCTTCCCACTAGAACTCCAGGTCACTGCCTGAATAGGGCCAGTCGCTAGTGAGCATCAGATTAATTTTCAAGTATTGGTTTTGTAGGGATTTTGTCTCATTGGATGGAGGATTTCATCATAAGCTGACATCAGTTAGAGAACCACTGGGAAACCTGGGAGTACTGGACAGCCGGTTTGTCCTAATTTGGGACTCTTCGTCAGTACACGCAGAATTCATGGGCCATTGGATCGGGTCCCAGTGGCTTAATGGTCTATTAGCTAGCTCACCTTGTAACCACAAGGTTCTGGGTTCGAACCCCTGTGGTGGATGCGTACTGATGAAGAGTCCCAAACTAGGACGAAACAGTTGTCCAGTGCTCCCAGGTTTTCCAGTGGTTCTCTAACCAATGTCAGCTCATGATGAAATCCTCCATCCAATCAAACTAAATCCCTACGAAAACCAATACTTGAAAATATCAAGTAAAGTACTTCCAATCAATTGACTGACTCGCAACATCTAAAATCGAAATTATCTTTTAGAAAATGTACAGAGGATTAATTTAGCTTTTTATGGCACTGCAAAAATTCAGAGGTTAAAGTATTGACTATTCATTAGATGTACTAATTTTTTTATTTATTAATATTTGATTATTTTGCGTTCCACCAGTGGAACATAGGGCTTCAAGCTTCAACTTTCAGAAGTTTTTAGAGAAGCGATTTTTGTTCTTTAACGTGATGGAGTTGATAACCTCGCCTAACACCTTCCCCCTTTCCCGGAGCTTAATTCTCCGGCTAAATGAGGTTTAGCAGTGTGTCGACCGGGGAGAGAACTCCAGGCCACATGCATAATTTGGTAAGCATTCATTCTACCGCTGAACCATCGACGCAGGTGTATATTGTAGATGAAGGAATCCAGTTCGTGGGAAGCTATGAATGACAGGTCTCACGCTTCTTGGAGTTCACATTATCTATCCTATCGACATTTGAATCTCAAGACTGGAAATATACTCTTGTTGATGAATGCCCGAAAGCAATGATGAAATTACTGATCACCGACTCAATTTGTCGTTGAGATTAGTGTGACCACATTTCGATTAACACTGAAGACCAACTAAAAACTGGTTTTCAGAAGGACAAAACACTCATCCAAGCCTTTTAAGACCAGAACGATAAGTAGTTTCGCCTTGGTGTGCAACCAGATGAGAGCCAACAGACCACGACGTCCACCCACCCCCACCACCCGCCGTCTACTCTCCACTTAATTCGACCTGAACAACTCGGTAGAATGGCCAGCTCTTAGACACTGAGTGCCGTTTACAGTCCAGCATATGCAAAATTTGTTTTGGACATTTGGATTCTAATTTTACCCCCCCCCCCTAACTGACGTCTTTATCGGTTGCTGTCTGTCTGTCTATCTGGTGGTCGATTCATATGAACAACTCCTTAACTTCTTGAAACTTGTGAATTCCTAATAGTGCCTGATGAGTTCCAAATAAAGCGAGGAAAAAAACACATGCTAACTCTCACTGATATAGTCAAACTATACCAAATCAAACTACTCTAACTGTTTAAAAAAAAGCAAAAGACAAGTTGGAATTATGTTGTCAAACTACACTTAGGAAATTTTTTCTTTGTTAAAAAAACAACCCAGGTATAATCAGTTAGATGAGTGAACAATCTACAAAATAGACTTACAATTGTAAACGGCTTCTCTAAATTTAATAAATTACTCAACTGACCCATAAAACTTTCAATTTTCTCTGCCAACTCTGGATCAATTTGCTGTTAACACATACATATATATGTGTATGGATTCACAGAATTACAATGAGAACATACCTTTCTTTCCGGTTGTAAACTGTTTAAATTGTCTACCACTGTTGTAAGTGTTCCTTCAACAGTTGATAAACCTTGAGAAGGCAAACAGAGTACAAATAAACACACATGAAAGAATCAGCATAATTAACTCGCGCTTACTTAGGTTTAAAAAAAACAGTGCCAGTTCATTAGGGGATGTGTAACATAATACAATGGAGGTGTAGGGTCAGGCTGGAAAAGAGCTAGCGGCGGTCGAACCAAAACATGGTTTCATCAGTCAATGAAATCTACAACAGTTAGTCTAAGCCGGCCACGTAGGAAGGTGTAGACTCCCTGGCTGGTTGGGGTCCTCGGGACGGTATAAACCAATGATGGTTGGAAACAATTGGTGACATGGCTCAAACTCATCGTTCTCAATGGCTAGCGCAGATGCATCCAATCCTTGTGACTTATGATTTCCAATGGAACTGTTTTGTTCTTCGTTATTACTATTCCTTTGTCTCACACCTCTGTTTACTGTCTCTAATATGCATTTCTCCTATTTTCTTCTCTTGCTTTGTGTGCTACAAGGAGGGAGTGCGGCGACTCGAACTGCCGCACATACGTGCAAAGTTCTATGTCGAAAACAGACAGACAGACATGGAGGTGTAAACTTTAACACAATCTCAGCCTTGCAACTGTTTCATTACAAATGTAAAAAGGAAGAAAAAGGGAAATCTTCCGTCAATCGAATGCTTGATATAACTTCGGTATATTCAACTGAATATTGGTATAATGGCTTGTCTTTTGAACAACCTCGAACAGAAATCTTCAAATGTTTGAAAGGGCCATTCGCTCCTGTGCAAATATATAAGGTGATGTTTTGAAGGACTGGTGTGCACCAATGCCTAGTCTCAAGATGCGAAGTGATGAAGCAGTTGAGTGTATGGACCACTTCACTTACATCAGCTCCTCTGATGGACTGATTGTTGACGAAATCTGGGCACGGATGCAAAACGCCCATGTGGTATTTGCCTACTTACGCCGTCACTAGAGCAGATGTGATATCCGGTAAGGAAGGAAGGAAAAACAATAAAACAGTAGGGTGCACAGCAGGTCGGTTGTGAGGACAAATACTCGCCATCGATGACATTGGCTAGTGGTCGCGCTATGTCGTGAATTGGCAGAAGTTAGAATTCATGGGCCATTGGATCGGGTCCCAGTGGCTTAATGGTCTACGAGCTCGCTAGCCTTGTAACCAGAAGGTCCTGGATTCGAAACCTGGCGGTGTGGACGAGTACTGATGAAGAGTCCCAAACTAGGACGAAACAACTGTCCAGTGCTCCCTGCAGGTTTTCCAATGGTTCTCTAACTAATGTCAACTCATGATGAAATCCTGTAACCAATCAAATCCCTATAAACCAACACTTGAATAAAACAATAGTTAGTCGTATTTTATTGTTTTTCTATAAGTGGTACGGTGTCATACCTTGATGTGAACGGATGTACCGGTGAAACAAATCTCAAAACAGTTATACACATAAAACTGATTGCAACCTTTTAGTTAGCATAAGCACATACTAACTTTGATGAGTCTAAGGAATTACATAAAAGTCTATTTAGACAAGCTCTTAAATCTGTTCGACATTTTTCGATAACTGAAATGGAAGTTTTCAGAGTGATTCTCAAGTAAGGTAAGTCGTATTCACCGACTTCATGCAGCAAGGGGGTGTTCTCACAAACGTGGGGCCGAATTGGTGCAAATGAATATGGACATCCATCTAGAGGAGCTGGCAAACCCAGATTTCAAATCTACGGTGCATATAGGCTCAAAAATGAGGAAGAGACGAACCTGTTTTTTATCACCGGAAACCGTGGGGGCGTAGCTTCTAACACCCCCTCTAATGTCTTGTGAATCAGATTTCAAGTCAACGGTCCGAGGATTCACCCGTCAAGGCAACCACCTCTTTCGGTCTGTGTACCTCAGGCCTAACAAGGGCTTCGTATTGGCAAATATTCAGACTCGCGTGCTGTAGTAAGTTTGCTTAAATAATAATAACAACAACAATAATAATTGGGCATAACTAACCTCCATCAGAAAACGGGAATGAAGAATCCAATTCTGGAATCTCTAATGTTGAACCAGGCGGTATAACAAGACGTCGATTGAGATCTTTTGCATTTTTAACTGTTAGCGTTAAACGTTGACCCTTATCTTGTACACGAGAAGCTGGTGTAACTAATCGATTTTCATTTCCACAATGTGTACAACCGAAAGATGAGATGATAACCTCTTTAAAATATGCTATTTTTGTCAACAACAGGAATGTTGTGCCCTGATTTGAAAAAAGACAAAAACAAGAAAAGAATAAAAATTAGTCGACTTACAAAGTGAGACGTATAAGTTTGTTCAGAATTTATATACATATATATATATATATATATGCGTTAACACTCAACAACCACGTGTATTCATACTTAGATGGCAGGCTTTAGACCAGGAAGAGGATGAATTCATCATATCTTCACCCTTTGGCAGATTCTGGAACATAGATATACTTAACGGCGTCCAACTAATGCCATATTTCTTGACCTGAAAGAGCTATTCAGTTCCGTCGACCGAGAAGTACTATGGTGACATTTGACTGTGAAGGGAATGCCGGGAAAATACATCACACTGATCAAGGCACTCGACTAGAACTGATGCAGTTAGCCAGGTGAGAGCGTATGGAGAGTTGTCATCTGAAGTGGTAACAACCAGTGGTGTCCGTCAGGAATTTCTAACAATGTCCCTATTTCTCTTTAATTTCATTATAGTTGTACTAATGGACTTCACTCTAACTGACTTCAGACACCCAAGGATTGACTTGTTACCATCAGGGAATAATAGTCTCGTTGACTTCGAATATGCAGATGACATAGTCCTGCTCCTAGGTGAAGACGCTGACCAACAAAATGCACATTCTTATGAACACCTTGAGCAGCAATATTCGAATGTTTGACGTGCGATTTGCCCACATCAAATGAAATGTAGGTTGATTCTACAAGACTGGACGACGTCGACTCACTCCTAGCTTAAAGATAGGTAGTGAAGTGGTCAGTGGAGCGTGTTGACCACTTTGCTTATTTGGGAAGTTGCATCAGCCCCAACCCCAACGGTTTGATCACTGACGAAATCTTAACACGAATAACAAAGGATCGTTTGGTATTTACCAAATTACGCCGTCTCTGGCGTAGACGTCATATGTAGCTGGCTATCGATCAGAGGACAGATGTACTGCTCAGTAGTTCGCTCCGTCCTCTTTTAAGGTCGGCTGTGAGATATGACCATTGAAAGTGGAAGGTACGAAAAGGATAGCTGTCTTTGATAGTAGGTTTTTACGCTCTATCTCCTGTGATAGTTGGCGGTATAATATGGTGGGCAGTAATTAGATTTATGCATCGGTCGATTGCTAGGTGAGGAGGAGGGGAAAGTCAGTCGACGGGGTTGTGAAGTTACATCGGTTGAAATGGTTAGGACATGTGTTACGCACGCCTAGCTTAATCTAGCCATCGCCTGACTCGACGGGTAATGTTAGCTGACATAGGATGGATCAAGTTGGAAAAGAGCTAGTGATTGTCCATTGCTCTTCTATATTACCATGCTTTTGCCTCTTTTGAATCACCCTTTACTTTCCTCTCTTGCCTTGTGTGCTACATGGTGTGGTAACTTGAGCTGCTGCATATTTGTGCAATGCTTGGCGTTGAAACCAGTCAATTAATCAGTCAATTAGTTGGCAATGAGCCCCACTAGCAATTCATACAACCTGGTTGATAAAATCTTGACAGGTGAGACGGGATTCGACCCCGTAACCTGGTGGTTGGAAATCAAGCGCTTAAAGCCAATAAGACAGGTTCACTGGTACACGAGTGAACTAAAATGCATGATTACCATTATTATTATTATTGTCATTTCACAGAATATTAAAAGCATGATGGCATGTGTTGTAACCAGTCAACTTAACATACAGAATATTCGACATTAAGATTATATGAAGCTAGTTAACAATAATTTCAAGAGTTCGACTGGTCACTAACAACACTACAGCTCAAAAATTTATCACAGATTTACATATTAAATGTCCAAGCATAATTGATGCAGTTAGGGTTATATTAAGAGTTGCGTTTGAAGTCGATATCTAATTCAAGTTCTTAAGCTGATAAACCACATTTCAAAATCAAGCAAAAATAAATGTCTGCTGTGCATTGCACATGAAGTCTTCTGTGTAACTGTTACGAAAACACTAATGATACGAGACATTTCGTATATTGAAATTGTTTCACAATTTAAAAGGATGACACTTGTTTAGGTATAGTCTACTTGAATAACTCGCTGACTAATCAACGTGCAGTTTTACTCAGAAGTGCATCATATAAGCTCTTGGCACTTCAAAAGAGAACAGAATCAGTGACACTAGGTAAAACAAATGTGAAATTGAACTAATAATTAAATGAGAATTAATCTAGCTTTTAGAATCTAAAAGATGGTGAAGATTGATAACCTCTATGACCCTGATCATTGACTCTTGAGAAATACAGTCACAGTGAATAAAGTGAGGACGTTTAACACCAGTTACAACAAAACACATGTAAATACACAATATGATTGGACTGAAATATGCTCTGTAGGTGGAATTTAATGCAACAACTCTAGACTAACAAAAATAACTGCAGCCTTGAGACAAAGAAACATTTCTGGGATATAGGTAAAGTGTTCGAATACTATCTAAATGCGGTTGATCCTGTCGCTTTCAAAATAACGACAGAATAATCATCTAAGTAGTAACTGACGGTTAAAAGAAATTTCCAAAAGTTGTTCAAGCAACTGATGTTAAAGTACTTAGGGAGAGTAATACAGAGTAGTTTTTGAATTCGATAAACTGAATTAATAGCTATAGTACGGGAAACAAACTTGATACTGTAAGAGTGACCTCGGTCGTTAACGGTGTCTTCTAGGAAAAAGAGAAATCCATTTGTAATAAACAAAACAATTAAGGTAAATAGGCATACTACAGGTCTGGGTGCTTTTTTTTAGCCAGTAAGTGTGGAGACTAGAAGTATTAATTTGCAATGTGATACTATATTGTCTAGCTTCAGTAGGACATCGACATGCCCCATAGAGGTTGACTGCGTACTATAGGAAACAAAGGTAAGAAGTGAAAGGAGTATTAAATGGAAACTGGGGACTAGTTGAGTGTCATAAAGCACTGTTCTATGACCTCAATTATCCCCACTGAATACTTCTTATTCCCTAGTTAAAAAGCAGAAAAATTTACTCAAAGGCTAGTTGGCATGTTTAAGGTCACCCCAGAATCTTCTAGAACAGACAGCATTCGGTATCCCTGTCGCGAAACTCACTTAGGCAACATGCCTTATCTATCCAAATTATGTAGTCCAAGTAATCCCACTGAATCGCAATAATGTGGATAGAACAAGTTTCACCTTCATTGTGAGCTTATCTCATGATCTCTGTTTTCGTTTTCACTCTTCCGTAACAATCTATACATTCACCATTTCCCCGGTTAAGTTTAGCATTAAACAGGATGATGTGAAAACAACTCCACAAACATAAAATCTTGAGGGAGTTCGGGAGTCATTTGGCGGCAAATTAATTGTTCACTTCCCCCTCCCCCCCCCAGACATTTTTTCTTCAAGAATTGTTGTATCTGGAAGTGCCACTAAGCAACACTGAGTAGTGCACGTTCATCTAATTGTGATGAATTAGGAAACAAATAACAGGAATAGAATGGACCTAGCAACCTTGATTATGAGGACAGGGTCTTTCGAAAAAATAGATGCATGTGAAGGTAAAAGAAGAGGTTAGATGTTGAAGAGCAGACTAACGAAACTGGAATATACATGAACTGGCAACAGTAAAGAATAAACACCAACTTCGGATGACGTTGAAACAGCCAGTGGGATTCTTCTAGATAAAAAGTGGTACTTATTTATAAAAAAGTGTACCTATGATATATATGCAATAAGAGTGAATCATGCAGTGTACACATCTCTTATATGATGCAAAAGCTGGCCCCTAGGGGCCAGCTGTCTCCCATAGAAGTGGTCATACACACATCAAACCAATTTATTCTCTATTTCTGAAGCTGCAGCAGATACTGGTCGCATATGCGCAAAATGTTACTGAAGGAGAGTTTCGATTTCGAGAAAAAAAATGTCTAAATAATCAATATTTTGTACGACTTACCAACTCCTTCATATAAACCACTTAAGTGGTTGCATTTGAGTGCATAACCATCAGTAGCCCAGTAACACTTTTTCAGAGTCATTGTCCTTTTACCTACGCATGTTTTAGTCCTCCCTATCAACCCATTTTGTACAGAGAAGTCAGAAACATAATCTAGGAGACACTAGCAACGAGGATTATGACTAGCATCCACTTGTAATGCTGAGCTACCTGATTGGCTGAATCGAGGTCATTTGACTTTGATGTCAGTTGTTTACTCTTGGCCATGAAATTCTAAAGTATTTATGCAAAAAGGCTTCACTAAAAGTCATCTAATATTTTCTACATCAGAGAACATCTCGATGCAACGACTAGTTTCAGTGCATGTTTGCGTACAGTACGTAAACGCAACAAACTGTATTATCCACTTACATTTTTTAAGCATTTGACGCACAAACTTTCAATCTCAATTGGGTTCGAGTCTTCATCAGCACTTAATTCTGTAATCATGCTTAATTGCTGCGTTAGATCTAAAATTGGCGCTTTCACTTTTCAATATCCAATACTTTTTGACTCAAATTCGGATTTATTGGTTGAGGATAGAGGGCTTGGAGTCTGTGTTAATCCGTTTCTAAGAAAATTTGTGTGCTTTTTCAAACCCGTCTTGAATAAATCAGTTGGAGAAGCAGACACCACTTCTTCTGGGAGTCGGTTCCAAGAGTTTATAACTCGGTGTGAGAACCAGTACTCCACAGCAATATAATTTATTCTTCACTTTTGAACTCTCCTATTTTGTCCTATAAGATGTTCTGGCCTGGTGGGAAGGGAAATAGAGGATAAGTAACGTCATTAGTCGTTCTTTAAAATTTTAAATATTGTGATTAAATCTCCTCTCTGCCTAAGCTATGATGAGGAGAGGAGATTTAAACTGATTAGTCTTTCCTTGCTTGATAAGCTAGTCATTCCGAGAATCATATGTACTGCCTTCCTTTGGACCCTTTCTAGAATATGTGAGTCCCCTTTATGACAAGGACTCGTTGCCTGGATACAGTTTTCCAGTCTTGACCTCACCAGAGATGCATATAAGGAGGTGAACATATCTCTGGTGATTATAGTAAAGGCTCTGCGAATCTCCTAGAAGGATCTGAAACTAGGTGCAACCATCAAGCGGCAGTGCGCTGTGATTATAATTCGTGACTTACTATAACACCTAAATTCAAATGAGTCTGAACTGATGGGAGTGTTATTCCTCCAGCTCGTAGGAGCCGATGCTTGCTTGTCCCATGCGCATGGTTGCACACTTTGCTAGGTTGATCTGGAGGATCCGTTCTCTGGACCACTCTGACAATTTTGCGAGGTCTTCTTGCAACCTGAGCGTATCAGTGTGGCCCTTCAGCTGTCTCCAGAATTTTGAGTCATCTGCATTTGGGACAATAGGGGAATCGGTGAGCGGAGATAACTCATTGATATACAAAATAAATAGGAGAGGTCCGAGTATCGTGCCTTGTGGCAATCCAATATGCACTGTTGTCCAGGGGGAGAGTTTTGACTTGATCCTGACCCTCTGCCTCCTAAGTCAGTTCAGTAAGCTGCCTGTGATACCGGGACTTCATGAGTAGTCTACTTTGAGGACTTTTATCGAAGGCTTTGCTGAAGTCTATGAAGACGATGTCAACGGGTCTTCTGTTATCCCTTGATTCTCCACAGCTTTCGCAGCGTGAAGATTTGACAGGCATGAGAGGTCTCCTTGGAAGCCTTTCTGTGCTCTGGATAACAAAGTGTTGTTTTCCGGATATGCCGTGTTACTTTTTCGATGATTCTTTCCAGTGCTTGTGAGACCAATTGGCCTGTTGTTTGAAGCGCTTTGTCTTGATCCTCCTTGGTGGATAGGGTTTACCATGGGGTCTTTCAAGTCACGCGGTAACACTCCATTTAGGAGTGGTAGCTCGAAGACCGTGGTCGGTAGGCTGGCTATGTGGACTGATAGCTCATTGAGAAACCTTGGATGAAGATTATCAGGACCCATCGATTTCCCTGCATCTAGTTTCATTAAGCAGTTGAGCATGATGTCTTGGTCATGGTCAACGGAATCAACCTTATCTTCCTCCGATGCTGCCATAGCTTATCCCGTGGGCAGTGACAACTTCTATATAAAGACTTGGGAGAAGTAGTCTGCCACTGCTTCTGCTATTCCTTGATCTTCTTCGATTGTGTCATTGTCAATAGCCAGGTTTGGAACGCCATCGGATGTCTTATTGCTGAAGTTCATGTTAGAGAAAATTTTCTCAGGTCATGCCGTTGCATTTTGAGCAGATGTGCTACGAACTTCATCCTTGATTGGTGGATTTCTGAAATAGATTCGCTCCAAGCGTAAACCAGCTGGACTTCTTTGTGTTCGCTTCTTGGTTGTGAAGTAGAGGTTCCTGGTCTTTGGTTAATTTCTGCGTGGTTCGTCCCACCACTCGACTGTCATGGCCTTGACTGATTCCAAAAAGACTTAACAAGACAGGAATAAAAGTGCCCGGCATTCAAACCCACCAGCTCAATTAGAAACCAGCTTTGTCGGTTAAAGGATCAATCCCGTAGAGCCTTTAAAACAAAACAATTTAGTTTATCTAATACCTTGTCAGCAATGATTGTCAGGTCAAATACATAGGTCAAACTAGTAGAACAGGGGCAGTCAGACTAGCCGAGCATAAAAACCTAGCAGCAAAATCTAGATTGGTTGATCCAAATATGACAAGAAATCTAGAGAATAGTTCAGCTACAACACTCGCTACATGCAATTACACACAACCATACAATAGGATGCATGGGATAAGATGACAGTTTTAAAATCTAATGCAACTGACAGGGTGGAGGGAGAGATTGATAACAGAAGCTTTGTTTATCGAATCAACTGCAAATACGTGTAATAGGAATGATTCAACACTTGTCCACCCAGATATCTGGAAAATTCGACTACCCCAACGTCGACAAAGTAAGAGAGAACAAAGAAAACTATAAAACTCAAGTTTCAAAGTCGTGTGATTACAGTTGATATGACTATGAACAATAAATTTTGTTCGAAACTTTGTCATCCAGTAAATAATACTGTTTCACTGTGTGATACATCTAATAAACAAACTAATATGGAAAGATCTCCACTTCGTTCTGTTTTCTGCCGTCCACCTCAGCTGGGTCCACAAATGACCAAACTCTCTCATTTCTTCCTCCCGAGATCTCCATGTCACCCTGGGACGACCCACCCGTCGCCTCCCATCGGGATTCCACTCGAGCACTGGCCTGGAGCGAGATGTCATCCGGAGGCCTCCTCAATGTATGCCCGATCAACCTATCGCGATTTTCTACTGCATATTTTTTTAACGATTGGCTCTTGGTTGGTTTATTCACACAGTTTCTTGTTTCCAATTCTTCCTGGCCATTTGATATTCGGTATGGAGCCAACGAAGGCAGTTGTTTATCAAGGTCTGCAACAGGCTGTTGGAAATCCTTTCCGTGACACGCAGTGCAAGTTTCTGACCCGTTTAGAAGAACCGATTTCGCACTGGTGTTGAAAATGCGAATCTTATCCCTTATGCTGATAAAAAATTGATGAATGTATATTTTACCTTTATGATTCTCGCTTTGACAACATCCGTTCCAACTGTTGTTAGAACGACGCTTCCTAGATAAGTGAAGGAAGTAGCCTCTTTCAAGTTTCTTCTGTTTATGATGACTAGTGCTTGTTTCTGTTGTTTGATTGGTTAACTTCCTCACCTCCGTCTTCTCTATGTTCACCTGCAGTCCTGTTTTCGCCACCTGCATCTTCTACCAGCTTTTCAGTATTCGCCTGTAGGTCTTCGATGTTGTGTGACATTAAACATAAATCATTCAGGAGCAAAATCCAGATCTTCTAGTGTCTTCTTATCGGTCGTCCAGCGCATTCCTGACTCCTCGCCCCCAACAGTCTGATGCATAATCCAGTCCACCGCAGTTCGGAATATCATCGGTGATAATAGGCAACCAGCCTTGTCTTACTCTTGTATTCACTTCGAACGCCTCACTGAATTTTCCGTTGTGGATCACTTGACACGTGCCGTTGTCACATAGCTGTTGAATGAGGCCGACAAAGACTTGAGGTACGCCATAGTATTGAAGTAGTTTCCAAATTACTTTTCGACCATGGCTGTCTGACAAAGGCTATTTCAAAGTCAGTGAAGTTTGAAGTGGATGTCTGACTGCCATTCAATGCTTGGTTGTGTGATGACGATGCGCATAGTTGCGATTTTATAAGCACATGATTTGCCTTTCCTGAGTCCAGCTTGTTCTGGCGGGTGGAGTTCTGTATCTAGTGCATTTTTTATGCTTTTCGGGGTGATGTAACCTAGTATTTAACTTGGCGTGGATAACAGCATGATTCCACGTCAGTTCTTGCAGAGTAAGGCGTTAGTTGCCCTCCTTTGGCAGCTTGACGAAGTAGCCTTACTTCCAGTCAGTAGGCATCTTCCTCTCCTTCCACATTATTTTAACAGTGGAGTGCGAACATCTGCAGCAGTCTATGGTTACGTTTTCAGTGGTTCGGGAGGAATGCCGTCTGGTCCTGCTGCCTTCCGGACTTCGGTAGCTTGATCATGTTCAGAATTTACGCTTTCGTTGGAGGAGTGGTGTTCATTGGTATGTCTGTGTGTGACATTGGTAGTATTTCTGGGCGAGTTGCAGTTGGTTATCAATGCAAAGAGTCCCTTCAAGTGATCAGCCCACTGTTTGATTTGTTTCTTCTCCTTGGTAATCTGGTCCTCGTGAACATTTTTATTTGATTCATCATCCAGCTTGATCTCTTCTTGGATAGAGACTTGGTTATCTGATATAACGTCCTGATGTCTCTCCAACCTGCAGCGTTCGGTCTGTTCTGCTTCAGTTGCCAGTGAGTCGTTGGACTGTCTTTTGTGTTTTCTACCACTCTTTTTCACTTCTTTATTCCGAGCAGTGTACATTGAACTCAGCTTCTCCTTCTCTTGTCCATCTTTGCATTGTGTCATCTTCTCCCTCACCATCCTCCTCTCCCCGATTAGCTTCCAGGTATCTGTTGATAGCCATTCTTTGCCTTACCTCTTCCTTCTTCCTAGAACAGTTGTACACGTTTCCTTAAATGTCGCCTTCAGAAAGCTCCAATGTTCTTCCACACATGTTTCCTCAGTGATGGCATGTATTGTCTCCAACTTTGCTCTGATCTGATCTATAGTGAAAGCATCCCTTGTAGTTTTGTCCTTAAGTTTCCGAATGTTGAACTTGAATTTTGGTCTGTCTCCAGTTGTTTTCGTGGATTTCAGCTTCTCTTTGAAGGTTCCCTGAACTAGATGATGGTATGAACCCACATCTGCTTCACTTCTCGACTTTGTATCCAGCAGACTAGCTGCATCTCCACTTCCTTGAGCAACATTGAGATGAAATATATTTGGTTTGTGATGACGCACTGAGGAAATAATAACAGTTTAAGACTGACGCATTTCACATAAATATTAATACATTACCTATCATTCTCGTTAACTCTGCATTGTCCTCAAGGCTGAAATTG